AAATACAGAGGGAAAAGAAAAATTGAGTAACACTGACAGAAGGGTGTTTTTCATCAAGTTTAGTATAGAATAATATTGTACAAGAATATACAGTTGAAGTCAGAATTAATACCCCCCCTGAATAATCAGCCCCCCTGTTTTTTTCCCCTAGTTTCTGTTTAACGGAGAGATTTTTTTAGCACATTTGTAAACATAATACTTTTAATGACTCATTTCTAATAACTGATTTATTTTATCTTTGCCATGATGACAGTCAATAATATTTGACTAGATCTTTTTCAAGACATTTCTATACAGCTTAAAGGGACATTTAAAGGCTTGACTAGGTTAATTAGGTTAACTAGGCAGATTAGGGTAATTAGGCAAGTTATTGTATAACGATGTTTTGTTTGGTAGACTATTGAATAGTAATAATATTGAATAATATATAGCTTAAAGGGTTAGGGTTAGGGCTAATAATTTTGTCCTTAAAACGTTTTTTTAAAACTTAAAAACTGCTTTTATTCTAGCTAAAATAAAACAAATAAGAATTTCTCTAGAAGAAAAAATATGAGACATAATGTAAAAATTTCCTTGCTCTGGTAAACATCATTTGGGAAACATTTAAAAAAGAAGAAATTATAATTATTCTGACTTCAACTGTACGTTGTATAGGTAAAATGATTGGTTTTACTTTTAAGCAAAAAACAAAACAAACAAAAAAAAAACATTAGAATATCATGTTCCATGAAGATATTTTGTAAAAACAATAAGGCTAAAATTGTCCTAATATCTTTAAAAACTTCTTTTCAAAACATTGTCCCATCATAACAAAAACCTTTCATAAATGGAAAGCGTATTAATTCAGCTTTACACGATACACAAATCTCAATTTTGGAAAATTGACACTTATGACTGGCTTTCAATAATAGAAGATACTTTCAATAACAGATGTGACCAACCATCAACCGGACATTTAAATATAAACATCACATAAAAACATTTAGAATACTTGAATTAAAAAAAAATGTATATAATGAGTGTAATTCTACAAAACTAAACTGTCTATTTCTCTAATACTGCACCATTCCATTGGTTTTGAACCAACACATGCACACTCTTAAACAGCTCTTTTCAGATGGTATGAATGGCTGTTGTTAGCGTAAAGCCACTGAATGACTTACTTTAATACATGGATCAACACTAGAGCTGGTGTGTCAGACTCTTCAATGACTGTGCAGATCAGTTCTTTGTGAAAGCATCTCACACTTGCCCTCAAATACCGCACAGTCATGCAAAATCAGACAAACAACACACACAAAGAGAAACTCTGCGGAATCTATTCCTGTTATTGAAATACTCTATGATTAAAGTGGGTTAATGTGTATAAATGCTACTTTAACAACAATAATTGACCACCAGTTTGCCATGTGCGCACTTAAAGATGTGTTGTAACACACAGTAATAAAGTTGCCAGGGAGATTCAGGTTTCACATGAGTCAACTGTCCGTCATTTAAACATGGCGGACAAAATGTTCACACATTGCTTCAACAAAAACATGCCTAACTGAAAAAAATAGCTCTCAATTCCTTGGTTTCCATAGTTAACTTGTTTACAGGTGTTATTATACTTAACAATTAAAACTTTTATAATTATACTACCAGTATAATTTATGAAAAGACAACAAGTGTCAACAATAGAAGCATGATCACTGTATTAACAGCTAATTAAAAAACTGTAAGTGATCTGAACTGCATACTGTTACCTTCACATATATAAACAAGCAACAGGTATAAAGAGATACCCTTACAGACACATTCAAATATTAATCCATTATATTGAAGGTCCACTTACCTTGTGTGGGCTCATAGTCGTATCTGTGTTTGGTCTTTGAAGAAGAACTCAACTTAAGAGAAGCCGGTGTAATGTGGCTTCCACTGCAACAGAGCCGCACTGACTGTCCACATCTCACCACAGCAGACCATACCACAACACACCTCCCCAATGACGCACAAAAACACACACCCACAGATCCACAACAACACCCACCACTCAACTGTTCCCCTCAAACTGCACCTTCTCCTCTATATCTTTGGTAGTTTAAACAATTCTGGTCCTTCCGTTGCTTTAGGCTGCTTTGCCGTGCATCTCTTTGTCCCTGTACGCGTTCAAAATGACCGTATATCAGTTTTGAGGTGGAAACTCTATCCTGTGTATTGCGTAATTGGAGTGTTGTATTCCCGCGGTCTGACAACCATAAGAATTCTCAGCACAAAATAATTGCATAGATTGGAAATGTAACACTATAAATGTACTGTATGTATAAATGTTTCAGCATTATTTGTGTTGTCTTGAATTGAGCATGTAATTCAATTTTCTTTTTTGTAGCTTGACAGTTAAGAGTTGATGACATACATATAATATACATACATATAAGTCTACACAAAATTTAATCAATCAATACGGGGGCTCGTCCGGGATATTTCCGAATGTGTAGATAGGAAATGTAACACTTTAAATGATGATATGTATACATTTTAATTTATTATTCATCTCTAGTGTCAAATATGCTTGAAAGGTCAGAGTTCATAACTGATAGCGTTCACAATCCTAATCTTTTGTTTTTCAGATGAGAAGTTAAACCGAGGTCCCGACTCTCTGTGGACGTTAAGAACACCTTTGAAAAAGATCCTGGCCAATTCTGCCCACTGGCCTCTGTCTATCATGGGCTCCTAACCATCCCCATACCATAATTGGCTTCATCACTCTTTCTCGTCTCCACCAATCAGCTGATGTGTGATGTGCGGTCTGGCGCAATATGGCTGCTGTTAAGTCATCCAGGTGGATGCTGCACACTGGTGGTAGATGAGATTCCCCCTAATGTTTAATGTGCTTTAAGTGTAAAAGGAATTATTATTATTTATCATTATTATAATTTGGGGGCTCGTCCGGGACATTTCAAAGAAACATGGAACCAAAGAAAATGCTATCTTTAACATTATTTTAAAAAATTACTTAAAATAATTATAGTAACTTTGTTGTCACCAATAAGTCTATAGAAAATTTTATCCAACAATCTGGGGGTTCGTGTGGTATATTATCAAATGTGAAGGAAATGTAATACTTTAAATGGGAATATACAGTATATAGGGGTGGCTCAGTGGTTGGCCCTGTCGCCTCACAGCAAGGTCACTGGTTTGAGTCTCAGCTGGGCCAGTTGGCATTTCTGTGTGGAGTTTGCATGTTCTCCCCGTGTTCGTGTGGGTTTTCCTCCAGGTGCTCCGGTTTCCCCCACAGTCCAAAGACATGTGCTATAGGGGAACTGGGTAAGCTAAATTGGCCGTAGTGTATGAGTGTGTGTGAATGCGAGTGTATGGGTAGTTCCCAGTACTGTGGCTGGAAGGGCATCTGCTGTGTAAAACATATGAAGGAATAGTTGGTGGTTCATTCTGCTGTGACAACCCCTTGCTGTGGCAAAGGAAAATTAATGAGTATACCGTATAAATAAATGTTGATGTATCATCCACATCTAGTGTCAAAAATACTTGATAGGTCAGAGTTGATAATATTGCCAATAATCCTAATTTGGGGGCTCGTCCGGGATAAAAAACAACAACATGAGACTGAAATATTGCTATTTTTTTTATCATTAAAAAAGATAGATTGGACTCGTAATTGAAGGGTTGAAGGTTTGATTCCTAGTTCTGGCAAGATGGAGGTGTGAATAAACCTAATCCCTAACTGCTCCCCAGGACCTTCAAGTGTGCATAAAATCACACTTAACAAGACTCACTTCACTATAATACTGAATTGAATACAAACTTGCCAAAAGAACAACGACAGCAGTCTACTTTTCTAGGTAGTTTTACCATGTTGCTAAGTGAAGGCAACCGTGTTCTAGGTGGTAACTAGAAGAATACTCACCTTCCTAAGTAGGCATGGGCCTGTATAAGATTCTCACAGTATAATAACATTTGGTAAACATATCATGGTTTAAATATCTTTATCAGATATTTAAAAGAAAATTTAAAACCAAACCGCGGTAAATCAGTTTTCGTCCCATGTCCCAAGTACAAATCACTAAATATGAGCAAAAGTAGCATTAGCAAGCACTAATGAAAAATTAAGCTCAATGGTTACTCGTTACTTTATTAAAACGATGAAGGCTTAGATTCACTTTATACACAAAAGATCAAACTGACCGACGGTTTATGAAATATTCAAACCGCTTCATGGCATGTTGACAGCCATATATGGGACAGTGGCGCCCGCTTCCAGTCTGGCTCTGAACTGCGCATGTCAGGCCATTTAATGTGTTTGTAGAGCACAACTCCAGAGTCTATTGTCCACGCTTAGCCTCTCACCGGGGCCCTTCAGTGGAGCCCCCAGATCATTGGATCAGGTTCCTAAAACAGTCATTCAACATTTAGCATCTCCGCTAAATGGTGTTCGAGTGTTTAAGAGGGGACGATAATCTCAATTAAAGCTGATTAGGCTAATTTCTAACATCTTGAGTTTAAAGTAAATGTCATGTTTAGAGCGTTTAAGCGTGGTTTGTTCCTATTGAGGGTCTCGCTGGTCGGTTTCGGTTGTACCTGGCTTCATCTCCTATTAGGAATTCTTCTCCTCGTGTTTCTGTTCATGAATAAAACACAAGACAAGCTCAATGTCTAAGCTCGGCTTACACAAACAGCTCTGGCGTCTTTAAAAGGGGGGTCCCTGCTGACCCGCTATATCATCGAGCCAAAACACACACTCACACCACACCCGCGGACGAATGCGCGCGCACGCACGGTCGAACACTTTCCATTGCAATGAAACTCTCACCTTGTGTTAAGAGCATATCAGATTGTTCATTACAGGATCATGATTAGCAATGGAGTGTTCGGTTGACAGAGTTATGATTGTTAGACTTGATGATTGGTCGCAAGTCTAGAATGTAATTGTATTGAATATTCCCTTGTTAGATAAAGTTTAATGAGACATATTTACACTTTGAAATTGCCAACATGTATAGAACTTTAAAGAATACCATAGTTTTATTAAAAAGAAATAACTGATCACCACATAATTGTTCAGTACATTAATAAGACAAAAAGTAAATTGATTGAAAAGTATTTCACTAGCTTTTTTTTCACAGCTTGTTTTAGCATTACAACTAATGGCCAGCCGGTAGCAGTCAATAAAGTTGCAAGCGTCACAGTGGATTTATATTATGTTAAAGGCCACCTAGTTTACCCCTTTTTAAGATTTAATAAATCTATTTTTAATAAATAATATAATAAATATATATTTTATGTTAGACACACATCTGATGATTGAATTTGCACAAGCTTCATGTCCACAACTTCATGCATTGGGTTAAATTAGGCTTTGCAGTTTCCACGTTCAGTCCATTACTACCACTGTATCTGTTCAGCTGAGGGAACAGAACCAACCCCGTGACATCAGACACAGCGATATTCCAAGATGGCAGCACCCTAGGTCTAAAAGCTTTTTGTAAAACATGCCATTTTATGCTAAATGATTGCATTAATCGAGTTTAACATATGTTCATTAAAGAGAAATCCAATTACAAAATAATGTAAACTTGACTGAGTGCTTTGTTTCCCATTTAATATATAATTGGTGAGTATAATCATTAAATCAAATTATTATATAAACTAATCAGATACTTTTTTTTAATCCACATAACTCCACAAAACTACAACTTGACTCCGAATTCCCCCTTGAGAGCAGAAAATCAGCAGAGCAGTCGTCAGTTTCGCATGACATTTCCCATGGCATGGCACTGTTTATTCAACAGCATTCAAAATACACATTTCCTTTAGTTTAGGATGAAAATACAGACAAAACAGTCTTTCATCATCTTCTTTAGGATTCCATCAAGAAGATGTAGAAAAAAAGCAAATCCCTAATGATGGATGAGACTGACTCTTCCTCAGTCCAGCAGAGTCCAAAGTCAATTTAAACATCTCGAAAAAAGAAATAAAATCAAACCGTGAAATCTGAGCACCGTTTCTGAACTTCTTGGCCAAAAAATATTAAGTGCCCTTGTGTGTAAAAATGTGTCAGATGTGTGCGAGATGCTGCTGTGCTGGCGTCCTGAGTGTGTGTGTTTATCAGTGTTTGTGTGTTACTGAGTAGGTAAAGGGATGCCGCGTGGGTCCGTCACCTGTCCCTCCTGCAGGTTCTTGACCAGCTGAGCGAGCCAGCGTTTGGTGGTGGAGTCGTCCTTCAGAACTTGAGCAAATGTGGTGTCTTTCAGCTGATCGGGCAGACACTGACGCAGAGCTTCTCTCGCCCTGACACACACACACACACACACACACAAACAATTATATAACAAAATGTGTATACTTCATAATTTTTTTTTCACTTTTATTTCAGTATGTTGATTTAAGCCCAATCCCAATTCTATTATTGTAACCATACATCTTACCTTACTCCAACCTTATTTTAGCGTTTTTAAGACAGTAAAACACAAACGGGATTATGAATATATTAAAACGTGTTTGTTTATGATAAAATTCATAATAATGACAAAAAATACAAATTTGTGCATCTACTTCTGCGTGCAGCCATGCTGTCGCTTTAGCTGGTATATTCTGCGAAATTTTCTTACCCCTTGGTTTCGAGAGGTCCTTGAAAAATCTCTGATTGAAGGGGTATCTAGCCATTCCCCTTAGCCCTACGTCTTCAAGCTAAAGGGAATTGGGACACACCTACCCCTTCACGTGACCACGCAAAAGGAGGGGTAGGGGTAAGGGGAAGGGCTAAGGGGTAGAATTAGGATTGGGCCTTAGTACTTCCAACTGAAATGGAATTTTTAAGTAGGTGGCGGGGCTTTCTTTTTGCGCATCATTACCTCGTAGCAACCTAACAGTCAGACTTGATTTAAGATCACCCAAACAAACTCTTTTCAGTGGATCAACTTAAATAGGTTAATTGTTTACCTAAAGCAGGGGCGCTCAATCCTGTTCCTGGAGATCTACCTTCCTGCAGATTTCAGTTGCTACCCATAGCAAACACACCTGACTGTAATTATCAAGTGGTGTTCAGGTCCTAACTAATTGGTTCAGGTGTGTTTGATATGGGTAGCAACTGAAATCTGCAGGAAGGTAGATCTCCAGGAACAGGATTGAGCACCCCTGACCTAAAGAATAATGAAGTGCGCTAGCAAAATAAACATTTTCAATATTGATTTTGCACAGACTTTAAACAAATTACAAAAAAAAAAGTTAGAAACATAGATTAAAAAAATTATTAAAAACATGAATTAAAAAAATACAAATAAACATAACTGATTATGTTTTTATAATTTTACAAATATTAGATTTTTTTAAATATATAACAACATAAAATTGATGCAAATATTTCACAAACTAATAAAGTTTCATTTTAATTAAAATTATTAAAAGTAAACATTATGTATTATGTGTAAATTAAAATAAATGTAAAACAATCTTTTAAACAAGTAATATACAATTTTGGAGTTGAAATTAGATAAAATATATAAATATAAATATATATTGTTTTTGTAAAATTCATGCAAACCGTATAAAAATACCTGGAGTTGTCAGAAAGTCGTAAATAACAGCGCACAACATGTTTAAGCAGACGAGCCGAGGGTTCCTTAGACAACTGAAGAACCATCTTCCCCTGCAAGAGCACAAAACATATAGTCATTAGTTTAAATACCACTTCAGTCATGCAATTAGCCAGCCAATCAGAGACCTTCTGCTCAAACAAAGGAACGGTTTTCTCCATAACTGATTTTAATAATTACTGATAAACCTTTACAGACAAGCCTATTTTCATCCTGCTTTTTTTCTATTGTTTAAAAGTAGACATCAGTTGTACTAATTGTACTAATCATCTGCTGCAAAAAATAAATAAATAAATCAATAAAAAAAATAATAAATAAATAAATAAAAAAAATCACACCTTTATTATTTTAGCATGTGAATTGAAAATTCATAAATTAATGTATTTGTTTTTGCAAATTTACACATCATTACAAAAATATTATGCTGATACCCGAGTTTTCAATAAAGTTTGACTACGACGAAAACATTTGTTGTTTTTGACCTTGTTTTTTTTCTAAAAATCTGTTTAAAATTAGACATAATTAGAGGAAAACAACATTTAGTGTTTCTGCCAGTATCTTTTGCCATACACAACCCATGACTAACCACACATATTGTAGGACTACACAATATTACAACAATATGTTATATACACAGTGCATCCCACGGACTTATATAAATAGCCAAATCTGTTTATATATAATACGGTCACATCTCTGAATAAATCAAATGTGAAAATGTGATAATTCACTCTTTATGCTATAAGTATTATAAAACATTGACAGTGGACAACAATCTAAAATCTTATTTTGCTTGAAATCAAAGCTTTTAATGTTGTTTATCGCCAGTCAGATTGTTAAGATTTATTTTTGTCATTTTGCCTTTATTTTGACAGGACAGTAGGTTGACAGGAAGTGAAGTGGGATAGAAAGGGGGAAAAATCAGAAAAGGTCCTCGAGCTGGGATTTGAACCCGAGACGCCTGGAGCACTGCCGCACTATATGTCGCAAACTAACCACTAGGCTATTGTGCCAACAATTCAGATTGTCAACCCAAGCTCATTTTGGAAACGTAGCCCCGCGGACGTTTCTGGAGACCGCGATTCACATGTTCCGAGGTACGTACGGCCGCGTTTAGTTTTTTTCGAGCGAACGCTTCAGGGCGGTGTGGCGCTGCTCCGCGCCTCCTTTTCGCGCTCGCCGGCCGACGGCTCGCCCCCGAGTGGAGGGCTTTCCCGATGCAACCAGTTTGTCCACTTAGCTTACAGCGTTGCATCGGCGGAGCGGAGGCCTGGAGGAGGAGGAGCCGGCCGCGGGGATGACGACCGGGATTGAGTCCGGGGAACAGCGGTTCCAGAAATCAGGTAAGACGAAAAACAGAATCTGAAAAATAAGGGCGAGAACGCGGCGGGATCCGAAAACGCGGTCGAAATCGAAGACGAGGGCTTTTGCTTTTTTTTTTTTTCTGAACGGCTTTTGCAAACCGTTGCTCGGGTTTAGGGAAGGAGGGGAAGGAAGAGGAGGTCAGCCAATCCGGCGGCTTTTCGCGCGAGAACGGCGCGGGCGCTAACGGCGCTCGCTCCCGAGAGGCGCCCGAGACGCGAAAAAGCGCGCACAGCGGGCTCTCGCTGATCCGCGAAAACAAAAAATGCTCGAATACGTACCTTACGTACGTTTCCACAATGAGCCCGGGTTGCAGATTGTTTAACTGTCCAAATTTGCGATATTGACAAATTTAGATCTACTTTTATTGGCCAAACTGAACAAAACTGGCAATATTTTGTCTGACATTCTTGTTTGTTGAACCACCCTGTAGAATGTGCTATTTAAATGTACTAGATAACATAAACGTATTAGTGTTATTATCATATATTTTATTTAATACCATGTCAATTTTATTGGCTTTTTGAGGCCAATTTTTTTTTACAATATAAATATAATAAACACAATAAAAACTATTCAAACTGACAATCGAATTATAATATATTTATATTTTTCTCCCCCCCATTAAAATAGTATAAATTTGTTAATTATATTATAAAAATGAGTTTTGTTATTAAAATCTATATCAAATTTGCGATCACTTCTATATGGTGATTTTTAAGAAACCCTGCTTGTGTGATAGTACTAAACTACATCATATCTCACAAACACAATAAATGAAAACTTAGAGGCATATGTTATGTTTTCATGTTATGAATTATAAAGTCTTAGCAAATGCTTTCTAATAGGCTTCATCACTGTTATAAGTGAGACACTCACTCTGTCTTCTCCATACCACCAGAGGGAACACTCACCCGAATACTGATATATACAAACTCTAACTACATTACCAAGCAGCCCACTTACCTGGAAATGATTTCAGTGGCAGCTGAAATCCATCACGCACACTATATAAACCCTCCTTACCCATCAGTCTATGCAAAGACTTGTTTTGCCCAGCAAACAATACTAAGCGTTCTTCCTGGTTTATTTTTCTGTTATTACTCTTGCCTGATTTCGTTCTCGGAATGTTTGCCGCCTGCCCCTTGACCTTAGCCTGCTTTTTGAACTCTCACTTTTATGCACCTGCTCCGACATTAGCCTGTCTTTCACACTCTGTTGTTTGCTACTTCCTGTCAATGAAGCTGCAGATGGATTCTCAGCCCTCTAAATCTTCATTACAATCACACATTTTTTGTGACAAAGTCAAAATGTCAGCCCGGAAATGAAAGTCAACAATATTTCCATATAATAATAATAATAATAAATAATCGCGCACACACATTTCATGGCTTATAACGAAAAGACAAATGATTTCAGAACCCAAAAATGAATATGTCTAACATGTTAATAATACTCCTGAACATTAATAGTTAATTACCAGTATCATGGCTACATGTGAAAAGCGTTCGTAGGTCTGGCAGATGTAGGCAAGCCCCGTATCATCCAAGAGGATCTTCTGCAGGATAAACGTGGCCACCTGAAGGAAGAAAAGAGGAAATACACATCAAATGCATCTGAATAATGCACGTACACTCATAACTTGTCAAGTTATGTCATGTAATGAGATTACCGTTTTGGAGAGCTCGCTGCCGGACTCCATTATGCGCAGACAGAGAGGAATTATTTCTGTGGTTAACAGAAAGTTGATGACTTCCTGCTCGTCTGTTTTCACCAGTGCGCCTATAAGACAAACGCATCTCTGGCTTATTTATCAGGCTTACACAATTACATCCCAAAAAATTATTCAATACAGGATTTAGAAGAAACACATTTATAAAAGTAAATGCAAATCAAATATACTAAATAAATCAATTAATGAATAAAAAACTAGGTCAATAACGTGGTTACTAATCACCTGACATATTCAATAAAACAAAAATATGATGCATTGATAAAACTTTTTTTTAAATATACCTTTTTTATTACTTGTGAATGGTAAATTCATATATGAAAGTAAATCTGTTTTACTTATTTATTTAATTTTTTAGCATATTCATCAAAAATCGAATAATGAAATATATTTAAATTGAAAAAAATCAAATGTACTAAATAAAACATACACATTCAAAAATTTACTCAAACTGATTGCACTAATTGTATTTTTGTTTCGTCTGCTACAAAGTATATATATTTTTTAACGAATGGAAAATTCATATTAATTTTTTGGCAAATTTACGTCATTATATAAATATATTAAATTTGTATGTATAAAAAGTATTTTCACCATTTTCACTAATGCTCCTATAAGATGAATACATTTCAGTTCAGTCTTACTTTCATTTTCATCCAAAAACTTAAATATAGATACAGAAATGTCACAAATTGAAACTGCAAAACCACTAAACAAAATAAAAAAAATCAATATATAGATACAAATGCCCTTCCATATTGAAAATATAATTCAAACTGCTTAATTGTATTTTTGTATCGCCTAATGCAAAATACTGTTTTTACTACTTTTATCTTAATTATATTACATATAGTTTATTATATGTATTTCATATTTTTTTATTTTATGTTTTTACCAAATATTAAAGTATTTGGCAATTTACATAATATTATATATCCAGTGCTCAGCATATATACCCCAAACAAATCTCTCATTTAAATGAATATTTTCTATAGGAAGCTTTACAATATTACATTTGTGCATATACATTAGATTAGTGAGTACTGAATCCAAATCTGGAGCTAATCTAATAAAGTGAAACTTACAATAATGGTTCAGAAATTAGTAGCCCAAATTTATATGTTAGAAAATATTATACAAATTAATATACAAAATATATACAATTTTGTTGAAATGTTCTAGTTTGTTATGTTTTTTTTTTGCAATATTTTGCATGAATTTATAAGTAATCTTTCCATTTCTAAAGATGTTATGTGACTAAAATATTATTTTGATAAAACATATCTGTACAATAAATCTGTTTTGTTCAAATGCACTAATATATATTACCAATATTCACTGAGAAATGGATAAAAATATTCATTTTTAAAATGGGCTGTACTCATTTATGCTGAGCACTGTATATATACACACAATATTTTTATAGCTCTTCCAAACAATGATAACATTTCAGTTCAATCTTACTTATATATATTTTTTCTTACCGATGACGCCCAGACTGGTGAGCCGAAGGTACTCGAAGGGCCTGGTTTTACTGACCGTGTGCAGGAACGGGTAGAGAAATAAAGGGATGTGAGCTGCCAGAAAAGCAGAACTGAGGACGAGAAAGAAATCGGAGGATCAGTCAATGTGGCGAATCATTAAAGAGAGCGTGTCGTTTTCTGTGTCTATAAGAAGTGTGTTACCGTGTCTCTACATGTGACGCCACACACTGCAGCAGTGCTAAGGCATTACACACTCGATTAGACTGATGTGCCGTCAGTGTCGGGGGGTTTATGGATGGGTAGATGTTAACAATTTCCTGTAAAAAAAAAAAAAATTAATTATTAATCTCAATTTAGTTAACTTTGCTCTATTTTTTTCTACCTTCTCAAATGAATTCAAACTTTGAACTTGTTTTGATTACAATAAAAGCCTTTGCTATTATTGTTATTTATTACTATTCAATATAAATTCTAATAGTATCTGAATATCTGAAGAACTACTTTAGTGTCAAATGTCAGAAAAGAGCGTTTACAAAAAGTTTTAATTTTCAAAGTGCAGAAAAAAAAACTACTTAAACCCTAAATTTTATTAAAATTCTTTCAAAAAGGGACATATTTGTAACTTATACAGTTATTATCACTCCATTCCATAATTTTTCAAATATCTGAAATAATTCATGTTTTACTAAACAATTGTTTGTCAATTTATTGCTTTAAAATTCATTTTAAATGTCATTTTCATCAAAAAGATTAATCAAAATTGTGTACATTGAATAAAAACATTGAACAAAAAAACCTACATTTACAAATCCCTCTTAATATTACCTAAAATAATTTTGTAATTAATTTTTACTTATTGTATTATTAATTGCATAATGAATTAATTAACCAGATATATATTAAAAAAACATACAGTTATGCCACTTAATATTTATTTATATGTAAAATAATAATAATAATTACACAATTATTCAATTCAATTAATATTTCTTTAAATCAAAAAGAATTGTGTCTAGAATGAAAGAAACTGAAGCAGACCTGCAGTAGAGCTGCTATGGTCCCGCAGGAGTGCCAGAGCATTGGGGCCAGGTCAGTCACAGACTCTCTCTTCTTGCTGAGCTCCAGCAGGGCGTTCTCTCGTGTTTCTGGACTGGACAACTCATTGATCCACTGGTAGATCTTCTCCCGGTCCACCTGCGCCAGACCCGCTGTGCTTACAGTCTGTGAGAGTGAGAGAGCACTTCTTTAGTCATCATATATAAAGTTGAAGACAGATTTATTAGCCCACCATTGATTTTTTTGTTTTGTTCTTTTTTTTTTTAAATATTTCCCAAATTATGTTTAACAGAGCAAAGACATTTTTAAAGTATGTCTGATAATATTTTTTTCTTCAGGAGAAAGTCTGATTTGTTTTATTTCGGCTAGAATAAAAGCAGTTTTTAATTTTTTAAACACCAATTTAAGGACAAAATTATTAGCCCCTTTGAGCTGTATATTTTTTTCAATAGTCTACAGAACAAACCATCATTATTCAATAACTTGCCTAATTACCCTAACCTGCCTAGTCAACCTAATTAACCTAGTTAAGCATTTAAATGCCACTTTAAGCTGTATAGAAGTGTCTTGAAAATATGTAGTAAAATATTATTCACTGTCATCATGGCAAAGATAAAAAAAAATCAGTTATTAGAAATGAATTATTAAAACTATTATGTTTAGAAATGTGTTAAAAACATCTTTTCTCCGTTATAAAGAAATTAGGGAAAAAAATAAAAGGGGGGCTAATAATTCTGACTTCTGTTTATATTCTAATATCTGTTTATATTCTTATATTCTGTTTACACTCTGATAAATATTTTAAAATCCCCTTTAAAGACAAAAATATTTCCTGAATAAAAATGTTACCTAATATAATTTAAAATGACACATTCTATTAAAATAAGCATCACAACCAAAATACACTTATACAAGTCACAAATAGGTTTTTCTTTCCTTCATTGAGTCATTACTTTGACTACTAACGTCTAGGCATGGGACGATTTAAAAGTTTGGAATAGACAAGGCTTTAAAACCGCTAAAATGTTCTGTTATATCGTTTATAAGGTATATGTAAGGGTTTACAGTGTATTTTTTTTTTGTGTGTTGTAAAGAAATCTGTGTTTTTGAAACTAATAAAGAGAGCAGAAGTCAATGATTTATTTTTACTATTTACCCTGACATAGTTCATAAAACATAATATATTGCATGGAGAAAGTTTTTTTGTTTTGTTTTACCCAGATATGTAAAAAGCACTTATTTTAGCGCAGTAATGATACCACAAAACTATGCTATTTTTATCCAAGGTTATATCATACTGTCAGAATCTTATACCAGCCCATGCCTACTAATGACTCAAATGTCAAAATGTATGGTGTAATTTTTTTTCTCACAAGTTGTTACTATATTACCAGGTGACAAAATTAATATTAATAATAGTCACACATAACTATAACTCATAACTATATTTACTAATGACCATGAGGAAAATAATTCTATTTACAGGGTTCGTCCTTCATTTCAATGATTTTCAAGTAAGTTTTAATGACCTAATGTTACATGTACTGTCTCCATATACGTGGTAAATAACAAGAAAAACTATGCATGTTAAAGGTTATAATGGAATATCATAAAACAATCTATTAGGTTTAAATGAATCTTTATAGGCTGCACAGTGGCACAGTGGGTATCACCGTGCTCCGGTTTTCCCCACAGTCCAACGACATGTGGTATAGGTGAATAGGGTAAGTTAAATTGTCCGTAGTGTATGTGTGTGAACGAGTGTGTATGGATGTTTCCCAGTGATGGGCTGCACCTGGAAGGGCATCCGCTATGTAAAAACATGCTGGATAAGTTGATGGTTCACTCCGCTGTGGCGACCACAGATTAATAAAGGGACTAAGCAAAAAGAAAATGAATGAATGAATAAATTAATCTTTATATCCATTTAAAATTTATTTAGACAATGTTCACACACTACTAATAATGTGAGAGCATGTGTTCGACCATGGACAGAAAAGAAGTAGGGCTCAACGCTAAGAATTTTTTCTACTGGCCCAATCGGACCAGCTGTTCAGATTTTTACTTGCCCTGCCAATATTTTAACTGGCCCCACCAAAAAAAGTTAATAGCTATTTCTTAGCCACAAATTAAAAAGAAAAACATGTCAAAATGTTTGTAAATCTAGAATTTAAATATTAAAAAAAAAATTAATGTTAATAAACTACTAGTTAATTAATAGTTAATAAATGTATAATGAGCAAAATTCTAAGTGTTCTGAAACAAAGGATGGCTAAAGACCTGCCGAACTGACGGCAAACTGTACAAAACATCACTTAATTGTTTTAGTCGTGGTGTACCCTCGTAAATGTCTGCTTCCAAGACATTAAAAACACATGTCTTCCTTTAGCATAATCATTTGATGTTACCGCCATGTTGGAGTCTCTACGCTGTACTGGTTGATACGGATAAAAATAATGTGCTCACAACATCCAATCAGATAAGAAAAACCGAAAGGTAGCATTTGAAGGCTTGAAAACACAAACTCTTTCTCAATTCTAAGACTGTATTTTGCACGCAATTGACAAATAGTCACAGGCAAATGAAACTAGTGACAAGGCAGCATAAATGATCCTGTCTACTGTCCCAAGCATCTCACACACTGGCCCCGGGCCATCGGGCAGTCCTTATTGTTGAGCTCTGAGAAGTAAAAAAGACAACTGATCTATATTTAAGTATACAGATACCTGTTAAACTAATTTCCATGATTTTTTTCTAAAACTTTGTTGGTTTTTCCGTTTTTCCAGGCCTGGAAAATGCCATGTCAAATTTCCATGACTTTTCCAGGTTTTCAATGACCGTATGAACCCTGCATTTAACTGACTTAAATTATAATATTGTTATTATTATTAAATTATAACGCGATTTATATTGTCATCTATATTTTACATTCAGAAATGCAATTTTTCTCATAAGAAGCCTAATTTTACGGCTTTGTTGACTGAAATATGTTTATATATTACCAGCACCAGCGACTCTCAAACGTGTTAATTTAATTGCGAACATTACATATGTACATTTTGGATACTTGTTTTTTGTTTATACGTCCTCGTTTGATATTTATATTTTTGATGTAAAATGTAATATGCTGTTCTTTAAATGAAAAAAATAAAACACTAACTTAACAACTATGCTAATATTATGTTTACAAAAAGCACACGTAGAAAACGTCAGGCTCGCATAAATTTCTCACATATGACTCTCTAATAACTATAAGTACTTACACTACATTATGTTTAAAGAAAAGTCTAAAATAAAGACGAAAACGAGCTTTAATACAGATCACCATAGTAACTGGTTGAATTAGCTTTAGCCGTTAGCTCTACCAGGCCCCTGCACAAACAAGAGTAAAACCCCGAAAAGCGTCCAGAAACTCACCGCTCCTGTCGCCAACATCCTCGCGACCGCTTTACTGTGCTCTCCAGAATAAAAGTGAACAGTGGTTTTCAAAACAACGAGAAATAAACCAGGTTTACATTAGCAAATGAGGTAAGGGGAAAAAAACAACCGCCTTCCGCAGCTGCCTCTTCTTCTACGCTCCTCTTCTTCTTTTTCTTTCTCTGAGTTGTTGGCGGGTAAGGATCATCTGTGTTCATTGCTGCCCCCATGCCGACTCTTGAGTAGTAGCCTACTATACTTAAAGTGCTTATTTTAAACTCCATTGTTCACTTCTACTAAAAAATAACAATTCATTGATTATAGTTATTATAAATATGCTGTTCATCATAATGGTATTAAAATTATTACGTTATAATGATTATTATGTGATTAATGATAACAATAGGGTATTGATATTTTCATATAATAATAATAATAATAATAATAATAATAATAATCACAACAATAATAATCAATTATTCATTTTTCATCCATTTTCTTTTTGGCTTAGTCCCTTTTTTAATCTGGTGTCGCCACAGCGGAATGAACTGCCAACTAATCCAGTTTATGTTTTACGCAGGGGATGCCCTTCTAGCTGCAACCCATCACTGCATGCCCGTAGCCAGCCTGGTGAAAGGGGTGGTTCTTTTTGACCTTGTGGAACTTTTTTCACTTATACGCCTCAGTTTCTATTTAACTTTGAGATTTGAATACTGCAAGTACTGGTGAAGTTTTTTTTCCCTCTCCGCTGTCGCCACTGCCTCGCATGGTTCAGGATTGGTAGAGCTACGCATCAATGAATCGGCTCTTCAGTGTTTGAACTCTCAGTAATGATTAAATCACACTGAACTGAGCTAAACTGAACTGAACTGAACTTAAACACTAAAACCTGAACCACACTGTTCCAGTTACTATGACCATTTATGTGAAGCTGCTTTGACACAATCTACATTGTAAAAGCGCTATACAAATAAAGCTGAATTGAATTGAATTGAACTGCATTTTAGTGATTTTTTTGCTGGATTAACTAGTCAGATGTCATCAAAACCGCACTTTTTGATGTACTAAAAATATGTCTTAAAAATTGCATTAAAAAAATAAAACAAGACTAATTTTTAAAATACAAATTTATTAAATAATATACAGTATCATTAAGAAAAAATAGCAATCTGTCAAAGTTTTGAAGTAAAATAATTGTTGCCCACTAACATTTATTAGACAAAAAACAAACTGGCCAGCACACGCAACTGCCCTTAGTCACAATTTGGCCAAAAAATGTTAAAATTTAATAATAATAATAATAATAAAACAATTATAATGAATTTTGCAGAATTGTTCTAGTCTCTTTGGTAAAAAAAAATACAATTGAAAAATCCTAGATATGAACAATAGCCAACATATATTCTAATTAATTTAATATGGTCTGCTTCTGATGCTTCACATCTTTTTAATGCTCATTTTTATTTCAGAAATAAGGTCCCAGATTTAGAATAAAAGTAACCTGTAAATGTTTTCTCTGTTTAAAAGCAATACAGTAGTGAAAGAAGACTTCTCTTACATCAGATTATAGTCCCACCGAAGCAGCAGCCGACAGAGGATTTCACTTGGTCTTAAAGCCTTTTTTTTTCTTTTTCTTTTTTGATGGATTATTTTCAATATTTATGATGGCAGCAGTCAAAATAGGACAGATGAGCTCATGTATGGGACAAATTCTGGTTAGAGCATGTTTTATGCTTATAGTAAACTTGTTTCAGGTGCAGGTCAGATTTTCTCCAGGTAATAATTTATTAATTTTGTCTATAAAATGATTAAACCTGTCTAGTTTCATCTGCAATGCATCCCAGATCACCTTCTGAAGTGGTTTGAGCGATCTGATATCTGATCAGAATAAAACAAAAGAAGTGAGCAAACAGCATCATAAACACAGACGTGATAGGAATATATATGAATATAAATATATTATATTAATTATATAATAAATCTATTATATAATATTAAATTACATAAAACAATTAAAAGGACAAATGCTGGACATTTTGGCCTTAGGGGTGGTCAGTAGCAAGTAACATGCTGTTTGGTTATGTGACCGCTAGATGGCGATCTTGGATAATAAGAAGCTTACCACCACTAGAGCAGTGCTAGCCAGGCTCACTTTCTGTTCTAATGTCCCGCATCTATTCATCTGTCTCCATATTCTACTGCCTCCCAGAATATTACACAGCACCAAAAATGAAAAAAAAAATTCAATAGATTTAATATGTTTTTGTCTACAGCCGTGACTGAAATTCCCGAGTCTGTGTGCTCCAATGAGATGCTCTCTTCAGCGCTCACCATGACAACGAGACTTACAGCAGTGACGTCGCATTGTAAACATTTGCATATGCGTTCCTATAAAGCTCGTCGGTTCTCTCTCAGGGTTGTCAGTTCGCTCGGTGTTTCTATTTGTACCTGACCAAGGTGAGTTCAATACTTGACGGTACGAGTGGAGCGGAGCAGAGCCAATCTCACAAAGTCCGCTTCGTGAAGCTTCACTCGGGCCCGTCTGTGCTGTAGTTCCTTGCGGTTTGCGTACATAAACGCAATATCGCAAAGAATTTTGCATGTTCATTGCTCAAAATGTGCCGCCAAGCAACATTCCAGTGAATGCTGCCACGGACTGGCGCCCGGTTAGCCCGTGCACTCCCTGGGGCGAGGCGGCTTTTGTGAACCCTAGGCAGGGATCAATACAAGCCGTGAGGACCCTCAGGGAAACACGGGAGGCCGGTAGTGGGACCCGGCTGCCGCGCTGCAAGGATTATGGTGGGTGGCAGCAGCGAGGCCCACTCATCGTCTATTTTAAAATATAGTTTCAAACTTTAGTTTACTATAGTTTAAAACGGTAACCACGGTAACTGTTATGATTTAACTGTTTGTCTGGCTGTTGTAATGTTTTGCTTTGTTTTTCAGCAAAGCTGTTGAGCAAAGGACTATTGAAGACAGCCGTTATTGATGAGCGCGCGCATTATAATGTTTCCGTGCTGTTTTCTGAAAGTTTATCTTGTTTAGATAAGTTTGCAGGTCAAACAAAATAAACTATACTCTTTCTAAACACCTGTCTCGTGTTTTATTTGTCCTCTACAGCAATACACTGTCATAAAACTCGGTTGAATCAATTTGTATGCAACATGGTTTGACAATAAAGTAGTCTAACAAATAAATGGTTGTTATAAATGCACCTTCATTAGTCAACACTTGGTGTAGGTAATAAAAAGTTAATCAAAGATGTCCTAAGACATAACGGTAATGTTATGGTTACATAACTGTATTTATTATTATTCAGTATTGTTAAATTCAGCAGAATATACTTTATATTTAACATGTCATGAACTTACTGTTATTCAAGAATCTGCTTAATAAAAATGTCCTATGGGTATTGTTTTGGTTTTATGTCAAACTACTGTAGGTTTTAGGTTGACTACAGCAGGTTTAGGCTACCTATATCATAAGATAGTCAGAGTTATTTTAACGACTTAAATCAAGTAAAATGTGTCTTACTTAAGTACTTTTAGCATGCAAAGGTCAAATTTAAGTATATAAAATACAGTTTCCAACAACAACAAAAATCATTCATTCATTAATTGTCGGCTTAGTCCCTTTCTGGGGTCGCCACAGCGGAATGAACCGCCACCTTATCCAGCAAGTTTTTACGCAGCTGATGCCCTTCCAGCCGCAACCCATCTCTTGGAAACATCCACTACGGACAATTTAGCCTACCCAATTCACCTGTACCGCATGTCTTTGTACTGTGGGGGAAACCAGAGCACCCGGAGGAAACCCACGCGAACGCAGGGAGAACATGCAAACTCCACACAGAAACGCCAACTGAGCCGAGGTTCGAATCAGCGACCTTTTTGCTGTGAGGCGACAGCACTACCTACTGCGCCACTGCCTCGCCCAACAAAAAATTGTCTTGTGAAAATGACCAGTGGGTGGTGAGAAAAAAAGTTAATGTCAAGTTATATATATAAAAGAAGTTGAACAAGTTGTCATAATATTTAGTCACAATGCATTTTTCCATACATTTCCATTAGACTTAAATCTATAATTGGTAAATTGCTCCCAGGCCAATTTTGACTTTGTCTAGTGAAGGTGCATCTGAAAAGAGATTGTCCTATGTTCACATTTCTACTTTAGTTTTGTTTTTTTCTTGGTCCTGTGTAGTGCTGTCTTTTCCTTTCTGTATCACAATCACATGATCTGGCAACAAATTACAATACAAACTGCAAAAAAAAGAACCAAATTAGCCATAGCTTACATGAGAACATCCCTCCAGAGTACAGTTATATTGACAACACGAGTAAGTAATTTGACTTTCTTATCCGTACACAATGACACAAGGACTTGTCACTCTGACGGCACTGATATATTAAGAGATGAACTAAAGATTTTAAGCAAGAGATTGGCTTTTGCAGGTAATCCATGCTGTTCTGCTATTTGTGTGTGCTGTTTTGAGAAATGCACTTACTGTTTTGTACATTTCAAATCTGAGAAATGTACCAAAGCGACTGAGAAAAACTGGAATACAACACAAGTAAATGCAAAGACGAAAAGTCTGCAAAGACAAAAGTGTGTATTTTTGTTTGCACATATTATGTTATAAAAATAGTAGTGTATATGTAACCCCACTGGTTCTACACCACCCAACCCGCTCAGAGCTGGTATCAAACCGGCTACCTTCCACAAGGGAGTCGGTTGCTCTAACAAGGAGGCTAAAGACCACGGCCTCTAGCATCTGTCGCTAGAGCATCTTTACAGGTCAGAGGAGTGAGGTTTACCTGCACAGCACACACTAGCTGGCCTCCGTTACATATACATAATTGGGTTTTGTATTTTTTGGCTTCATATTATCACTTTTTAGTCTACTCATTTTGATGTAATCATAATAGTACAAAGAGTCATGTATTGTAAAACGGATATTTATAAAAATCCATAGTGGAATAGAACATCACAACCACGGTTTCTGCTGGTGTCAGACACTATTTCAAATGTATGCTTTCTTTAGTCTTTTTTAAAACCATTGTAAATTAAATTTCTGACTTATATAGGACTTTTAATTGACGTTCCCAAACTTTTCAGCTCGCGAGCCCCAACATAACATTGAGAAATGTTGGGGTCGCGAGTCACAGGCAGAGGTAGTTATAAATATACAAATGTTGCACACACAACAATAGGCCTATACAAACATGATTATATTGCCAAAACAAAAAAGTGCAACAGTCTTAACAATCATTGGCTTTAATTAATATAATTACTAACTCATTTGTTTAATTTAATATTAACCTCACCTCAATGAACCTGGTGGACACCATGTTTTCAGCCTTTTTCACCATGTTTTAAGTCTATGGGTTTAATTTTGGAGATCATCCTCAATGTTCAGTTGTGGCCTGTATTTATTTTCAATGCATTTGATTACCATGAAGAAGTCAGAAAGTTTAACCTGGTGCTATAAAATCAGTCTGTGTTGTTAATCTAAAAGTATCTAATCTAATATACAATCCTATGACAAGAATTAAAGGCTGAGGTCTTTTATTTATTTATTTTTTTTGCATGTTGTTGCTTTTTATGCAACTTTTAAATACTGTTTTTATTTACTGTGGGTTATGGATAAAATATTGATTAATTAATACTATAAGATTTAAAAACTGCATTAGCTAGTCAGATGTCATCATAACTACACCACAAAATCGCAAAAAAAAATAAATTAAATTAAAACAAGACTAAATTTTAAAATACAAATTTATTACATCATATACAGTATCATTAGGAACAAAGAGGAATCTGTTGAAGTTTTAAAGTTAAAAAAACTGTAGCCTAAAGGTGCTCCAATTACCCCCACAGTCCAAATACATGCGCTATAGGTGAACTGAATAAGCTTGTCCGTAGTGTATGTGTGTGAATGAGTGTGTATGGGTGTTCCCGATGATGGGTTGCAGCTGGAAGGGCATCTGCTGCGAAAACAAATGCTGGATAAGTTGGCGGTTCATTTCGCTGCGGCCACCCCAGATTAATAAAGGAACTAAGCCGAAAAGAAAATCAATGAATGAATTATTCAATAATATTAATAATAATTATTATTATTAGACAGCTCCTAATATTTTTGGTAAAACTAAGTTGCACATATTTATTGCACTACGTTGCACTAATTCATCTTGAATTTTACATTTACCCACTGTACATATACATTTGTTATCATGTCCATATCTTTCTGCATACCTCTGATTATTGATAGCAACCTGTACCTATATTTGTCTATTGTAAACTCTGTTCATATACAACCTGTATACATATCAAGTGTAAAGTATTCCTAGAGCTTCACTTTTCCCACAAATTTTCATGTTACAGCCTTATTCCAAAATGGATTAGATTAATTTATTTCTTCACAACTTTACACGCAATCCGCCATAACGATAATGAGAAAAAAGATTTTTTGAAATTGTTGCAAATTTATTAAAATGAAAAAAAAAAAAACCTGAAGAATCACATGTACATCAGTATTGACAGCCTTTGCTGTGAAGCTTTAAATTGAGCTCAGGTCCATTCTGTGTCCACTGATCATTCTTAAGATGTTTCAGCAGCTTAATTAGAGTTCACCTGTGGGAAATTCAGGACACGATTTGAAAGGCTTACACCTGCCTGTCTAAGGTGCCAGGGTTGACAGTGCATGCTGTTAAATTATTATTTTTATTATTATTGCCACTTTAATTATTTTAAATATTTTATTTATTTATTTATTTTAATTACTTTTAATTATTTTATTTGAGCTACTCCTCCTAAAATGTTTTTTTTTTGCAAGTATTTTGACCACATGCAGACCCCATAAGCAACTATCTTCTGTTTTTTTGAACTTTACCCTCCTCACTCTTGCATAACATTGGTGTCACTTTAACAGGCGGGTGTATCAGACCTGTGTTCCATCCAAAAACACAGAAGGTCTAAATCTGTGCTCCTCCTTCAGCTCTTTGGCCTATTTCTGGATCAGTCATTAACAGACGTCCCAGCTTGGTCATGATGCAACTGTCTGGGTGCTTTTCAAGAGTCATTTATTAAACCGTCTGCTTTATCAATTCACAATTTACTTGTTACTACAGTACATACTGAAAGCCAAATCTCTGTCTATGATTAAAGGGATAGTGCACTCACAATTAAAAATTCTGTCATCATTTGCTCACCTTAGACTTCTTTCTAACGTTTACAACTTTCTTTCTTCTGAAAAACACAAAAGAAGATATTTTGAAGAATGATGAAAACCTGTAACCGTTGACTTCCATAGTATTTGTCTTTCCTACTATGGAAGATGAGGGTTTTTAGCTTTCTTTGAAATACCCTTATTAGTTTGTGTTCAACCAAAGAAAGAAACTCTTAATAATTTCTAATCACTTGAGGGTGAGTAAATAGTGAGTATATTAAATATTTTGGGTGTAAACAATCCATTTAAGCTTCAATCTTTGACCATTAATAAACCAACATTATTCAGGAGCCAGATTAAAAACGTCCCCAAACAATGTTTGACGGCGACCCCTCTCCAAAAGCGTTTATCTGTGAAGACAGGGGAATCATTAAATGACCTGAATCCAGTCCAAGAGACGGGTTAATTATTCAAAACACATGCATGCCGCCCGCTTTAAAAGTTCAACTTTAGGGTCAGTATTGAAGTGTGTGTGAGGAAAGCTCTTGCAGTCATGGCTAAACTGGTGGAGTGTGTACCTAATTTCTCAGAGGGACGTAACAAGGAGGTAAGATTAACATTGATGTACTGTATATTTGCACAACTGACAAAACTAATTGGCCATTAATATAAACAACAACAGTGTTGAGGAAAATATACTGGTTAAAACAACAAAGATATCATATTTTGTCATATATTTCATATCATTATTGTCACTGTGTAAACAGCAAATGCATATATTGTGATGTTGTGCATTTTAAAAGCATAGTTCCCTCAAAAATGTAATATTTACACACACTCAAGTGTTTTTCGGTTCCACTTTATATTAAGTTGTCTTTACTAATATGGACTTACACTGAAATTAATCATTTGTTACAGTGTACTTATTGTGTAAATACATGTTTTTACAATGTACTTAAAATTGATTAAAAAACTATTACATCTGTAATTAAATTTTAAATTATACTGTTACACCTTAACCTATCACTAAACCTAGCCATACTACCAAACCTGTCCAGAACGTGATCTGTATCCCACGTCAATATACTATAAACAAAGTAAGTACATTGTATTTATTTTTTGATGTAAGTGCCTAGAAGTTAAGGCCACTTATAAAGTGGGAACTTTTTATGAATTTCCTTCTTCTGTTGAACACAAAATAAAATATTCTGAAGAATGTTGGGAAAACACACTTTAATAAAACAATACCATGAACATTAGTTTTTTTTTTCCAGTATTCTTCAAAATATCTTCCTTTGTGTTCAACAGAAGAATGAAATTCAAACAGGAAGTTTTAGAGGAAGAAAAAATGAATAAACTGAATTTTCATTTTTGGGTGAATTTTCAGCCAATTTTAAATATTCAGCCTTCAGGACTTGCAAATGTACTGCGTTTGGAAAACATGCAACTAGAAAAACACTAACAAACTGAGAAAACATCACTTTTCAATACATGCAAATACAGAAACATGCTGCAAATAGTGCAGATCACAACAGAAAAGGTGACAAACCTGGCTGCTTCCTGTTTAGAGTCATCTGTGTTGTAGTAGATCTTAGAGGTCAGTTTTTGGTTTATTTTAACATCCGAATCATATAATTTATAGTTGTTTGAATATTTTTAGCTCAAGTAATCGGATGAATTGTCAATTAATGTTAAATGAAATGCTATGCTAGTGCTACGAGTTAGCAAGATTTTCTCTCAGAACTAAAACATACAAACAACAAAAAAGTACAACTAGGATAAGCAAAAATCTTCATTTAGTGGAGAGGAAGGGAGTAATATCAAATGTAAACAAAGGATAGGAGGAAACAAGCTTTCCCGCACTTTCACTCCATGTGGTGTGGAGGCAAATATCTGACTGTGTGTTTACACCCAGTGTTTGTATTGTCCTTATGTGGAGACATCAAAGTGTCTGAGGTATCTTAAACCTTACAACAGGTTTTGTGAATAAATGACTTTTAAAACTCAGATTTACTACGTTAAAATTGTTGAGGATGTTAAGATTGTTTTTTTTCCATTACCATGATGTACACAGTAAATGATTTTGTCCTTTGGGAACTGATTGGATCATAGGAAGATAGCCGTTACTAACAAAATGGAGGAAGAAGTTTTTGAGAATTACTGTCCACAGGAATCACCGTCAGGACCCTCTGGTTTTCAGATGCCTGATAATTACGTGGCAGAGCTCAATTTTACAGATGTCGGATCAAGATAAATTTAAGCCACAGATATGAGGCAAAAAACACTCGGTATAGCCCCACCCTAAATGACTCATAGCCTCCCCTAAAATGAATGATAGCTCCCCCAAGGACTGATAGTCCTGCTCTAAATGACTGATCTGGTAGCCCACCTTATATTACTGATATCTCGACCACAAAAGACTGATAGCCCCACCCAATAAGACTGATATCAGTGCTCTAAATAACTGATATCCCCACCCCAAATGATTGGTATTCCCACTCCAAAGGACTGATTGTCCCGCCCTAAATGACTGATCTGATAGCCCATCCTAAAGGATGAATTATACTTCTTTGTCAAACACAGGTGCGTGGATGCATAGCCATCGCCGTTGGCAACGCTGACGTGTGCCTCCCAAAAAATGTAACGCATAGCGCAAGCTCTGTCATTGGTCCGCTTGGTAGCACTGACGAGTGTGAGTGGGGGTGAGAGCCGTGCAAGCCCGATGCAGCAAGTGTTTACAAGTGTCGAGTCCCGTGAAGGAGCTCTGGATGAAAACTGTTGTTCTGTGTTTACCTTATGATTAAAGTTGTTGCACGTCCACCAGTTTCCGCCTCTGAATGAGCGAGTTTGAGCCACTTGTACATTAAGGTAGCGTTTAGAATAAAACAAAACACCAGCGAAGAAACTCGACACAGAGGAACATGAACACCTACTGCCAGCTTGTGTTTCGGAAGTGCTATTGCAGAGGAACACAACCAGCGCGGAGAAGTGGGTCACGCCAATCACTTGAAGCAGAAGTATAAACCAGGCTTAAATGACTGATATCTCCACCCCAAACGAATGATAGCCCTGCCCAAAAGGACTGATAGTCCCGCCCCAAAAGACTGATAGCTCCGCCCTAAAGGTATTCCATGTGACCAGAAGTGAAGAAAAGTCGTTTTGAGGGGTTGGGAAGGTCATAGTGTTGGATTAAAGATTATGAGGGTAATTTAATTTGTACAAAATAATGAAGTGCACAGATTTATACATGTACATAATATACGTTTATAATATACATAAAATAAGAAGAGAACATTTTGATTTCATGTCAACTTTGAATCAATGTACTCAATCTAATCCAATTTTAGATTCTTCTCAAATGTTGTGTTTATGTTTGATCACACAAAAGGCACTGATGTAGCCTACTGAGCTTTTAAATCTTGTTCATATGTATTAAATCCAGGTTATTGACGCCATAGCTAATGCCATCTCTGCCACCGAGGGCTGCAGTTTACTGGATGTTGATCCGGGATCATCAACCAACAGGACTGTGTACACTTTTGTGGGCTCTCCCACGACTGTAATCGAGGGGGCTCTGAACGCGGCCCGTGTCGCTTTTAAACTTATAGACATGACCAAACACTCAGGTACAAACTGAGGAGATGTAGCATGTGTTACAGTATTAGACTCCAAATGAGTTTTTATGGTAATGAAGTTATTTTGTTGAACAGGGGAACATCCTCGGACAGGTGCGATGGACGTGTGTCCCTTCATACCAGTGCAGAACGTCACCATGGAGGAGTGTGTACAGTGTGCCAATGAATTTGGCCAGAGGTTGGCAGACATGCTGCATGTGCCAGGTGGGTTTGTATGAGCTACTAGTTTCCAACATTCTTCGAAATATCTTCTTTTGCGTTCAACAGAAAAAAATAATCTGGATCAAGTGGAGGACAGATTGTTAATTTTTGAGTGAACTATCCCTTTAACCCCCCTTCTTGTCTTGCAGTCTATCTTTATGGAGAGGCAGCTAGAAAAGAGAGCAGAAGGTCACTTCCGTCCGTCCGTGCAGGAGAATATGAGGCATTACCAGATAAGGTCAAATCTCAAGTCACGTTATTTCTGAAATTATACTTCTTAAGTCTCGTTTATTCTCACGTGTCAAGTGCAAGTGGTTGGCTCGCCGGATACTTATTGGTTGTATCCAATATCGCCCCTATACCCTTAAATAGTGCACTATGTAGTAGTGTCTGAAACCACAGTGGACATTTTGAAGTGTACTCAAGCAGTCCCACAAAACATCACCAAAAATTTATACACAACCCGCTTCTGACCACAAGAAGGCATCTACAGCAGAATCCTATTTGGTGTAAGTTTCAAAATAAAACATTATTTAATTAAAGTAACATCTGTATACATGACAGAGATCAAAAATACTTTGTTTCATTACATTATTAAGTGTTAAAAACTATCAGTGCCTGAATAAGAACTTGAAAATCTAATCCATCTTAAGGATTTATCCATCCTCGACGCACAAAAATGACAATCCGTTCAGTGTTTGTATTCACTTGTTTGTTTTCTTTGTACTCCTTTAAGTGGACTTTATTAGTGGACTAATGTGGGGAATTGTAATGTGAATTGGGACACTGACTACGCAGGTGTGGATCCAAATGCAGGGTTTATTATATAGAGATGGTTAGGCAAGCAACAGTCAACACTGGGGCAAACAGATGTATGTAGGCAAATCCAGAATCCCAGTCAATAGACAGGTCAGTACAGGCAGGCAGCAGACAACGTAAACAAACAAAACAAAGCGAGGGTCAAAAACACGGCAAGACAAGGCAAGGAAAACACGTCGTAATGTTCACAAACTGTTCAACAAGACTCAGCTCTGAAGTGTGTGGGTGCTGTATAAATAGTCCTAGTAATCAGTTCATAAGTAGCTTCAGCTGTGTCTGTCTGCAGTCATGGGGATCTAGGCCAGGTGTGTGCGTGGTGCATGACTGGATCTTGTAGTCCATTTAATGGCAGATTTGTAGTTCCATGCAATACTGGGTGTTTACCAGCGATCTGCACAGGCTGTATAGCTGATGATCGTGACAGGAATAGTGAATGAGGGTATTGCGGTTTACCTGACACAGAATTATTAATTGGGCTTAACACCTATAACTGGGAGCATCTAAAAGTATCCCCAAATTTGGGTGAGTACTCTTTGTCAATAACCTAACTGAGAATAAACTTATCATATAAATATAAATAGCTCTTATATAGCGGGGAAAATAAGTATTGAACACGTCACCATTTTCCTCAGAAAATATATTTTTAAAGGTGCTGTTGACCAGATGTTAACAACCAAAGAAATCCATATATGCAAAGAAAACAAATCTAATTAGGGTAAAAACGAACTTATGTTAATAAAATAAAATGACACAGGGGAAAAGTATTGAACACATGAAAAAAGGGAGGTGTAGAATGGCAGTGAAAGCCCAGACAGCTGCTGAAATCTCCCAGGAGTTATTCAGCAACCCTCTGCTCTTCGTGATTGTAAATTAATGTTCGCTGCTTCAGTGCAACATCTACATTATTAAGATGATAAAGGTGAAACCAGAGTGGAAATTTCAGCAAGACAATGATCCAAAACACAGCCAAGGAAACTCTCAAATGCTTTCAGAAAAAGAAAATCAAGCTGTAGAATGGCTCGGCCAATAACCTGACCTGAATCCAATATAAAATACAAATTAAAAATCAGATTTGATAAACGAGACCCACAGAACTATCAAGATTTTCAAACTCTGTTGAAGTCTTTGAAAAACTCACACCTGAGCAATTTGTGTGACTTCATTGTACATAAGAGAAACGTCTTTAAGCTGCCATCACCAAAAAAAGCCTTTTATATACATTTCAGTAGTTCAGTACTTTCTCCTTGTGTCATTCCTTTGTCATTACAGAAATAATTTTTCAGATTTTTATTTTTTATTTTTATGTTTGTATTGTTTGGGTTTTTACCAAAGTTTGATTCAATTCCACATCAACAGCTCCTTTAAAAAATATTATTCCCAGGAAAAAAAACATGACATGTTCAATACTTATTTCCCCCGGTGTATAAATAGCTCATAAAATATATATAAAAAAATGTGTTTTTACTCCTGTAAAATAACTTAGGACTAAGCAGTGATTAATTTAACAGACCTGCACTGTGAAGAAAAAAATATTAGTGAATTAACAATTTTTCATGTCTTGCGATTCCTGTTTTCCATGTTTCATGTGATTTATGAATTGTATTTTGGGACCTTAGTCTTTCCTCCAACAACTTTTAACGTTGAAAAGTTTCAAAAAGTTTCAAAAAGTTTTCTTTTATTGATATTTTTAATAGTTTGAAGTGATAAATTTCCTGGGTTGCTGTTCTGATTCTGAAGGTATGATAACCTTGGATAAAAATATCACGGTTTCACAGTTTTGCTGTATTTTGATTACTGCTCTAAAATATATTCTTTTTTGAATATCTGGGTAAAAAAACAAACACTTTTTTCCTGTTATTTTAGGAAACATTTATAATATTTCGGAACAGTAAACCAATTAGGCTAAATAATTCAAATAAACGATTGTCTTCATTAGTTTCAAAAACAGATTTTTTTTTACAAATTAAAACGTCATCTTGGATATCTTTTCTGCTGGAGATACTATTTTACTATAAAAAGTAAATAAAAATGTGTTATTATATTAAAATATATTACGGTATAGCAGACAATTTTGACGATTTTAAAACCTTGACTGAACCGTCCAAACCGCGGTATACCTTGAAAACAGTTATCATCCCATGTCTAGTTGGTATTGCAAATTACAATACAAAAACCTGCTAATAAACTGATGTGATCATCTATGAATAATTTATTATACAATATATTGTTTCAAACTACTAAAATCTCTAAAAAAAAAGTCACTTTGCTAAACTGCACGATTAAATTTTCAACATCAAATGTCAACAGAGCAGAGAATAATGGTCCGATAATATAATTTTACCCATGAATAAAAAAAATAAATAAATAACTGTTAATAAAAATATACAGAACATGTAAATTAATGGATATCATTTACATTATGAGGCCTAATTTCTGAGGAACAAAGAAATATGTTAACACCTCTTTTGTTCTTTGTCCCTCAGTTGAAAAAGAGTGAATGGGCTCCTGAATTCGGCCCAGCCACCTTTGTCCCCTCATGGGGAGCAACAGTCACCGGTGCCCGAAAGTTCCTTGTCGCCTATAACGTGAATCTGCTGAGCACGAAGGAACAGGCTCACAGAATCGCATTGGACATCAGAGAACAGGGCCGCAGTAAAGATCAAGTATGTCTTTGTCTGACGTCACTGTATTGGTTTCGGTTTTCACTGCGTGTCAAATCTAGAACTTAAGAATCAAGGCAATCTGACCTAATTATACATATCACTTCCTTGAGGGTTTTCCCTATGTTCTGATCCCTGATGATTCAATGAAAGTGTTTCTGAATGTTGCTGGAGTATAGCCCGGGCTTCTCAAGAAAGTTCAAGGGATGGGATGGTACCTGGAAGAGTCCAATCTGGCGCAAGTGTCCACTAATATCCTGGACTTTGAGCTGACGCCAATGCACACGGTGTATGAAGAGATCTGTAGAGACGCCAAGGTGAGTCAACTTCAAATCTGAATTGGCATATCAGGAATCAGTCTCATGCTCCCTGCTCCTCCATGATTGCCGCAGCATCTGCTCAGGATACAGCCTGGTCTAGCATTATGGATACCTTGGCATCATTTCTTCACAGGTCTTTGATCGCATCAATGGCCCTGCACAATCTCTAGAGGCCTCAGGATGAGGATCCTCAGGTGGAAATGGAGAATAAAGAAAATAATTAGCGTAGCTGCTGTTCATTGTGTATTTAAACACGAGATGCAAAAATTAAGTGCTATGAATGATACTAGTAGTAGTATAAACAAACATAGAAACAATGATGTAAAGCATATGCATATTTGAATGTGATCATGAATGTGCGCAATATACTGACACTGAGGAGAAGAAACAGAGTCAGATTGATCAACAGGATGTCTGTTCATGTGCAGGACTTGAACCTTCCAGTGGTGGGATCTCAGATTGTTGGTCTGATCCCGCTGAAGGCCATGCTGGATTGCGCTGACTTCTACATTAAAAGAGAAAAGCTGTTTGTTGTGGAAGAGGAGCACAAAATACGACTGGTGAGTTCAAATTAAAGGGTAAGTTCACACAGAAAATAAAAAAAATGCTGGGTTCCACACAATTCATTTGTATGTAACATGACGGAATTAAGTTAACTTGTTTATAATAATAATAATAATTATTATTATTATAGTACTAATTATAGTAATAATTTAAGTGAATTGAACATAAAAAAATAAAATAAAATAAACAAACACACAAAAAAACTCTCAAGAATTGTGTGATTTCAGCTTATTTTTATGAACTTTGAGAGCTCCCTCATCCTCCATTGACAATAATGGTCTTGAGCAGGGGTGTCCAAACTCGGTCCTGGAGGGCCGGTGTCCTGCATATTTTAGTTCCAACCCCAATTAAACACACCTGAATCAGCTAATCTACTCTTTCTAGGTATACTAGAAACCTCTAGGCAGGTGTGTTAAAGGAAGTTGGAGCTACTCAGCAGGACACCGGCCCTCCATAACCGAGTTTGGACACCCCTGGTCTAGAGAAGTTCAAAAATGCCCCAAAACATCCTCAAAACAGTCCATTCATCTTCATTGGTTCAATCAGAATATTATCAAGCTCTGGGAATATGTTTGTGTGCACATAAATTGTATACGTCACTGCACAGTGCTCAATATGTATCACTGCTTAATGTGCGCAATATACTGACACTGAAAAGACAGAAGCTGTCAAATAAAATTTTTATTTTTACTTTAAGTTTGCATGAAAAAAAATATTGTCACTTGATAATATTTCAGTTGAATCACCTAACACACTTGGTCTGTTTTTCAGGATGTTTTTTTTGCCATTTTTCTGGACTTCTCAGGACCATTGTTGTCTATGGAGGATAAGGGAGCACTCAAAATTCAGTTCACAAAACATTTTAATTTACGTAATATCTTAAATTAGAAGCAAGTAATTATTAATAGAATTTTTATTTTTAGGTAAACTATTACTTTAACTGTCAAATATTCGATACAGTAAATCAAAAGGTCTTATTTCTTTCTTGTTACACCGTGTGTGGCTCGGAGGATGAAAAGGGCTAAACATAATTATGACAACCCAATTTTTTAAAATTGCCCTAAGTCAGTAGCTGCTATGACGTGGCAAAAAGTGGTTTGCTTGATTTACAATGATAGAGATAAGAAAGAAAAAATAAGAATAAAAGAAGCAAATTGTAATAAACCTTACAGAGGAAAGGAAATTAAGCAGTGCCAAATCCAAAGAGCATAAATTAAACATGCTAACTAAACCTTCCCCACATCTGTTAACATTATTGTTTTGTCAGGTTATCAGCAAACTAGGACTCGACTCTTTGGGGCCTTTTGATCCAAAGGAGAGAATTATAGAGTAAGTCCTAAAGCATAAAATATCTGAATATGTGTTAATGAAATATTGTCAGAGTTTTTCTGATTGATGTCTAACAGGAGAACTCTGTCTAACTGGTTGATTTTGAGTCTAGGTATATGGTTCAAAACAATCAGGACGATGGCCGGCTCGTGTCTCTGTCTCTGCAGAAGTTTGTTCACAGCGTCGGGGCCAGAACAGCGGCTCCTGGTGGGGGGTCTGTTTCTGCTGCAATTGCTGCTATGGTAAAACAATGTTATAGTTGTAAGGTATATTCTAAAAAATTATTTAGAATATATAATGAATATTTTATTTTTAAATGACCTTTTTGGGGGGTTGAATATTTTTGTTTACAATTCATTTCGTTTTTCACAATACAGTTTTTAGGTGTAAACTGGGGAAAAAGTACAGAACCAATTACTTTTTAATAGCTTCATAAAACAATTTTTTGTGTGTGGAAATACTACATTTTTTTGTGGTGTCTATTTTTTTAATAATTTGAAAACAGATATAGATTAATCACAAAATATACTGCTTTTATATACTGATTTATGTTTACAAAATATAAAAACTTTATACACTGAAACAGTTAATATATTCCTACATTATACATATTGCAATGCATTTTATAAAAGTAAATATCATTTGCAATCTTTGAACGGTGATGAATGCATGCGCTGTATATGTGTGATGCTGTCTTTATCTGTGTGATTGTAAGGGAGCAGCTCTGGGCTGTATGGTCGGTCAGATGACGTACGGAAAGAGACAGTTTGAGTCTCTGGATGGGGAGATGAGGAAACTCATCCCTCCTTTTCATGAAGCCATGAACGACTTATTATTAAAAGTGGACGCGGATTCAACTGCCTTTAACAGCTACATGGTACACAATCGCATATAAACAACATATTCTGAAAAATTTTAATGTACTGTCAGACTATCCAAGATTACTTATTTGGAAGATCAATCATCGATATTTTGAGCTGAAACTCTAATCTTTGATGATTACTAAAATGTAAGTCTTGAGAGTCATTCCAAAAAAAAAAAAAAAAAAAAAAAAAAAAAATATATATATATATATATATATATATATATATATATATATATATATATATATATATATATATATATAGTACTAAACAGTTTATGCTAAGCTAAGCTAATTATCAAAGCTTTTTTCTGAAGTTTTTGATTAAGATGCTACTGATCTAATTTAATGGAATGACTTATGCTAAGGAAACTCTTTTTAAATGTTTGATTGAGATGCTAATGGTCTAATCCGATGCAATGATTTAAGCTAAGCTAATTATTGAAACTTTTTTTGAATTTTTTTATTGAGATGCTAATGTTCTGATCCGATTCAATTATCTCTGCAAAGATATGCTAACTATCGAAACTCTTTAAAAAAAATTCATTGAAATACTAATGGTCTATGCTTATGGACTAATGGTCTATGTTTATGCTAAGCTAAGATAATTATCAAAACTCTTTTTGGAAATTTTTGATTGAGATGCTAACGGTCGAATCCGATTCAATGATTTATGCTAAGCTAAGCTAACTATCAAAACTTTTGACATTTTTTTGATTGAGATGCTAATGGTCTTATCTGTTGCATAGATTTATGTTAAGCTAAGCTATTTAACAAAACTTTTTTTGAAAATTTTGATTGAGATACAAATGGTCAATCTGATACAATGATTTTTGCTAAGCTAAACTAATTATCAAAACTCTTTTTAAAAAAATTGATTGAGATGCTAATAGTTCAATACGATTCAATGATTTATGCTAAGCTAAGCTAACTATCAAATCTCTTTTTTTTTTAAAATGTTTTATTGAGATGATATTGGTCCAATCTGAGTCATTGAATTATGCAAAGCTAATTATCGAAACTCTTTTTAAATATTTTTTGATTGAGCTGCTAATGATCTAATCTGATTCAGTGATTTATGCTATGTTAAGCTAATTATGGCGCCTCATTCCGCTGTGGCGACCTCGAATTAATAAAGGGACTGAGCCGACAAGAAAATGAATGAATGAATGAATAAGCTAATTATCAAAACTCCTTTTTAAAATTTGATTGCGAAGCTAATGGTCTAATCCGATTCAATAATTTATGCTAAGCTAAGCTAGAAGTATTCACGCCAGACTCAGAGATCAGCTGCATAAATTTAAAAAATATTAAAATTAAACTGTTTAACTCCAGATGATTTGTAAAATTAGTCTATTTCCAAAAAAAGTAAAGTCTTTCTTAAATGTTTACTGCAAAAAAAAAATAATAATTCTTGGATGGCCTGAAGGAGAGCAATTAAACAACAATCCTTGATTTTTGGCTCAACCATTCCTTTTTAACTGGTAAATATTTTACTTATGTAACATATTTACTTTGTAGTTGACAAGATCTTTTCTGTCATTACAGGCTGCTCTGAAAATGCCCAAAGGCACGACAGATGAAATCAAAAGGTAAAGTTTAACATTGCTATTGTGCTTACACAAAACAGAAGTCATCCATCAAACTAGACATAATACGTGAAGGAACATTCTGTGTCCTGTTAAACCAGTTTAAGGGTTCAGTTGATGTAAAAACACTCCATGCACCACTAAGAAATAAGAAAGACTGGCAAAGACTTGACATATATTTGCAGAGAAGCATCTGACTGATAAAACAAACACATTATGCAAGCGTTCAGTTAAACACAACACTGGTAAAAACAAATATGGATCAGTAGCTATACATTAACTCTGCTGTTTGTCAAAATCATATGAAAGTTCAGCACTGATTGGCTGTATGTTGTGTTTGTTTGTCAGGAGGGAGGAAGCCATGCAGGAGGGTCTGAAAGCAGCGGTTCGTGTTCCTCTGTCTCTGGCAGAGAGAATAAACACACTCTGGCCGCATATTAAAGAGATGGTCAAATATGGAAATGTGGCATGTAAATCAGACATTCAGGTGAGAGATGTTAAACTAGACCTTTTTTTTCTAAATAAATTAATGTTTACACTTTTTAAATAAATATATTTGAATTATCTGAAATATGTTATATACATACAGTGGGTAAAATAAGTATTGAACACAGCTTATTTCGGTGCAGTTGACTTATATATATATATATATATATATATATATATATATATATATATATATATATATATATATATATATATTTTTTTTTTTTTTTTTTTTTTACGAGATGTCAGCAACAACTAAAGTAATCCATACATACAAAGAAAACAAATCTAATTAGTTTAGAATTGAAGTTATGTGTAATGAAATGAAATGACTAAGGAAAAAAGAATTGAACACATGAAGAAAGGAAGGTTTAGAAAGGCAGTGAACGCCCACCCAGCTAGAAGAGAACGTTCTCTCAACTTTAGCTAACATTCCCTACAGGTTGTGTCATTGTTATAAAGAAAACAAAACAATGAACAAGAACATTCTGGCAATATCTTGAAAATGTTGGTAAGGGACCAAATTAAACAATGTTCTCTTAGAAAACGTTTTCACACTGTTTCATAAAACCAAAGTAAGAACATTCTCACAGCCACATTAGAGAAATGTTTTAAGAACATCATCGAGATGTGAGATGTGGATTGTTCTTTGAAGAATGTTTTAGCAATAAGACATTTGAACAAAGCTAGCACATTTTATTTTATCTTTTGAAAACATTTTAAGGCCCAGTTTCACAAACATGGCTTAGAGTAAGTCAGGACTAGGCCTTAGTTAAATAAGGTTATTTAAGACACATTTATGAAAATGGCCTTAGAAAAATATTACTGGTGTGCACCTGGAGACAAAAAAATGACACTGACATATTTTAAGACATCTCACCGCAAGTTATTCTGAGTTGAGACAGCTCAAACATGAAATTTAATCCTGACTAGCCTTAAACCTTGTTTGTGAAACCGGGAGTAAGAGTATTGAAATGGCGCCAGATTAAACAATGTTCTCTTAGAAAACGTTTTCACGATGTTTTATAAAAACCAAAGTAACAACATTCTCACAGACACATTAGAGAAATGTTAAAAGAGCAAGATTTCTTTTTAATAACGAGACAGAAAGACAATTAACATAGTAATTTTTACCTGTACTAGTTAAAATATATAAAATGTCATGGTTAAAAACGTATTGCAGGCAAATAAGTAAAACCTAGTGGTTTAAAAAATAGTGGCAAAGCATACAGATTTAAAGTGACAATTAATTAGTAAAATTTGTATCAGTGTCAGCAGATTATTCTTGTTTTAAATATACCTGATTTTTAAAATTGTTTTCTTTTTATTTATTTCACTTGTTACACATGTTATACAATGAGCACATAGATGTAAGAAAATGCAGTGCTTTAAACTTTCTTTTTCACATTGCTACAGTAAAATTTCATTTGTTAAAAAGTTATAAAGAGTGTTTTGTGTCTGTTATATCGTTGCTGTACATTTTGGAAACAAAAAAGAAGACAAACAATGTTAAAAACAAACATGTATAATATTTAGAGAATATTGTCCTCACTTTTTAGAAGGCTTTCTGGGAACCAGAACAAAAAATCTGCTGAAAATGTTAAAGTTTAATATTTTAACAATAGTGCCATTACGCGGGATTAGAATGTTTTAGAGATCATTTACCTGTCTTTTAAGAGAATGTTCTGGGAAGTAAAATAAAACAATACCTTGAAATGTTATAATTATGTTAAAGTATAATGTTTTAACAATGTACCACTAAACAGGTTTAGAATGTTTCAGAGAATGTTTACCTATCTTTTAAAACAGTGGTCACCAAACTTGTTCGTAGAGGGTCGGTGTACTGCAGATTTTAGCTCCAACCTTAATCAAATGCACCTGAACAAGCTAATCAAGGTCTTACTAGGTATACTTGAAACACCCATGCAGGTATGTTAAGGCAAGTTGGAGCTAAACCTTGCAGGGACACCGGCCCTCTACGACCAAGATTGGCGACCCCTGATTTAAAAGAAAATTCTGTGAACTTAACTAAAACTAGCCCAAACAACGTAATCGCCAAATGTGGTTACACTATTTTAGAGAATGTTTTCTTATCTTTTGAAGACAGGGATCACTTGTTCCTGGAGGTCCGGTGTCCTGTAGATTTTAGCTCCAACCCTAATCAAACACACATGAACTAGCTAATCAAGGTCTTACTAGGTATACTTGAAACACCCAGGCAGGTGTGTTGAGGCAAGATGGAGCTAAACCCTGCAGGGACCCCTGTTTTAAGAGAATATTCTGGGACGTTAAATAAAACAATACGTTGAAACATTAGAGTATAATGTTGCAGCAATGTTACTTCGAAACGTATTTAGAATGTATTCAGAGAATGTTTTCCTACTATTCGCTTGTTAAGTGGTAACGTGTTTGTGATCATATCATATCAAAATCATAGTGTACACAACAATCTCTGGGCTTGCTGCATAACAAATACCAAAATTTTAACAATTCATAAAAAATGTATCACTTTCTGGCCATCGGATATTAGGCATGGACATATATACTGCGATCGGGATTTTCGAAAGTATTAAATCGCTTTGTAAACGTTTATTATTACCATTTTATGAGTCTCCCCATTCAGTTGAATAGAGCGCTTGGACACAGAAGCCGCTTCGCGTGACGTCACACTTAACAAGCGGATTAAAAAGACCATTCTGGGAACTTAAAGAAAACTACCCACTAATAATGTTATAAGAATGTTAGAATATAACGTTCTAAAATTGTTACCAGTGAATGTGGTTAGAATGTTTCTAGAAAATATTTTCCTATCTTTTACGAGAATTTTGTGGGAACTAAAACAAAACTACCCACAGAAACAGTAATGCAACATTGCTTGGTAATATTCTCAGAACATGTAGAGAACTAAACATTTCTAGCTGGGCAGACAACAGCTGAAATCTCTGAGTATTGCTTCAGCAATCCTCTGCCCTTGGTTTTTGTAAATTAATATTCGCTGCTTCAGTTCAACATCTACATAATCAGGATGATGAAGATGAATCCCGGTTGGACATTTCAGCAAGACAAGGATCCAAAACACAGCCAAAGAAACTCAAGTGATTTGAGAGAAAGAAAATAAAGCTGAAGAATGGCCCAACCAATAACCTGATCCGAATCCAATAGAAAATAAGGACTAAAGATCATAGCTGACAGAAGAAACCCACAGAAACATTAAGGTTTTTAGACTGTGTTGAAGCAATGCATGCATTTACTTGAATTCTTGACTCCTTGTATGATCAGGTAGCGGCTAAAGCTTTGGAAACAGCAGTGTATGGAGCTTATTTCAACGTCATTATAAACCTGAAGGACATCACAGACGCTTCATTCAGGGCCAGCGTGAGTATATCCGACATCTGTTCGATATCTAGGTCATGCTTCCCAAATGGTGTATTAGATATCCCACATGTTTTTTCCGCTTTAATAACCCACACGCTCAGTGATATGAAACCTCTTTTGAGGAACCAATAAATGTCAACGAGCAAATTGAGAAAATGTTTCTGGCACTCACGGTTGATTTTGTGGCTTGTTGATTTGTAGACTGAAGCAAAAGTTTCTGCGCTGTTGAAAAGCTCCAGAGAGAACGCCAACATAGCGCTGGAGACGGCAGACCAGAGGAAATGATGACACAGCCAGACTGTAACTCACAACACGTTGAATAAAGAATGAAATGAAGACATGCTAATGTGCAGTTTGTGTTATTTCTGCTACTAAACACTTTATTTTGACTTAAAGTAGCCGTGAAATCTACAGTACAAAAAGTTTTTTAGATGTTAGCATGAGTATGTTTATCTTAAAGGTGACCTATCATGCACCATATTACAATTTTAAAGTCTACAATTTAAAAATTTTTAAATCTCTGATGTCTATAGAGTGTCCATGTGATGTTTCAGCTCAAAATACCCCACAAATAATGCTTTATAACTCTTTGAATCAGCCCCTTTTAGGTTTTAATCCTAATTGTGCCATCTTGGTGACTGTCGCTTTAAATTTAAATGAGATTAAGCTCTTTTCGAAAGAGGGCAGCTCTACAAACACCTATGTTTCAGCATAGTGGAAGATTTAAAAACAAGACTAACGTTCTATGCTATTGAGAGAGAGATTGTCACTAATGGGCGTGGCTATCCCCCTCTGATGATGTGTACAAAGGGAGAATGTCAATCAAAGTGTTTTTGCAGACTACAAATTATGTCACAACTGTACATTTCAAAGCACTTCATTCACTGGACCTGTGAGTAAACCTTGTCAACCACCCAAAATACATTAGCATAACTAGCATTGAGTTTTACACTGTCAAAAATCACCCATATTTTCATTATAAAAGTAAAGATATTTTTGAACCAACCAGATTCACCCGTTAAGTGAACACATTAAGCCGAGTTTTATTTTTGTGCTTTTCCCAATGATGATTCACCAGCAGGTGGTGCTGTGACTGACCCTCGCCATCATCTGTTGTTATTTATGCATCTATTTAAGCTTCACTGCTGGAAAAAGAGAGATAGTGTGAGCGGAGACATCTGTATCTGCAGTTGCTGCAGAACAGCTGTAGCAATAATGTCCTCAGTCATCATTCCTGCACATTCAACACCACTGAAACTTTACGCTGGCCTCACTCATTTATCAGCACCTTATTGTTCTGTTTTCTTGTGTACCCATTTCCAGGTGTTTAGAGAGAAGATTGTTCTAGCCATAGTTTATATAGTTCTCATTTAATTAATTCACTAAAAGACAGCAATTAAAACTTCACAAATGGTAATGTACACGAATTATCAAGAAATTTCTATATTATTGAATAATATAACTGAAATAAATATGAAAAAAAGAATAAATATATATTTACAAGAGTCAAATCTGCAGTCTGACAATTTTGGTTTGTCTATTTATTTACTTATGTAAATGTGAGATAGATAGATAGATAGATAGATAGATAGATAGATAGATAGATAGATAGATAGATAGATAGATAGATAGACAGACAGACAGACACAGACAGACAGACAGACAGACAGACAGACAGACAGACAGATAGATAGATAGATAGATAGATAGATAGATAGATAGATAGACACGGGGAGAACATTCAAACTCCACACAGAAATGCCAACAGACTCAGCCGACAGCCGACAGCCGACAGCGTGTGACACGACAGCACTACCTACTGCGCCATTGCGTCGCAATATCACATATCTGTTATATATTTATAGATTTCATATTAATTTCAGTAATATTATTAAATAATATGCAACTGTTTGGGCAGCACAGTGGGTAGCACTGTCACCTCACAGCAAGAAGGTCGCTGGTTCGAGCCTCGGCTGAATCAGTTGGCATTTCTATGTGGAGTTTGCATGTTCTCCACATGCTCTGGTTTCCCCTCACAAGTCCAAAGACATGGGCTATAGGTGAATAGTGTAAGCTAAATTGCCTGTAGTGTATGTCCTGGTCCTCCAGGGTGGGGGTTGAGCGTTGGGCTAATGACCCACCTTGTAAAAATGAGAAAACACCAACATGGTGTGGCTAAAAATCCACATGGTTTACATCCACAGGAAAAAGGGGAGCACAGATTTTTTTTCGCGAAATTCTGGAAAAAATTCTGTTCTAAATATTACTCAGAATCCAACTAGAAATACTTTAACGACCATATAGCAATCCATTAGAAATACGCCAGAACAGCCTATATAACAACCCTGCCACTGCTTCACATAACAGCAACTCGAATATCCTTCTTATGCCTCATTCACACTAGCAGCGACCTTGTAGCTGCCTGGTGCTCTGGGTGGTGATCTGCTGTAAACGCAATTCAATTCACCTTTATTTCTGTAGCGCTTTTACAATGTAGATTGTGTCAAAGCAGCTTCACATAGGTTATAGTAAATTGAAACAATGTCAGTTCAGTTCAGAGTTTAAGTTGAGTTCAGTTTAGCTCTGTTCAGTGTGGTTTAATATTCACTGCTGAGAGTCCAAACACTGAAGAGCAAATCCATCGATGCGCAGCTTGACAGGTCTCGAATCATGCACACCAGTGGCGACAGCGGCGAGGAAAAAACTTCACCAATTGGCGAAAGTGAAGAGTTAAAAAACCTTGACGGAAACCAGGCCCAGATGGGCATGACCATTTCTCCAATGGCCAAACGTCTTGTGCAGAGCTGCAGTCTAGGCGCCAGAGGCTGGAGAACCCTGAATGTCAGCGAAGAAGACTCATTTGTCCCTGGAGCATCACAGGAATCTCAACTAAAACACTAAGAGAGGGTTGGACATAGTGTAGATCCACCCTTTTTTAAAATCAGCCAATAGCAATTTGATTTATCACTCCTCTGCCAGTGAGTGGTTGAGCTAAAGCGCATCAAATGAAAAGCAAATGAGAAGCCTCTCGAAAGGGGCGGGGCATGTCAGATCCTATAAAGCAGGAGTGTCCAAACTCTGTCCTGAAGGGCCGGTGTCCAGCAAGTTTTAGTTCCAACATTAATTAAACACACCTGAACCAGCTAATCAAGCTCTTACTAGGTATACTAGAAATGTCCAGGCAGATGTGTTGAAGCAAGTTGGAGCTAAACTCCTAAACTGGACCCTTTGAGCATTTGATTGGTTATGATATGATGAGGAACTTTATATGAGGTTATGAGAATAAAATCGTTGATCTATTCAGAATCAAGCGGAAGTGACAAACTACTAGCTTTACATGCTTATAACAGTTTTTTATCTTCTAAACATGGATTTTGTCACTGTTTTGGAGCACACTAGCAAATAGATATCATAACTGATGCTAACATCTAAGAAAGTTTATTTTAATTTCATGGGACCTTTAAGAAGAGCGGTCAGTTTACATTCAAAATCTCAAATGTGGGATGGCATTCCTAGGGCAAGGGTAGGTAACCTATGGCTCGGGAGCCACATGTGGCTCTTTGACTAAAAATATGTGGCTCTCCAGCTGTCTCTATTAAATAAAATTTTAAGTTTACAAAAAAATATCTGTGACTAGAAAAGTTTCCTGTTGAAATACAATTTAATTCCATTTTAATGTGTTTTACAGCAAAATTAACTCCTGTTACAATAAAAGTGCTGCTGTGGATTAACTTAAATCATGACACCAATAAAGTGCAAGCAACTTATTATTATGGTCACCTTGTGCACGTAAACTCAAACAACATTCATGAGTGGTGATGGCGAAAGAGAAAAATTCTCTAAACTGACCTTTCTTCATTTATGGACTTGCTCAACATGTGATGCTTCATATTTGTTTATTTTTGAGTTGTGCAGAGACATAAATAAAGAAAGGATATCATATACACCTCAATGGCTCTTTAAAAAAAATGTATTTGCCAAAAAATCAGGAATGGCTTATTTTTGCTGAACAAAGGTTCCCATCTCCTGTCCTAGGGAAATGAAAATAAAATTCCCACATGAAGTACTAAACTGCTCCAAGGGTTAACTGCATCACTCTGAATATCCTATGGGTACCACCCCCTTAGAAACCCTCTATTCTCCATATAGAAACACTAACAAAATCTTTCAGAACAACAATCTAGCAACTAAACTACCCATAAACTAACATAATCATGGTCGAAATTGATGCAAAAACCTCACAGGAACCATCTTGCAAAGTATTAAAGTAAAAAACAAATCAGGGTGGCTACACATACGAGTGCAACAGATTACAACAGTCTCCATATTGAAGTTCTTATGATATGGTAGTGTACTGCATTCATAAATACAACAAATCAAACAACCCCCCCGCCCCTCTCCTGAAAATCCTCAAATCCAAATGTCCTTTTTAGAATCTACCCAAAAAGATGAAAATCTCTGCGCGGGTTCATCTGGACTTGTTCTTATCAACCCAACCAATCATAAGATATCTAACAGCAGGGAATCTTAAATATAAAACCGCCTGGGAGGCTGCACATCTGTCCAGTGCTGTTTGGAGAGAGTGCGTAAAGGTGCTTGTCTGTTCCCAAATGAGAGAACGCCTATAAAGGCTCATCAGAAGACATGTTTCTCCTTTTTTATCTGAGCTTTTGGGGTGTGTTGGGGTCACAAAATCAAAACCTGAGCACAACAACGACAACAACGACGCAAGCATTTGTGACACCTGGAGACGACAACGGCCAGTGCACGACCTGCCAATTTAGACAGCAGAGTAAACTCTTGCGCCTGCATTCTATTAAGTCTCAGATTTTGAGCATCCTGCGCCTAGAACAGGCTCCGAACATCAGCAGAGATACGGTCAAGCTACTCTTACCCAAAGCACCTCCGCTGCAGGAGCTCCTGGATCAGTATGACCAAAACGGAGGCATTAGTGAGGATGAGGAACAAGCAAGCAGCGAGACCATCATTACTATGGCCACTGAACGTAAGTACCATGATGTACTGCAATATATAGTGACTGAAATTGTATTCAGGCACTTAGGTCACACTTAAAACATCAGATTTGTTCTGAGAAATGTGTAGAATCAATTGCAAATGCCACTGTTTTTATTTTATTTTTATGAAGATTGACTTAAGCGTCCAAATATAATGGGCGATGTTGTAATACTTAAAGGGCTGACTATGAACTTACTCTGGTTCATTCATTCAGCTGTTGTTGGAAGATGGCCAAAAGCAACAGACCTTGTTATATACAGAGCTGTGCACATTTGGCCTGTGAAAATAAGGGCTCTTACAGAGATTTACAAAGGGAACTTCAATTTCTGCCAACATACAGTAGTTCCACCAATAATGTTACATCAATAAAACTGTGGTAACTGGTATTTTCCACCAGTGTCAGCAGCAAAAAAGTACAGAAAGATATGCACAGTAATAACCCTAACATCTAGCAATGGCCTTTGTGGCCTAATGTTTAGAAAGTCTGACTTGTAATCCAAAGATTGTGGGTTTGATAATGGTGAACTGAAATTTGCAGAATAGTTGTCTAGAAAGAAGAACTACAGATGCCTGATTGATATTGCACCGTGGTAAATGTGTGCGCTCTAGAAAGAATGTGCCTTTATTCCCTCAAGGAATCAAAATGTCACTCATCCTTTTGTAGACTCTCAGACAAAAAGGTGCATAAGCTGTCCCTTTCAAAAGGTACACATTTGTACCTAAAGGTTCCATACTGACACCTAAAAGATACATATTATTACATAATAGCATCCCATTTGAAATTTCAAGGTATTAAATTGTACCCTTCAAAAAGGTCCCAACCCAGTGACAGCTTGTCCAACTTTTTTTTTGATAGTTTAGAGCAAGGGTGTGCAGGTTCAGTCCTAGATTGGATTGAGTCTTGATAACACACCTGCCTGTGGTTTTCTACTATGAATTGAGAGAACTAAAAACTGTAAAACTCTAAACTGAACTGGCCTAACCTTGCCTTAAAAAGACAAATGTGACTTTATCGGTCTCTAAAATCTACATATTATAACCTTAAGGTCTTACAAATCTTTTAATCCATATCCCTGTACTGGGGGACATGGATTGTACATTAACAAGTTTTCTGTACACCTGAATGTACAGTTGTCTTTTCTCTCATAACAAAATGGAAAAGGTGTACATTGTCTGATTAATGCCTTGCAGCTCAAGCCATCACCCAGCTTGTGGGAATGCCGAAGTGTTGCATGTTCGCACTGAGCCCAAAGATTCTGCCCGACAGCATCCTGAAGGCCCTGCTCTGGATCTACCTCCGACCAGCTGAGGAGCCAACCACAGTCTACATCCAGATATCTCACCTGGAGTCTTCTTCTGAAGGGAACAATCACTCGAGAATACGTGCGCAAAAAATTGACGTGAATGCCCGGACAAATTCCTGGCAGCACATCGACATGAAGCAGCTGTTGAAACTCTGGCTCAAACAGCCCCAGAGTAACTTCGGGATAGAAATCAAGGCCTTTGATGCAAATGGGAATGACCTGGCTGTGACCTCCACAGAATCTGGAGAAGAAGGACTGGTAAGTTAGTGCATGACTTGATATTTAAAGGGCCATGAAACCCCCTTGTTTCAGCACTACTTTGGAAAAAGTCAGAAAAGTGGGCGTGTCCAGCTCTGTTTAGGGGGAGTGTCGGAGGAAGAAAAGTGGGATGGTGTGGGAGTGTCTATTTGGGCACGCGCGAGTTTCAGAGTCAAAATACACACACACACACACACACACACACACACACACACACACACACACACACACACACACACACACAGTAGAAAGTGATGGTGTTTAACCTACATGGACATCTGTAGTCGAATTATTTGCCAAATTATTAAATGGTGGACTTTAACTGCAGTTTGGCTCTTTCATTCAGGGAATTCATTCATGCCCCTCGCGACAAACAAGATATTTGATTCGAGGAACTGCTCTAAGCGTGTATTTTTCATGCAATGTTTGATACCGCACGGCGAATAAGAGAAAAAAAACCTCTGCATTTCCCGAAACTTAGATGCACATGGCAGGTAGCGTCAGAAAGCCGCGTGTGTTATTCCGGTCACTAAATGCGGTGAAAACCCTACACGGGGTTAAAGTTTGGTTGTGGTGCTAACATGTTTACATTCAGTGCATTGGTTAACTCAGTTCGATACGAACAAACTGAATAAACAAAGAGCGCTGGTCGCTCACTTACCAAATCTGTAGAGACAGGACAATCACCAGCAGCTAGAGCCGCGTCTTTATTAAGAGGAGACTACAAGCAAATCCAGATCTCAGCGTTTGCAGATGAGAACAGCTCTCAGGTAAACAATAATCCTTCTTAGACACGTAAGTTATTGTTGTCGAGCGTCGCGTACACTGTTAATCCACACGTGAGTCTGAGCTCTCACAGAGAGAAAATGAAAACAAAACTTAACTGCAGCAAACTATAAAAGCAACACTTTACGCTTGTTTTGCCAATACAACGTGGTGTGAGTGTCGTCTAAACACTGTGACAGTAATGAATATTAATGAAGTTGCACAATAGAGCGCGCTGATTGGTTTGAACCAAGCCTTACTCATGCATTAATGCATCACACTGTAAGACGTAATAAGAGACACTCTGGCACAGACGTCCAGTCTGCACACTGAAATACACGCTATTATGTCATGACCGTGACGCGGCTTCAAAAATTTGTTTCAAACCGGAAGTATGAATTTGCTTGAAATAACGCAAAAACAACCAATTTACACTTTTTAGTGAAATATAAGTGTCCTAATAGTGTTTTTAGCAGTGTGGGACACATATACGACTGTCAACAGCTCAAAAAATTTGTTTTGGTGTTTCGTGACCCTTTAAGTATATGCTTCTTTATAATAAATCAAACAACAATTTCCTAGTCAGTGCAGGACAAACTTTGATCAATATAAGTTTTAAAATGGCTTGTTTCCTTGGTTCGGTTCAGCAGAGTTTAGTACCGTATGATTCAATTCAGGTCACCCTAATCAGGCTTGTGTTTCCATTGCCAACAGTACACATATTGGTAGGTGTGGTGTACCAGAAAGTTCAGATCAATGTCATTCTCACTTGAAAAAGAAAACTGTACGGATCATTTACAGATTGTGTTTTTTGTGAACACAAGTTAATTGTTTAAAATAGACACGCGGCAAGCACAATTTTAGATGCAAAATGTGAACGTCCTGTAAACAACAAAAGACATACCAAAGACTTTATTATTGCTTCTTGCCATTTGACTGTTTATTGCAAGACAAATGCTTTGCTTGACTATTCACCAGTGAGTCTAGCTTCACATAAAGATACCTCTTTTAGGAAAGGGTGCCAAAAAACCTGCGTGCTACTATTATATATTTTGCTACCTTTGAAAGTGGACATGGAAACAAATGCGTATTGTACTGTACCGAACCACACTACTCAGTGGAATTGGGCCATACAAGTATTAACTTACAAAGTATTTTTGAAGATAAAGAGAAGTCTTTAGGTCAATACTTAAACTAAAGATTAAAATTCTAGTCATTATTTATAATCTCCCTCACCAATCAGGTAATATCAGGTTTAAACCTACCTTTCAGAACCTTGCCCTCTCCGAAGAGATTATTATTCTTATTGGGATTATGTTGGAATGGGCTGCTCCTGTAAAAGTGTTTGGCAATTCCTATCAACTATGCACTCAATTGCATCTAAGCAGGTCTGGTATGCATGACTTAGCTTATTGTTCTTGTGTCCGCCCTTCCAGCAACCCTTCCTGGAGGTGAAAATATCAGACACAGGGAAGCGATCCAGACGGGACACTGGCCTTGATTGTGATGAGCATTCCACCGAATCTCGCTGCTGCAGGTATCCACTCACGGTTGACTTTGAGGACTTCGGGTGGGACTGGATAATTGCCCCCAAGCGCTACAAGGCCAATTACTGCTCTGGTGAATGTGTGCAGAAGTACCCCCACAGTCACATCGTCAACAAGGCCAACCCAAGGGGCAGTGCAGGTCCCTGCTGCACTCCAACCAAGATGTCACCCATTAACATGCTGTATTTCAATGATCGTGAGCAGATAATCTACGGAAAAATCCCTTCGATGGTGGTAGACCTTTGCGGTTGCTCTTGAGCCCAGTGGTTTTTTGAGTCACTAGGACAGTAAGCCTTTACTGCTCTGGACCAGAGGGAAGCAAAAACAACCTTTACCCTGACAAAATAGTTCCTGCTAAAATAAATGACCACACCATTATTCCCAATAAACCAACTTAGCGAATTCTTTTAGCTCATTCTCATCAACTGTTCCACACAGGGACAAAAAGTGGTAGCAATGTGACAAGGGTTTCTTTGTGAAGGTATAAGGCTTCCCCATGTGAATGCATTTGAGCATAGAGATGACCTGAAGGGCTTTAACGGAGTGATATCTGAATGTACAAATTGCAAAAAGTACTTTTAGGTTTTAAATTAATGTCAAAGGGGGTTGTATAGTTGATTATTTATATAAAGTCGCTTATCCCCCAGTGACCCAAAAACAAGAACGCTGACCCAGAAACTCACTCAACATGACGTCCGAAACAACAGACTTTAGGAATTCTGCAGTTGGTTCATAGTATATTGGTAGCTGATGATTGATTGGGATAGGTAAGCCTCTTTGTTACTGTAACTTGTCACAATTAATAAATGTACAAATAATCCTTAAATACTCTTTTAATTGTGTTTAGACATTGCTGGAACATCAACTACATAAATGCGAGCATCTTGTGTTCTTGTTTTATTAGTTAGCCTATTAGCCGTTTGTCTAGAGACTGCATAGATTGTATGGTTTGAACTTATGTTGTAGTGTTGATCCATGATATCAAGTAAAATGTCTGTTACTGATGTCTCTGAGGAGTTCATTTCATGTGTCCTCAAAGGACCTCTTCAGTGTTGTCCCTTCCTAACCACCATGACACCACTGACACCATTCCAAGCATGTGGAGAAAATTAGGGTGCTCAAAATCAACAAACCCATGTTCAATGGAAGAAAAGCCTGACCTGTTTTATTTTGTTCTCTAAGGCTCCCTAGAGTGACGGAGGCCCTGTGAGGCAATAACAGTAGAAGCCAGGCCCCAGGACAATGAGTGCACTTAGAAATGTTATATTTTGCTGCAGGTTTTATAATATAATCTATGATATTAGCTACCATAAAACTATTTTTTAAAAGTTTAACAATGAGTTTTACTCAGGTTTAAAGCAACTGGTTTTAGAATAACTTGCAGATTATTAATACTAATTGGGCGGAACCAGAGAGGGGAGTTGCTGAAGACATTCCATAAAACAAGCAATGAAAACAATACAAAATACAGCATTTACAAAATGTATAATGCTAATTAAGATAGACTCTTGGTAAATAAACCCACTGAAACAGGTACAAAGGATTTCTTATAACGGTTTAAGCTACACTTTGGGACTCTATAGGTGCTTTCACACCTGTGAATCGATTCAGTTGTTTCTAAACGGACCAAAAGAGCTAAAACAAGTCACGTGTGAGTAAACTCTCCTCACATTGGTCAAAGTCAGGGAGGTGGTGGTTTGGTGGTGTTTGACAAGGTGCGCTCGGTGTCTAGGTGGTTGCCAAGGCAGTGCTAGGGTGTTTTGTGTGGTTGCAAAGATGTTGCTAGGGTGTTCTGAGTGGTTGCTAGGCAATTGCAAAGGCATTTCTAGGGTGTTCTTAGTGGTTGCTAAGATGCTCTAGGTAGTTGCTAAAGCATTGCTAGGTGGTTACTGGGGTGTTTTAATTGGTTACTAAGATGTTGCTAGGCAATTGCTAGAATGTTCTAGGTGGTTTTTAAGACATTGCTAGACGGTTGCTAGGGTGTTCTGTGTGGTTCCTAAGGTGTTCTGAGTGGTTGCTAGGCAGTTGCTAACATAAATTAGCATTGTTCTAGTTTCAATTAGCATGTTGCTATCATGTTTCTAGTGTAGGTTTGCATGTTGTTAGCATGGTTCTAGTATAAATTAGCATGTTACTAGCATGTCTCTAGTATAAAGTGTATGTTGTTAACATGCATTTAGTATGAATTAGCATGTTGCTAGTATGCTATTTGTATGAATTAGTATATTACTAGTATGTTTAGTATGTTTCTAGTATGGATTATTATATTGGTAGTCTGATTAGTATGTTTGTTTGTATGTTTCTAGTATGGATTAGTATATTGCTAGTATGCCTTGTATGTTGTTAGTATGTCCAATGTTAAGTAAATGGCAGTTTTTTTTACAATAGAAGTCTATGGGACAGTTGCTAAGGTGCTGTAAGTTGTTGCTAGGGTATGGCCAATAAATTGAAAGGTCATCAGTGATTGGCAGATTGGTCGACTGAGTTAAAGGAGCCCATCCTTAAGTCTGCATGACAGTCTGGCGCAAAGGTATGAGGTCACAAAGTTTGATCCAATGTTAAGTCTATGGGGGTTTTTCAGAATTTTCCTGGACAGTTTTCGAAAAAACCAAAAGTCGGATTAGTTGGCAAAGATATAGCAACCTTTCTCAAGCCAACATAAAAAACATGTTAACAACAAAAATAAAGAGATAGATTTTTAAAGAAGTAGACACGGTAGTAGTGCTGTCGCCTCACAGCAAGAAGGTCCCTGGTTCGAGTCCCGGCTGGGTCAGTTGGCATTTCTGTGTGGAGTTTGCATGTTCTCCCCATGTTGGCATATGTTTCCTCTGGGTGCTCCAGTTACCCCCACAGTCCAAAGACATCTTAAATCATTGAATAAGCTAAAATTGAACGATGAATTGAATATGTTTAATTAGTGGTAGTGTATGTGTTGGTGTAAATGTGGGAGTGTATGGGTGTTTCCCGGTGCTGGGTTTCGCTGCGTAAAACACATGCTGGATAAGTTAGCTGTTCACTTCGCTGTGGCAACCCCTGAAGAGACTCAGTCATAAAGACAATGAGAGAACATTTCTGAAGAAAAAAACACACGATGCCTGCATCGTTGTAGATGCAAGTTGTTTTTGTTTTTTTCATTCAGAACCTTACCTTAAAAGGCCGAACGGGTTTTAATAAAAATGCGTCACTTATGCAGGTATTTTCTTAAACACACCATAAAACAGATCCTAACATGGATTCCTATATCAATTTTTAACGGTTGATAAAATAAGCATCTTTTTCTGCTGTGCCAAGAAGTTTCAGTTTCTTATAAATCACGTGATCAACGCTACAGTGTCAGGCACAAAATTCCACACTGCGTCATGACAGACGCCCAGTCGCGCTGATTGGCTGTTTGTTCGCAACAAACAGCATTTCGCTCCCTGATTGGCTCACGCAGCTGTCACTCAAACACGCAGGCAAGATCCACACGTAGGAGTCGTCGGACATCTACTGTAAAGTCAATAACAAATCGACAAAAACAGGGAACAGGCCTGTTCTTCCGTCTTATCTTGCTGCTATATGTAACAAATTAAACATATACCTGCGGATTCTCACTGTACCGTATTCGGATAACATTTGAGGGTGAGTACCTAAATAATAACTTTAATTTCCGCATTCATGTTTTTTTCTGCTTGATAGGTCAACTTACAGGGGGTTTTGCTTATGTTGGATCAATGCGTCGTATTGTTATGATAAAAGTACATGTAATCCTAATATTTCGCTTGGTATTTAAGCATGTATTATAGAAAAGCAAAGGAAAATGACTAAAATATTGTACATTAGAAAGTCAAACAAGCCATAACATGTGGACGATTTACAAATCAATATCGTGTTTTCATAAATTGTAATTTTATAACAATAATAACGTTTAACACAACTTTATAGTTATTATTATTATGCATTAGAAATAAAACTTCTTGTAAACATAAAACGTCTTGTTCATTTTAAAACACGCCCACCCACATGTTTGTGCAAGCTGTGTGAATCGGGACAAAGCAAATACATATAAACAGTTAGTAGTAGTAGTAGGCTTAATAATAATAATAATAATAATAATAATAATACTAAACATATATTAAAACAATTCAGCCAAAATGGACACTACCTGTGATGTTTAAAGTAAATGTATTATATATATATATATATATATATATATATATATATATATATATATATATATATATATATATATAACAATTCAGCCTAAATGTACTCTACCTGTAATGTTAAATGTCTCAATTGTGGGTATATATAAAATCCATAATATACTTAGTAACATATCTTTTTAAAATTAATAATAATGTAGATATATAAAACAATTCAGTCAAAATGAACCCTAGCTATAAAGTTTAATATCTCAATTGTAGGTATATAAAATATTTAATAATAACGCAATTTTTTTTTATTATTAATAATAATAATAGTAATAATACAGAAATATAAATACAATTTAGCCTAAATGTACCCTACCTATAATGTTTAAAATTTCAATTGTAGGTATATAAAATGTATAAAATATTTAATAACATATTTTTTTAATTATTATTATTAATAATAATATAGATATAAAAAACAATTCAGCCAAAATTGACCCTACCTATAATGTTAAATGTCTTAATTGTTGGTATCTAAAATGTATAATATACTTAATAATAAAATATCTTTTTAAAATTAATAATAATAATAATATAGATATATAAAAACAATTCAGCCAAAAATGGACCCTACCTATAATATTTAATGTCTCAATTGTAGGTATATAAAATATGTAATAATAACATAACTTTAAAATTATTATTATTATTAATAATAATAATATAGACACGTAAAAACAATTCAGCCAAAATGGGCCCTACCTTTAATATTTAATTTCTCAATTGTAGGTATATAAAATGTATAAAATATTTAATAACATATTTTTTATTATTATTATTAATAATAATATAGATATAAAAAACAATTCAGCCAAAATTGACCCTACCTATAATGTTAAATGTCTCAATTGTCGGTATCTAAAATGTATAATATACTTAATAATAAAATATCTTTTTAAAATTAATAATAATAATAATAATATAGATATATAAAAACAATTCAGCCAAAAATGGACCATACCTATAATATTTAATGTCTCAATTGTAGGTATATGAAATATGTAATAATAACATAACTTTAAAATTATTATTATTATTATTATTAATAATATAGACACGTAAAAACAATTCAGCCAAAATGGGCCCTACCTTTAATATTTAATGTCTCAATTGTAGGTATATAAAATGTATAAAATATTTAATAATAACATTTATTTTTTAAATTAATAATAATGACAATAATAGTAGTAATAAAGATACATAAAACAATTCAATCAAAATGGACTCTACCTATAATGTTTAATATCTCAATTGTAGGTATATGAATTGTATAAAATGTTTAATAATAACACAATATTTTTAAATTTATAATAATAATAATAATAATACAGATATATAAAAACAATTCAGCCTAAATGGACCCTACATGTTATGTTAAATGTCTCAATTGTAGCTATATAAAATGTATAAATAATTTATTTACAACTTAATTTTTAAATAGTAATAACAATAATAATAAAAATTTACAAGCACTATCACCTTACTAAAAAGCCTTTTGCACTACTAGAAAGTTTTTTTTGTTGCATTTTCAATGTAAAAATAATCGCATCACAAAATATATTGTTTTATGCAAAAACGAAAAACATTGTATTCACATTTGTTGTTTTGCTATGCATATAATATTCTTGCAAAATGTTTACAAGGTTACAACACACAGCACACAAGCTCAAAACACCTTAACAGAGATTTTGTACCTTGCTTATCTTTGTTGACACATCTGTTGTTCTTATTTTACTGGGATTTCTAAAAAAAAATTTTAAAAAAGTTGTCTTGATTATGAAGTCGTCAATTCCTACACACTTGCTCATCGATTTTAACTCTCAGCCCACACAGTCGCAGCAATGACTCAGTGGTTGGAGCTTCAGCAGCTGGATCCAAAGTTTTTGGAGCAGGTGGACCAGTTGTACGACGACAACTTTCCCATGGCCATCCGACAATATCTCAGCAGCTGGATAGAAAGCCACGACTGGTGATTTTGTGCCTCCTTTAACTTTAAAAACCATATTAAACCACATTGCTAAACAACTGCTGTCTAATCTGAACAAACTCTGTTAAATAAATATTATTAGAAGTGTAAATTTTTTAAATACATTTTTAAAATATGATATATATATATATATATATATATATATATATATATATATATATATATATATATATATATATATATATATATATATATATATACATACATACATACATACATAATAACTAAAATACTAATAAAGGTAATAAAATATCAAATATTACTTTAAATATTTATAATGTATTTTATATATATATATATATATATATATATATATATATATATATATATATATATATATATATATATATACACACACACACACAACAGTTCTGTCTGGTTCTCAAATCTGATTGGCTGATAGCCGTGCGATATTCTGCAATATCAGAACTCCTACAGCCTCTTTACCCTTTGTGTATTACTCCGCACACATACAGCCAGCAAAAAGCAGACACTACAGATCTAAAGTTTAAAAGATGCTTTTAACTGTTTTAATAACTGTCAGCTTATGATTTGAATCCAATGTGAAAGAAAGTAGTTCCTCATACAAAAGGGTTTTTGAGACTCTCCATGTTTGATTTTGTTTTTATATACACAATTATGCCGTCAAACTGTTGTATAAACGCAATATCAAACTCGTAGCAGTGCGATATGGCTGTATATCGGCACTGGTGGGGGCACTAAAGCATCGCACACTTCCCACCTGTGCCGATATACAGCCATATCGCACTGCTAATCATGTGATATTGCTCATATATATATATATATATATATATATATATATATATATATATATATATATATATATATATATATATATATATATATATATAACGAAACCCATCCCATTCTTGTCCTAGGACAGTTTTGAAAAACTATTTTAATTCACTTCGAATGAAGACTACTGTGTGTAAATGGTTTGTAAATAAATTTACAGTTTAAGTCAAAATTATTAGCCCTTATTATTATTATTTTATTTCCCAAATGATGATTAACAGTGCAAGGAAATTTTCACAGTATGTCTGATAATATTTTTTCTACTGGAGAAAGTTTTATTTGATTTATTTCGGCTAGAAAAGAAAAATAGTTTTTAATTTTTCAAAAATCATTTTAAGGTCAAAATTATTAGCCCCTTTAAGCTATATCTTTTTTACAGAACTTTACTTTTTTTGTCTACAGAACAAACAATCATTATACAATGACTTTCCTAATTACCCTAACCTGCCTAGTTAACCCAATTAACCTAGTTAAGCCTTTAAATGTCACTTCAAGCTGAATTCTGGTATCTTGAAAAATATCTAGTCAAATATTATTTACTATCATCATGGCAAAGATAAAATAAATCAGTTATTAGAAATAAGTTATTAAAACTATTATGTTTAGAAATGTGTTGAAAAAAATCTTCTTTTCAATAAACAGAAATCGGGGGAAAAATATACAGGGGGGCTTGATAAAAAAAAAAACAGCAATTGTATCAAAAATATTGTCGTAATATATTGTCTTAACACTTCTCCGTTCCCCAAAGGGACCATGTCGCAAATGTGGAGAACGAGTCTCTGGCCACGGTGAGGTTTCATGATCTTTTGACTCAGCTGGATCACCAACACAGTCGCTTCGTGATGGAGAAAGACTTCCTAAACCAACACAACATCCGCAAGTTCAAGAGGAACTTGCAGGTGCCTGTTGACCACATGACCATTTTCTGTTAGCCTCTGAGCCACTAATGTCATTAAGCAATGAACAGATCAGAAAAACAGCTTGCCAAATGCAAATGACTTATCAAAATCTTATTTTCCAGAACCTCTTCCAAGACAATCCTGTTTCAATGGCGATGATCATCAGCAGAAACCTTCGCGAGGAAAGAAAGATTATAGCCATTGCTGGAATGTCAGAGGTCAGTTGATCTCCAGCACCAACTTTACCACCAAAACCTTCAAGAAACTCAACTTTTGCTTGGAAAATAGGCACATTTTACAACACCTTTAGAGTTAAACAGTTGAGTTTGACCATTTGTGAATCCATTCAGCCGATCTTGTCAGCTGAGCTTAGCATAGGTCATTGAAATAGATTAGGCTGTTAGCATCCAGCTCAAAAGTATAGCCATGGTACAACAGCAAAGTTCCTTAATTATTACAGTAGAATGAGATAATAGTTTTTCCCAGTGATGTGTTGCGGCTGGAAGGGGATCCGCTGCGTAAAAACCTGGTGGATAAGTTGGCGGTTCATTCCACTGTGGCAACCCCAGATTAATAAAGGGACAAAGCCGACAAGAAAATGAATGAATGAATGAATGAATGAATGAGATTATAGTTCATAGCCATATCAACCTAGAAAATAGCAACTTTTCATATTTTGTCTGTCTTGGAACATAGTAGAGTCAAGCTTTATATAGGAAAAGTATAAAATTTTTTGTTTTTGAAACGAGATGCTAATGGTCTAATCCGATTCAATGATCTATGCTATGCTAAGCTAAAAATGTCTGAATTGATTTACAATGGTAAAAGTCAACTGTTTGTTGGCGCCAACAGCCTAGTGGTTAAGTGTGTTGACATATAAGATCATGATGCTCATGGCGACCCGAGTTCGAATTCCGGCTCGAGGTTCTATGCCGATCCATTCCTTATCTTAGCTCCCAAAGCTTTCCTGTCTGTCCTCCACTATTCTATCCCAATTAAAGCTGAAACCTCCCCTAAAAAACTTTAAAACCTTGACAAACTCATGTACTCACCATAGTTATGTTCCAAAACCGTATGATCCTTTTTTTCTCTGGCGTGATGTTTTACTATATAGTGACACAAAATGAGTAATTTGTATAATATTGCAGAGTCCAACACCGAACCCCACACAGGACATGATTGTGGAGAAAAATCGTGAAATGGACGCAAGGGTGAAAGACATAAAGAATAAAGTGCAGGTAATAAACATTGTGGCAAATATAAGACGTGTTTAATTATTCCAGTCAAGTTGTGTGAATATTCTTTCTGATTTCCCTTCAGGACGCTGAGCAAACCATTAAAAATCTGGAAGATTTGCAAGATGAATACGACTTCAAGAATAAAACTTACCAAAGCAGAGGTAACAACATGCTTTCTTTGAAAACATCTGAATGATTTACTACTCAAAAAAAAAGTTCTGTCATCAGCAATGTTGGGGAAAGTTACTTTAGAAAGTAATGCATTACAATATTGAGTCAAAATAAGTAAGTAGTTTAATTACTTTTACTGTAGTCACTTTTTATGGTAGGTAATGCGTTATGTTAATTTTGTTTTTCTTACGTTGTTTTACTTGCGATAGAAACTCTCTATTGCTTATTTAGCTTTTGAGAATTTGTCCAATAATGTTAAATTATTATTTTTTTGCATCATGTAGAAACTCAATTATTTTGCGAAAATTTACTCAATCACGATAAATATCAATGCGCTTCAAGAAAGAGCTAGCCATCTTTTTCAACTAGTAAAGAAATTGAACTTGGCTTTATTTATTTGCAAAATCTGCTAAAATGTTAAGGTAGAATTAGCTATTTTCTTCCAACAAGTATAGATATTCGATATTGTCACTAGAAAAAAAAAACATGGAATGTGAACAAACCCTGACTAGATGAGAATCTCAATTTTGCCTACATAATTAGCGGAAACTTGACGATCACCATTGGAACATTTTACACCAAATGTAGTATTAAGCATTCGCGCAAGTAATTTACATGGAGTCGATGCAAACGCACAAATAGAGGAAAATGTAACACCGTGCTGTAAAAATGATGCTCGCATTTCCCACAAACTTAAGCAAGACATATCCATGATGGAAAAAACGTTCTGCGAGTAAACTAGAGCGAGTGAGTGTTTGGCGTGAGCCCAGCATAAGTCACAACTAGCCTAGAAAATCAGTATTGTAACAACCATGTCAGGTCGGAACGGTCCATTTTTCCCCCAACAAATCTAGAAAGGGATATTATTTTTTATATTTATTACTTAAAATTATGTATTTTTATTGTTACTCGGTTTTGATTGCACATTTGTTCAACAGACGAACTCAATGGCACCATTTCAAAGGAGGACCTGAACCGCGAGAAACTGATGATCCACGCCATGTTTGTAAAACTCAATGATAAGAGAATAGTGAGAACACCGCTGATGCATTTTCCTTCATCGTTCCTGTAATGCTAACTGATTAGCAATGTGCAAGAGTTGCATTGAGTTTTGACTGTGTCCACATAGATGGCGATTAGTCAGATGTCCGAGGTGTTGAACCTGGTGGAACCGGTGATCTGTGAGCTGATCTCGACAGAACTGGTCGAATGGAAACGTCGTCAACAGATGGCTTGCATCGGCGGGCTAACTAACGTCTGCCTGGATCAGTTGCAGAACTGGTAACAAACGCAAAGCACATATTTACTCGTATATTAACCGCGTCCGTGGACCCACGGCACACAGTATTTAGCTGTTCATGAAGGGTCGTATGTGTTAGTTTCAATGATCCACAGGGTTTGTTGCTTGTTTTTCCCCGCAATCCTGTCAGGGCCGATACAACAAAGTTGTGTGTGTGCTGCAAGCATTTTTGTTGGGAGAGCAGTACGAAAATTGGAGAATGGCGGACTTTATTTTTTATCAGGAGTTCGTTCACATTTAGACATATCGTCGTGCTGCTGTGTAAATCCTCCAGATTACCAGCAGGGCTAATGGTTAAAATAGACAGAGCAAGAGACCTGCTGCACTGAGTCTGCATTCAGCCCCGGGGAATGAGAGAAAAGTCCTCATTTAGTGTTAATATAAACACAATCATTTTTACAATGATATAAATTGTGTTTGTGTTTATGAAATTACGGATAACAAATGTAACTGGGCATTAAATTACGGTTTATTTATTTGCATTTTACCCTTGTAGACTATAAAATCATGCCTCTCCTCACGGTTTGTGTCTCATTTTGTGAGCTAATTGACAACAGTTGTTCGCTCGCCTCCTTCTACCCTGCTCTGCTGGCCATGTCCATAACTTTTTCATTTTATTCATGACCATTTGTTTTGGTATAATATTATTATTCTTAGCAGTATTATTTAGTATGTGCATTTTTAATATTTGTTTTAATAAAAACAAGCTTAGATTTGTCCACCTGTCAGGTTTTAGACCATATGGAGCATAACAAGTGTATTTGGATATAACTAAGAACACACTTCGTTTTTATTGTTCATTTATTTGTTTGATGCAAATCAGAACTGAATTTAGAAATAGTTTTGAAACAAATCTTTGACCTTAACAAACTAAATTAATCATGTAGGCTAACGGATGTCTGTGCTCACAACATCGTTTCTCATCCATAAAAGAGAGAAAAAGAAAGTGAAAGTAAAGGCCGATTGGGAGGAGGCTCATTTTTTATCCTTGTTGTTGCAGATGATCTGTTTAACAGTTTTCTCACTAGCAAAGCATTCAGTTTTTCCACTTACAAAGTTGCCATGTAAATAGCAAATGCGCCATGGCATGACTCTTAAAGGGAATGGGAGATGAGACTCTGATTGGTTTATTCTCAAAACACACCCACAACTCATTAAGAGAATAAGCACAACCATGTTAGACCATGCGCCACAGCACAAAGCGTATTTTTCCGTCCTTAAAATAGCAAAAGTTGATTTGGACACGCTCCTAATGACTTTGCGCCCTGCGCTTTAGACTTTGCGCCTATTTTGTTAAAATTAAGTTTTGCGTTGAAAAGACATGACATGAACACAGACCAACAAAAAGATTTGTATTATGCCAGGCCAGTAGGTGGCGATGTTACAATGCCACTTTCAGAAAAATTACATTTTTAAAACATGGGATGGTGCAATTTTTAAAACACAGACTTTCAAACACATTTTCAAACGTTTTTTTGTTTCAGGCCCCAAACATGCTTTTGTTTAGAAAATAAATAGCCAAAATATGCAAGATGCTTTACATATTTAGTTAAAAGCAGTGTGTCAATTACATGAGATTACATGGTTTTGTTTAATTTTTTATAGTAATAATCCTATTTACAAGACGTGCGTACATAGACACCACTGCATGTCTTATTATACAATGTTTGTAGTTTCATGGGTATCAAATAATGGCCTGAGTGGTTTAGTATCGACTGTATTTACATATTGTATTGACAATAATAAATATGTTCAAAGTAGGCATATATGGTTGAAGACAAAAAAAGTAGCCCTCCTGTAAAATGGTACTTTTAAACAGTTCTTTAAACAGTACTTGGGAAATATTTGAAAAAGTACATTTCATAGCCATTTTTTCCCGCACAATACTTACAAACATTGCTAATATGACTACACCTTACAAGCTCTACTAAGTCATGTCACATATTTAAAATCATATATCATAGGTTTCTGTTTGTTGCGCCGCCTTTTAGGTTTACTTCTCTTGGAGAGTCTCTGCTTCAGAGCAGACAGCAGCTCAAGAAACTCCTGGAGCTCGAGCAGAAGTTGTCATACAGCACAGATCCCATCACCTGCAGCAAAATCTCTCTGGAGGAAAGGATCATGTCAAACCTCAAGAATCTCGTCACAAAGTAAGAATCCTTCTCTTGTTACGCCACTGCTAAAAACTCCTGGAGGTTTCACAGATAGTCTATGTTTACAATCAATAAGGCAAATTAGAGTTAAGTGTAAAACTGGAATATCACATAAAACATTTATTAATACAGCTTAGTTTCCATCCAATCCAGTCAACTAGAACAAATTGTCACTTCCTGATAAACTGGCGACAAATATCAAAAGGCAAAATGGAATTAAGAGTAAGAGAAGCTACTGTTCTTATTTAATAGTAAACTTGCACCTCAGAAGATTTAGACAAAACAAAATGAACGTATGGTGGTGTTTTTAAGGTGTGAGAACGCTCTTTTGGAGCGTAGACACTCAAGATTGTTCTGTGATGTAATTATATTGGACCATTTTGATGACAGACTTTGGCTGAGGGATTTGAGATTGACCAAAGCTACATTTCAGATGGTTTATAATATGGTCGGTCCTGTTTTGTCCATTTAATGCCATCCCATCACGCATACCACATGATCAGTTAATGCTGTATTTAATCACTACATTTATTTTCACACTTTTCTTATTGTATATAAAGGTAATCGTATTCAGTTGTAGGATTGTCAAGTATTGAGTTCAGTACCAATTGATACTGAAATTTTACAAATGTCCATCAAAAACATTAGTTATGTTTAAGTACGTGCTTAAATGTTAGCGGGAAATGGAATTGTTTTGAATATTTCAGTACCGAATTTGATACTTAAAAAAAAAAATTAAAACGTCAATCAAATATGTCAGTGGTGTTTAAGTATGTGCTCAAAATGTTAGCGATAAATGGATGTTTATAATATTTCAGTATTGATTGGTACCGAATTCCATATTTTTAAAAACTATTTTTTTAAAACGTCAGTGCTGTTTAAGTCAAGTGGTGCTCGCTGCAGAGCCATTTGAGGAGAGCTGAGTTCCAGCGAGGGGGAGCTTAAGCTTGAGCTCCACCTTTTTTGCACTTCTTCTACGAGTGATGTCACTGGGGGTAGGGTTAGGGGTGGGGTTGGTGTACACATTAAAACAGCTTACAGGAGGAGGAGCGACAGCTCATGCTCCCTCTCGCTGGAGCTCAGCTCTCCTCAAATGGCTCTGCAGCGAGCACCCTCTCGTTTAAGTACGTGCTTAAATTTTAGCAGGAAATTTATGTTTATAATATTTCAGTACCAATTGGTACCAAATATGATACTTTTAAAAACTACATTTTTTTTTAACGTTATTTAAAAACGTCAGCGGTGTTTAAGTATGCGTTTAAATGTTAGCAGAAAATAGATGTTTCTAATATTTCAGTATCGATTGGTACCAAATTCAAAACTTAAAAAAAAAATTTTTTAAACGTCAATCAAAAACGTCAGCGGTGTTTAAGTATGTGTTTAAAATGTTAGCAGGAAATTTATGTTTTTAATATTTCAGTACGGATAGGTACCAAATTCGGTACTTTTTAAAAATGAAAATTTAAAAAAAGTCAATCAAAAATATCAGTGGTGTTTAGGTATGCACTTAAATGTTAAGAGGAAATTTATGTTTTTCAATTTGAGTACCGATTGGTACAGAATTTGATATTTGTAAAAACAAAAAATGTTAGCAGCGTTTAAGTATAAGCTTAAATGTTAGCAGGAAATGGACAATTTTTATATATATGTAACCTTACTCAATTGTGCGCATGTTTTTTTTAATGCCAATTTTCAAATATTTTCTCATCTTGCAATTTTAATGCAATATTCCAAAATACACATGAAAACAAGTGAATGCAATCATTGCTAGTGAATGATTTGTGTGTTTTCAGCTCTTTGGTAGTGGAGAGACAGCCATGCATGCCGACCCAACTGCAGAGACCTTTAGTGCTGAAGACAGGAGTTCTGTTCACCCTCAAATTACGGTAACTGTAAACACGTGGCAGATTATTCACACTTCTCTGGAAGTGGAGGCCTGTTTCAGATGATGAATAACGAATTGCATTTTCTTGCCTCCAGGCTGCTCGTAAAAATTCCGGAATTTAACCACACTGTTCGGGTGAAGGTGCAATTTGATAAGTGAGTGTTCAACAAAACCCTGACTTAGATTCATTAATGTAGGGTTTTTAGGCACACAGGTTTTGTGTACTTGCGTAATGAGTCACTCATGTAAATCAATTTTAGATTTAGCCCACATTATGAAATACTGCAAATGTATTATGTATGGTCTTGTGTTAACATGTCTCTTAATGCCTTTCAGGGATATCGTTGAAAAACGAAAAGGGTATGTACTACATCATTTGCTATTTTTATACTATTAAAGGGGTGGTTAGAAATTATGTCATGACAAAAAAAAAAAAAAAACTATAAAAGTAGTCCTATTTTTTTGCATCATTTTAATCACTGTAAAAATAATTAAGGGCATAATTCACCTTCTTAAAAAAAAAAAAAAATTCTCTCATAACTTCTTCCTGTTATGGATGTCAGTGGCTAATTTTCCCCAGGATTTTTCAGAATATCTTGTGTTTACAAATATATATATATATATATATATATATATATATATATATATATATATATATATATATATATATATATGTTTAAAAGCACTTGAGTGTGGGTAAATGAGTAACTTTTGTTAGCTGAACTATGCATTTAAATTAAATGACATTTAATACACAAAAATATGAACTTAAAAATGAAGAAAATATATATATTTTTCGAGCTGATACAAATATTTTGGGTGGCAGTAAACAATGACAGAATTTAGATGTCTTAATCTTGTTTTAAAGCACTTTATTTTAATCTAGCTAAATTCTGCTTACCCACTAATGCTTCTATTTTAGGTTTCGTATGTTCAACATCTTGGGAACATCCATGAAGGTGATGAACATGGAGGAGTCCAATGGAATGGCAGCAGAATTTCGTCATCTGGTAATATGAAAAACAAAACCTTTTGCTTAATGAACCAGCCACAGTAGAAAAGAATAGAAAAGTAGTCTAATATCAAAGTAATGTTGTTCTGTTTTACTTCACAGCAATTGAAAGAGAGGAAAGTTACTGGAAACAGAACCAGTGAGGTGAGAGTTTGTTCATTGAGTCAAAATTCACAGAAAAGCTGTAGCACACAGGGTTGGGAATTGTAGCAACGGTCAGGGAATTGTGGCAAAGTGAATGTCATCACAACAATACAATGCTGGAAATATTCAACAGGGCCTAAAATAAACCCTTGGCTAGTGTGTGTAAACCTCACTTCCTCAGACCCTCCCTTTTGGAAAGGATTCTCATTAGCATACTTGTCTCCCATGTGGAAATGCTGAATCGAATCATGTTTGGACTGAGGCAAGTTGAACCATCAATGTAAACCTCAGTTTAAATTGGTGCAGTGACCCGAATGGGAAAGAGCCATTAGATGAGTGAGTGTAACAAGGCCAATTAGTATAATATGTGCTGGTAAACCTAACTTACAAAATCCCTCTTTTTGCTGTAACATCCTTGTTAGCATCTGGCATGTAGGAAATGCATGTTTGAATCTTGTTTGATGCGGTAAAAGTAGTACAACCAATGTAAACCAAGGTTTAAATTGGTGCCATGACCCGGGTGTGAGAGTGTATTTAGGTGGATAAGTGAAATGGAGGCCAACTAGTAAAATCTGCTAGTAAATTTGACTCACTCAGACCCTCCCTTTGCTGTATCATCCATGTTAGCATCTCCCATGTAGAAAATGCATGTTCGAATCATGTCTAAAGTGGGGCAAGTAGAACCACTGATGTAAACCAAGGTTTAAATTGGTGCCGTGACCCAGGTGTGAGAGAGCTTTTAGGTGTATAAGTGTTATGGAGGTCAACTAGTAAGATCTGTGCTGGAAAACTCGACTCACCCAGACCCTCCCTTTGCTGTATCATTCTTGTTAGCATTTCCCATGTAGGAAATGCATGTTTGAATCATGTCTGATGTGGGGCAAGTAGAACCGCCAATGTAAACCATGGTTTAAATTGGTGCCGTGACCCGGGTGAGAGAGAATCTTTAGGTCAACTGATCTGTGCTGGTGAGATCTGTGCTGGTACGCCTATCTCCCATTCTCAAGAGGCTCACAAGTGCCTGATACTAGAAACTGTGGACCTATATAGCATGTCCATCTCACTGAAACACTGATTGGAATACTATTTAGAGTGGAGAGAGCAGAGGGGTTTAAGGCGGTAAGTGTAATGGAGGCTGGCTAGTAGGAGTAAACCTCTCTCAACAAGGTGTGCTAATGACTGATCCTAGAACTCAGTAAGATCCAAGTTAATTTACCTGCCTCCCCTTCTGCAAATGCTGGTTTGAGTTAGGACTTTTAAAAATATAGATACATTATTATTATCTTGATAATACTAGTATATGAAATTCTCATCTGTTGTTTATCCAAATTTGTCCAATCAGATGGGGCCTTTAATATCTACATCCCCACCTCTCCAGTAGGGCCTGTTACTTGAACCTAGAGCTGAAAGTAAATACTAATGCTAAGAGACAAGAGAGGAAAATGACAACAGTCAATAAGAATCACTATCTCAGCTGAGGTTTTCACTATTTCATGGTGTTTTAAAATGTTTGCACAAAGACATAGTTTTGTTTATTTTATTAGCTCAGGAAGATATCTAGTACTTTTTTATTTTAGTATGATCATAACATGATAAATTGCATAAAGAATAGCATTTTGCAAGTTAGATAAATTGTTAGCAATATCGTTATCGCAATACTCAACAATAATATGGCATGATTTCCAAGTATTGTGCGGTCCTAGTTTGAATCCCTGAAGTGAGAGTTTATGTTGACGTCAGAATTTGCACTAACCCCCAGACTTCAGGACGTTGGAGCCTGGAGTCTAATCAGCAGGCTAATAAAGCTGGAAAAGCCAGTACATATACTACTCTGAGAACGGCTAGTAGAACCAGAGACGTTACATAAGTGTCAAATTCCAGTAAAAATAAGCATTGACATGCTTACAAAACTCTTGTTTGAGAGTTGTTTGGGAACTTATATTAATTCTAAAGATGTCTAAGAATGCTGTTGTAGTGGAAATGGGGAAAAAAAATTCAAATGATTTTTTAAGCGAGCAGCTCATTTTAATATTGTTTTCAGTGTCTCAGAGTCATCCTCGGCATTATCCATGAGCTACGAGCATCTCCCATGTAGGTATTTACCTAGGCTGGTAAATTTACATGGACTTTACTTCGTCCTCTAGAGTCAGTCATTAGCGCAGCTCATACTCCTACTAGCCAGCCTTCTATACACTTACCCGGGTCATGGTACCAATTTAAACCATGGTTTACATTGGTGGTTCTAATTGCCTCACATGAAATATGATTGAAACATGTATTTCCTACATGGGAGATGCTAACAAGGATGCTAAACTCAACACCACAGAAAAATACAAGCTCCAATTGTAAAAAAGTGCAACATTTCAATGCAATTTTCCGCATATCTAAATGTTATTTTTGGCTTATTTCTTTTCAGGGTCCGCTGATTGTCACAGAGGAGCTCCACTCCATCACCTTTGAGGCTGAGCTTTGCTGGTCTGGCTTGGTCATTAACTTTGAGGTTAGAAAATCCTTTAAAAGAACCAAATTTAAAATAATTCCCACCAAATCATAAACTTTAGATTTGTTATTTTCTCTTTCTTTCTTCAGACAACATCTCTGCCCATAGTCGTGATCTCCAACGTCAGTCAGCTGCCCAGTGGATGGGCGTCCATCATGTGGTACAACATGCTGATCTCTGAACCAAAGGTAAATGCTCTTTCCTCACGATAATAGATAAACAACAATTGAAATGCATCATTTAAAACCTAACTGAAGTTATGAAATGAAACAAAAACTGAAAGTATAAATATTATATGCAAATAATAAACTTAAATATTTAAAATGAGCAAAATGTTGCAAAATTGATATTAAAACACATAAAACTACAATGAAATTAAAAATTGATATAAAAAAATTTGAACTAAAATGTCAAAAGCATTCAATATAGAGTTTTTTTTAACTAAATATTACATGTAATATGTAAATAAATACAAAAATATTGACAGATAAAGTTAATGCTAAAACTAATGGAGTTTAATTAACTTAAACTTAATTAACTTAAACCTGAAGTAAAAAATCTTGAATAAATTAAAATGAGTTCATAATAAATCTGCTAATTGAAATAAACTAATGAATACAACTGACAGAGCAGATAGCAGAATTTATTTAAAAATATAATTTCTGGAGACTTCCGGTATGATGGCGGAGTAAGAAGTCGCACGTTTCTGCTCTGAATATTACTTTCAATCACTTTGACTAATCTGAGTTCTCTACGCGTTTTAAGCGCAAGAAATTTAACAAGACGCGTTTAACAAGACATCGTGACAGCGCTTATAACCTAATATGCCGAGAGGTAATACAAAAAAGAACACTGGAATAACTGAGGAGGATAACGTGCAAGCGTCGGGTATGGCGGCTTCGACACAGGGAGACGACATCCGCGAGCTTCTCGGGGGCATCAGATCAGAGGTCGCAGCGCTCAGAGTGGAGATTCTTTCCGAGCTAAAAACCTCCATTTCAGCTGTGAAAGCATCGCTGCAAACCCAGGGGGAAAAATTGAAAGATGTCGAGGAATCATTAACCAACGTGGATGGCCGTGTCACTTCTTTGGAAACTGCATGCGCAGCTCTGACCAAAGACAACGAACGAATGAAAATGAAACTCGACGACTTAGAAAATCGCTCAAGAAGGAACAACGTGAGAATAATTGGCATTCCTGAGCACACTGAGGGCGCGCATCCAACCGCATTTACTGAAGAACTTCTACTTAAAGTATTCGGGAAAGAGAGTTTTCCCAAGCCCCCGGTGGTGGATAGAGCGCATCGCTCCCTGGCTCCCGTACCAAAATCAAACCAACCCCCGAGACCCTTTATTGTTCGAATTCACCACTTCCAGACGAGGGAACTGATTCTTAGACTCGCACGGGAAAAGGGACAGCTTCTCTACAACGGCTTTCGGATACACTTTTATCCAGACGTAAGCGCGGAGGTGGCTAAGAAGAGAGCAGCGTTCAACCCGATCAAAGCACGGCTGAGAGAGGCCGGTATAGAATTCGGTCTTCTCTTCCCTGCACGTTTACGAGTCACCCATAATGGTCAGAAACATTTTTTTGATTCTCCTCAGCAAGCTACTGATTTCGTTCAGGAGGTTTTGCCACCCGCGATAAGCAAGCAGCTGTAAATGTCTCATAGTAGACTGCTTCTGCTTGCTTCTAAACGTATTCTTGATTACATAATCACTTAAGCGATTAAACGGACAATTTAAAAACTGATTCACCTGTTAATCTAGTTCATAATCGTTGTTTGAAAGTGTTCATGTTAAGATAAAACGGTGCTCTTGGTAACGTTAATATTTCAATTTTTTATTTTTTTTTGCCGAGAATTCAATAGTTGTATTACTATTTTTTTATTTGATTTGTTTATTTATTTATTTATTTTTACATTACAGAGTAGAAATGATAACTGGTAAGTGATGGTACACTGTAAACCAGTAGACGTTTGGTTTCTTATAGTTATGTTGGGTTTAATTTTGGAGGTGGGTGGGTTTTTTGTGTGGCTTTTTTTGTTAATTAGCTCTCAGTTAGAATCCCTTCATATCAGCAAATGCTTAAGTTATATGTTGCCAATGCTTATAGTCATGTATAGTCTCTCTTTCCCTATTTTGATTCGCTTACTAGTTGTTTTCCTGTAGAAAATGTCCAAGCATCAAGTAAGTGAGATCAATTTTGTGACTTGGAATGTGAAAGGCATTAATAACGTGATTAAGAGGAATAAGGTTATGTCACATTTACATTTCCTAAAGACAGGAATAGCTTTTCTGCAAGAAACACACATGTTGAATACAGATGTGGTGAAACTTAAAAGATCTTGGGGTGGGCAGGTTTATCATTCCTCCTGTAATGCTAAAAGCAGAGGTACTGCTATACTTATTAGAAAAGATGTTCCATTTGTCAATGATAATGTCATCAGTGACATTAATGGTAGATATATCATTGTGACAGGCCATCTGTTTGATAAACAAGTAATACTGATCAACATCTACGCCCCAAACTTTGATGATTGTTCTTTCTTCAGCAAAGTTTTTAGCACAGTTCCATCAGTTGACAATCATGCTTTGATTATAGGCGGTGACTATAATTGTGTTTTGGATACGTCGTTAGACAGATCCTCAAGCAGAATCATACCACCTGCTAAATCTGCTATACTTATACAAGATTTTTGTAAACAGTATGGGCTAGTTGATCCATGGAGATTTTATTTCCCCTCCTCTAAAGCATTCTCATTCTTTTCTCCAGTACATCATACCTACAGCCGTATTGATTTCTTTTTGATCGATAAAGCCCTAATATCTCATATTTCATCAATCAAATATCATAACATTGTAATATCAGATCATGCTCCTTTCTCGTTTAAACTTAGCTTTCCTAATTATCATTCAGGTGTCAGGCACTGGAGGTTAAACTCTCTATTATTGTCAGATGAAAAATTTGTTACATTTTTATCAAAAGAAATAATCTTCTTTTTGGAGACAAATGATACACCAGAAATCTCAAGAGCCACATTGTGGGAGGCTCTTAAAGCTGTTATACGTGGAAAGATTATTTCCTTCTCCTCCTACACCAAGAGAAAAGAGACTGCCAAACTTAGAGAAATTTCAGATGAGATAAACAAATTAGATGAACAATATGCTGTAAAACAATGTCCTAAATTATACAAGGAAAGACTGCGCCTTCAGACAGAGTTTAATCTTTTGACAACTACTCAAGAAGAGAAAAGGCTATTGAAGACCCGCCACAAATATTACGAATTTGGTGATAAAGCCAGTAAATTATTAGCCTACCAAGCCCGCCAATGCGATGTTTCCAAAATGATCAGTCAAATCCAATCCATTTCTGGTTCTGTACTACACACTCCTCATGATATAAACAATAGATTTTTTCAATATTACTCCTCTTTATATTCAACAGACTGTACTAATAATTCTTCTGTTTTTGAGTCATTTTTTGAGAAGTTAAACCTCCCTCCTGTTAACATTGATTCTGAATTGGGAAATTGTATCAGACAGCAAGAGATCACGGAAGCCATCGTGGCTATGCAGAGTGGTAAAGCACCTGGGCCGGATGGCTTTCCTATAGAGTTCTACAAGAAGTTCTCAGCTTTACTAAGCCCACTTCTTGTAGCAGTATATAATGAATCTTTTAAGAGGGGCTCTCTCCCGCTGACTCTCACACAGGCATCTATTTCACTCTTGTTAAAGGAAAATAAGGACCCCATTCTCTGTGAGTCATATAGGCCAATTTCACTGCTAAATGTGGACCTTAAGATACTAGCCAAGGCTCTTGCATTGCGCCTTGAACCAATTTGTCCAGCAGTAATACATGGTGATCAAACAGGCTTCATTCGTGGACGTAATTCGTTTAATAACTTGCGGCGTTTGTTTAATGTAATGTACATGCATTCACACTCTGATATCAATGAAGTCATCATTTCCCTTGATGCTGAAAAAGCGTTTGATCGAGTTGAGTGGGAATATCTTTTCTTTACTCTCAAAAAATTTGGCTTCCCTGAAAATTTGATTTCCTGGATCAGGCTCTTGTATTCTGCCCCAATAGCCTCAGTCTGCACAAATAATATCTATTCAGAATATTTCCCTTTGTATAGAGGTACAAGGCAGGGTTGCCCCCTTTCACCTTTGCTGTTTGCCATTTCGATTGAGCCCTTGGCCATATTACTTTGTCAATCTACTATTTTTACAGGAATCACTCGGAATGACAAAGAACATAAAATCTCCTTATATGCAGATGACGTTCTTTTATATGTCTCAAATCCAACTCATTCAATACCTCACATACTATCAGTCTTAAAAGATTTTGGAAAAATTTCAGGCTATAAAATAAATATGCACAAGACAGAGTATTTTGAGATTGATGCCCCTCTAGATAGATCTTCTTACACAATACCATTTAAAGTGGTTCAGGATAAGTTTAAATACTTAGGCATATCAGTTACTCGCTCCTTTAATGGCTTGTTTAAAGCCAACTTTTATCCATTACTAAAACGTTGTAAACAAGATTTCAAGAAATGGTCCACTCTACCTCTTTCACTGTCTGGACGTATTAATCTAATTAAAATGACAGTTCTCCCACGGTTTTTATACCTTTTTTCAAATATACCCATATTCATAAGAAAACAGTTTTTCTGTAACATAGATAAATTGATAAGCCATTTTATATGGGGAGGTAAATCACCTCGTATTAGAAAATCATTCCTCCAGAGGAATAAATCCCAAGGAGGCATGGCACTGCCAAATTTTTTGTTTTACTACTGGGCAAGCAACATTCAAAAAATGTTGTACTGGGTATCTTCTTGGGACCCAGAGTCAATTCCACTGTGGGTACAGGGTGAAAGAGCTTGTTCCAGAGCTTCTCTTAAATCTTTGTTATGTGCATCACTTCCAATTTCAGAAAAGAATTATATGACTTCTTTTAATCCAATAGTTGTACATACATTAAAAATTTGGTCACAGTTAAGAAAGCATTTTGGCTTTCAGGCTCTCTCAATTGCAGGTCCCATTGCCTCTAACTGCTTATTTGCCCCATCTTGTACAGACTCTGCATTCCGAGTGTGGGAGGAGAAGGGGATTAAATGCCTGAAAGATTTATTTATTAATAATATTTTTTGCTCCTTCGAAGAGCTTGCTCATAATTTTTCTCTGCCCAAAAACAATTTTTTTAGATTTCTGCAAATACGAAGCTTTGTTAAGTCAAAATTTAAATCTTTTCCTGAATTACCTGCTGCGTCAGTAATTGATGCATTATTAGACTTAAAACCCGAAAGTAAAGGACTAATTTCTCATATATACTCTTTAATTTGTACAATTGATCCTCAAAGTCTAGAACATATTAAAACCTCCTGGCAGCTCGACTTGAGCAGAGACTTCACAGACTTAGAATGGGATGGTATTTTAAATAAAGTACATTCATCATCACACTGTACCAGACATGCCCTTATTCAATTTAAAATACTTCACAGGTTACATTTTACAAATTTAAAATTGTCTAAGATCTATCCTACTGTTAGTCCAGCATGCAGTAGATGCTCAATTTCACCAGCCACAACTGCCCACATGTTTTGGTTCTGCCCAAATCTAGGGAGGTTTTGGAAAGATATTTTTCAATCATTTAGTGATATGTATGGTTTTCCTATTGAACCTGAACCCCTGTTGGCAATTTTTGGAACCAGTCCAGAAAATATTGTGCTTAAAGAAGAAATATGTAGAGTAATTGCTTTTACCACGCTACTGGCAAGGCGTTTATTGGAAAAAATACATACTTCTGTATTGGAAAAAAACTGAGGCCCCAACACATAGTAGATGGATTAAAGACGTTATGTATTTTATTCAGCTTGAAAAAATCAAATTTACTCTAAGAGGTTCAAAAAATACTTTTTTAAAAACCTGGTCTCCCTTTCTTACATACGTTGACCATTTACAATTTTTGGAGCAGGAGGATATATAAAATCTCTCATAATCCCAAAAGAACCCCCCCCCCCCCCCTTTTTTTTTTTTTTTTCTCCATATTTTCTTATTCCTCTTTCATGTCACTGTAACCTTGTAATGCCTTTTACAATGGCAGTGCTTGTAATAAAGGTATACATTCTTTTATTACACACTGAACTGTTCACTTTTTATGTGTATCGTATATCTTGAGGACTTTATGTTTGCAGACTGTTAGCTATGTATATCTTCTGTTAAAGCCACAAAAGGGAAAGTAGTGTTGGGGATATTTGTTTATATATTTTGTTTCGTTGTTGTTGATTGTTTGTCTTTTTTTTTTTTTTTTTTGTGCAAATGTAAAAATAAAAATCCTGATAAATAAAGTATTAAAAAAAAAAAATATATATATATATATAATTTCTAATTTAAAACAATCGTAAATAAATCTACAGATCTCTTCAGTTGTACTTCCTCTTGAACAGTGGTGCTCTCGAGAAGCTTTTAGCAGTACATCTGATCTTACCTCAACACGTGGTTTTCCACCGTTTTCTCCTTTTGTCCTCTCCAGAACCTGTCCTTTTTCGTGACTCCTCCACCGGCCACATGGGGTCAGCTACAGGAAGTGCTGAGCTGGCAGTTTTCCTCCATCACCAAACGAGGCCTTAATCCTGAACAGTTGAGCATGCTGGGAAATAAACTGCTGGGTAAGAATGAAAAAATTTGCTGCATTTCCAGCCCAATTTGTGCATTTCACAAAAAAAAAAAAAAAAAAAAAAAAAACGATGGCATGCTTCTGTAAAAAATACAAAACCATTTAGTGCAAATGATCAATAATAAAAAAAAAAGTTGTGCTGAAAACTTGGCACTGAAGGCTAGTTTTTGATGATCTAGGCTAGTTTTTAACAGCAGACGATGCGCTAGGCATGTTTTTAAGTGCAGATGGTGCTGTAAGCTAGTGTCTAGCAGCAGACGATGCGCTAGGCTAGTTTTTTTTAGCAGCACATTGTGGTCTAGGCTAGTTTTTAACAGCAGACTGCGCTCTAGGCTAGTTTTTAACAGAAGATGGTGCTGTAGGTTCGTTTTTAACACCAGGTTGTGCTCTAGGCTAGTTTTTAACAGCAGACGACACGCTAGGCTAGTTTTTAACAGCAGATAATGCACTAGGCCAATTTTTAACAGCAGACGGCGCTCTAGGCTAGTTTTCAACAGCAGACGACACGCTAGGCTAGTTTTTAACAGCAGATAATGCACTAGGCCAATTTTTAACAGCAGACGGCGCTCTAGGCTAGTTTTCAACAGCAGATGGTGCTGCAGGCTAGTTTTTAACACTAGGTTGTGCTCCAGGCTAGTTTTTTAACACTAGGTTATGTTCTAGGCTAGTGTTTTAACAGCAGACGATGCACTAGGCTAGTTTTAAACAGCAGATGACACACCAGGTGTAAATGTGAATTTTGTCCCGCAGGTCCTAAAGCGGCATCGGATCCTGAAGCTCAGATTCCCTGGAACCGATTCTGTAAGGTTTGTATGCATTATGTTTAGTCAGCAATATTGAATGCAGTAGTCCTTCTGGTTTAAAAATAATCTGATTTAAGTCTGGTGTTTGATGCAGTCTGGCAGTGAAAAGAACTTTACCTTTTGGCTGTGGATTGAAGCAGTTCTCGACCTAATAAAGAGACATTTGCTAAGCCTGTGGGATGATGGGTAAGATGTAGGAACCTAATATAAAATAAATAGTATAACCTCTATATATATATATATATATATATATATATATATATATATATATATATATATATATATATATATATATATATATAGTAATAATTAAATCATCTTTTTTTTTTTAAATAGCCATAAGGACAAGCAGGACTATTACTTTAACCCTGTCTGCCTTATACAGGTGCATCATGGGATTTGTGACCAAAGATCGAACTAAATCTCTGCTCAACAACAAAGCTCCAGGGACGTTTCTGTTGCGCTTCAGTGAAAGCAACCGTGACGGAGCCATTACGTTCAGCTGGGTTGAACACGATGCAAACGGTGAGACCTCACTGCGTACAATAACTTAAAACACAATCAAATAAATGAACTTCAAAACAACATTTTAGTATCAGATTTTCTTTTTACCGCAAATTTTTTATGTGTTTGTTTAGAGGATCCACAGATTCGCTCCGTGGAGCCGTACACAAAGAAGGAGCTCTCCGCTGTTTCACTTCCTGACATCATTCGAAACTACCGCGTAATGGCGGCCGACAACGTTCCCGAAAACCCTCTGCGCTTCCTGTATCCTCAGATTCCCAAAGACGATGCCTTCAAGAAATACTACTCCAAGCCCACTGACAGTAAGAAACAATCACAAAAAAAATTCATATACATGAATAAATGTAATAAATTAAAGTGTGAAAACTAGCCGAGTCAAATCTCATGACAAAACTGGCGATGAAAACTGAAGATGAAAAAGCTTGAAGTTTAAAAGTTTTACTCAGAGAAGTCAGTTAGCATGTTGCTAGCATGTTTTGTTAAAAATTTCATTGTTTCCTAAAATGGCCGATGTGTTTAAGCATGCTGCTATCATGTTTCCAATGTGTTTTAACAGTCAGAATGTTTTATGTTACAAGCATGAATTACCATGTTGCAAGAATGTTCTATCACATGGTAAATATGTTTAATTAGCAGGTTTCCTGCAAATTAGCATGTTTTACCACATTGCCAACATGTTTATTTATGCTATTAGATCAAATTAATAATATTTTTATGGCTAACATGCTTAGCATGTTAAATATATAGATCTTGTTAACATTAATAAGCATGTTTTCCCACTTCCAAATAGTTTAATTATAACATGTTGAATATATCTTGTTAGCATGAATTAGCATGTTTTACCACGTTCAAATTGTTTAATTAGGTTATGTTATTTAGCATGTTGATATAAAAATATAATCTTATCAGTGTGTTTTATGAAATAGTCAACATGTTTTACCACGTGGCAAGCATAGTTTAGCATGTTTCAAACATGCTTTACCACGGGGTTAGTTTATTGTATTAGCAAGTTTCCTACGAATTAGTATTGGTTGCGCAGAATAAATTGAAGGGGGGAGGGGTGGGAGTATGGGTGTGATTTGAGGAGGGGGAAAGGTAAAATGAGGCATGATCCGGCACAAATTAAGCCCTGGTTTAGGCATGGTTTACCACATGGCCAACATGTTCATGCATGTTGTTAGCTTAAATTAGCATATGTGTTACCAAATGGCATACATTTTTAGCATTTAGAAGTATCTTGTTAACATAAATAAGCATGTAATAAATGTTCAGTTATGTGAATTTTGTTAAAACAGGTTATATTGAATGGCTAACATGTTGATAGTAAGGATTAGCATGTTTCAGTTTTTTTAATCACATTATTATGCTTCCTAGCATTAATTATCATTGGTAGGATTCAGATGTTTCTAGTTTGAATGAACATGTTTCTTGCTTGTTTACCACATGGTTAAGAGGTTTTTAACATATGATTAACATGAATTAGCATGTTGTTAGCACATTGACATAATGAATAAGCTTGTCCCAAGTTAGCTGCTAGGCTAATGATGGCTAGCTATAGAAGACTTAAATGTAGGTTGACCTTCAGACCTAGGGGAAATGATCTGTTAGATTTAATGTTGGGAAGTTTTGACAGCCTCAACTGACGTCCTTTTAGATTTTTATTAGATCCAGGGGTCTGTTTTTTTGTTTGTTTTTATTCTGAAAATAATAAATTGCTCATTCTTTTATCGCTTTGCAGAGCAAGAACCAATGGATGTTGATAAGAAGGCAGACGAGGGATACATTAGCACCACTCTCATCTCCATCTCTGAAATGTAAATCAATACTTCAATTTATGTACAATATACTCATTGAATAATGTGTTTAATGAGAAATGTTTCTTTATAATTATCAGTATTATTATCAGTATTAGCCAGTACTAAATGAAACCTATGATTACTCTCAAACAGCTCATATTTATGAAACCTAAATACCTTTTTTTTTTAAACAAAATACATTTAACTTTGATTTAACTTTTTCAGAAGTATGTTCATATTGATCAATCAAATTCAGTCCTGTAAGACCCAAATGCTTCATAAAATGTAATTTTGCTTGACAAACAAATTTTGTTTCAAAACAGAACATTTACAGGCACTGGTGGTTCATTTAAATAATTTAGCATAAAAATGCAAACTGGTTTCAAAGTGGACATTTTTGAAAACAAGTCTCAGTGAGCCAACCGAAAAAGCCTATTTTTGTATAAGTTTATAGTATTCATGAGTGCTTGATAACCAAACAACATTGGTGGATTACAGGACTGTATGTGCACATACACAGTGTTTCCTTACACAGTGATATCGCCACCTACTGGAGGTGGGGGGGGGGGGTTTACATTACTGTCATGCAAACTGGATTGAAAAAAACTTTTTTTAAACGTTATAATTCCTAAATATAGGAAACCACAAGAATATAACGAGAACCTCATGCCAATGTCACCTGAGGTCTACGGCGAGCTGGAGCGCATGGTAAGGACATATATGTATATATATATTTACAGAAAGGATTTAAATGTAACAGTTCAGTGTTAAGTTATTTTGTCAATTTCTCTTTATTTTTAGAATCGATTCGATACTGTACAATTGGAGGTAGGTACTGTTATTGAATAGTCAGAATATTATGACTATTATCTCTATCTATCATCTTTATATACACACATGTTAATATGCATATATATACACAGACACACATATACATATATATATATATATATATATACATATATATATATATATATACACACACATATATATATATATATATACACACACATATATATATATATATATATATATATATATATATATATATATATATATATATATATATATATATATATATATATATATATATATATAAACACACACACACACATATATATATATACACACTCACATATATACAGTTGAAGTCAGAATAATTAGCCCTCCTTTGAACTTTTTTTTCTTTTTTTAATATTTCCCAAATGATGTTTAACAATGAAATTTTCACAGTATGTCTGATAATATTTTAACTTCTGGAAAGAGTCTTATTTGTTTTATTTGGCCTAGAATAAAAGCAGTTTTTAATTTTTGAAAACTTAATTATTAATTATTAGCCCCTTTAAGCTATATATTTTTTGATAGTCTACAGAACAAACCGTCGTTATAAAATAACTTGCCTAATTACCCTAACCTGCCTAGTTAACCTAATTAACCTAGTTAAGCCTTTTAATGTCACTTTAAGCTGTGTAGAAGTGTCTTGAAAAATATCTAGTCAAATATTATTTACTGTCATCATGGCAAATATAAAATAAATCCGTTATTAGAGATGATTTGTTAAGACTATTATGTTTAGAAACGTGTTAATAAAAATCATTAAACAGAAAATGAGGAAAATAAACAAGGAGGCTAATAATTCAGGGGGGCTAATAATTCTTACTTTAACTGCATATATAAAATTTCATCAACATTAATTATTTTTGTTTCTTTTCACAGCCAGCAGACTTGATGACAATGACATAGAAAACGCGAGTGACTCGAACGGGTTTTTTCCCGCTGTTTTTTTGCAATAATGCAAATGAAAAAGGAAGAATTCTGCAAGAATGTTATTCCTCTCCTTTTCATGCTAACGTTAAGAAAAAAAAAACACTGTATTCACCTATCATCTCATTCACCAGTATTCTACAGCGAAAAAAAAAAAAAAAGCTCTAATTTACCCTACAATAACCTCAGCTTTTATTCTAGAATAGAAAAGCAACATTTTAGGCAGGGATTTTCTGTATGAACGTAGAGCACTTAATTTAAAGTAGCACTTAATTTTCTACAATGCCAAGTAAAAAAAAAAAGTAAAAAGAAAAGAAAAAGTAAACAAGAAACTCGATATTGGATACATTTCAGAAAAAAAAAAGTTCTTCTGTATTTTCTATGAAGAAAACGAAACTTATTTTAAGGACTATTCTGTACTTTTAAACAGTTAAGCTATTATTTAATTAATTTTATGCGAAAAATATATTTCTATTTGCACCTTTTGACATTTTTGACACAGACCAACAGTTTGAAAATCCTTACAAACCAAATATTGCAAATATTGTAAACATCTTAAGAATAAAACAACTAAAGCCAAAAAACCCACATCTCAGTTAAACCCACCAGCTGCAATAACACAACAAGAAAGAAATGATCTGTGTTCAAAAGCATTTTTTTCATGTATAGTATGTCTTTTATGTAATATATTGATCATTTCTACTGTATTATAAAAGAGAAATTAAAAAGTTATAAGTTTACGGAAACACATTTTCAGAAAAAAAATGCAATCCCATTAATGTGATTTTCACTGTTAAACTGCAAATCATTATTGCATTTAAAAGCAGTCCTTAAAATAGGCTTCGTTTTCTTTAAGTAAAGAATTTCTGAAGTTCCTTCTTTATGATTTGAGACAAAAAAAATAAAAATAAATCCAGGTTGTGTTAGTATCAGTTTCACCCAGAACACAAAAGGAATTTCAGGAAAATTCTGATTTAACATGTAAGCTGTTAGGTGTTTCACTCTCCTAAACACCGTTTCTGTATATGTGAAAGACATCAATTTTACATTTGCCGAACTTGCCGGTGCTTCATTTAGTATTATCTATTTTTTTGTACTCTGTGTAGTTTTATTTTCTCTTCTTGTGCACTGGATTGTGGTGTTGCGTGTAACAGAGAAACATTTTTCTTTGTTAAATTTTACATTTTTAAATTTTGTTAGGAGAAGCCTTCAAAAATTGCACCTTAAAAACATTTGTCACCAACCAAAAACCACATCTTCAAAGCCAATATTTTGTAAATATTGTAAACAAATTAATATAAACGTTTAAAAACGCCAGACGAAAAGCACTGTTGAAAGCCTTTATTGATTTAACATAGTATTTCGAATGTGGAATATAATTCGAACAAAGGTACTAACAAACATCTACAGCACAACATGACTAAATAATGAAATCAAAGTTCAATTTCACAACATGGCGATACATTCGCAGCCGTACATAACAAACGCCGCTAAAAATAAAGTAACAGCTTTCTTTGTAAAAACGAAAAACAATTTACACAAAATTGCTAAAGTGCGACAAGTAAAACCAATTTAGATACGAATAATGACCTACTGTAGTTTTGTTTGTGAATCATTTGCTCGTTTTTTTAAACGAATTTTTAACAGTTAAGCACAAACAAACACACACACACACACACATTACAAAACGCCATTTACAATACTTCAACAATAGTGTCCCACTAGAAAACAAGCACACACACTCAGCTTTGGAGGTGTTCTTCAAGTAAACGTGCCTCTTTGTCCGTCGTACTGTACAATAAAACAATCCGTGAGCTTATTCGCTTAAAATGTGTGCTTATAGACATAAAATCAACTGTTTTTTAAATTCTTATTACATGACATGAACACGCTTAGGCTGCATTTACACCAATGCATTCTGTGTTGATGCCACTGAATTTCTGATTGTTTGTTTGTTTTAATCTTGTCATTTCTTCATGTGCTGAGAATAAAACTGAAAATCTGAAATCGTTGCCTGGTTCTTTTTGCACACAATAACAAGAAAATATATAACAATATACACAACATTTGCTTATGACTGTGTGTTCACATCGAAGGTGGCGAAAAAAGCGAAACGTTCGCTCAAAGTCAAAGTTCGCTCTGGCCACCCTGGCGACAACGATGTCTGCCTTCACAGCTCCACCGGCGAGAGCATCAAAATTTGCAATATTGATCTTAATATTCTTCACCTTTATTGGTTAGGAGAGTTAAGATTTTACAGACAGGAAAATGTGGGGAGCAGAGATAGGCAAAGGATCTCGAGCTGGGAATCGAACTTGGGTCGCCGTGAGCACCAAGGTTGACGCACTAGTCTATTGAAGTCGACATTGATCTCATATTTATAGGAGCCTTTGTAGCAAATTAGTTACATTCCTGCAAAAAACATGCTTTCAAGCCTAAAAATGTTGTGCGCCTTTTATCAAATTCATTTAACCATGGAAGTTGTTGCGTGTGGTGTAGCTTTGCTCCACTTAGCCAATATGTGTCCATATGCCTGAAATATTCTGAAGCAGCAATACTCTTTTGTACTGTCAGTACAGTTAGCGTGAGATTCACACTTTTTTAAGACAAATATATATATATATATATATATATATATATATATACATATATATATATATATATATATATATATATATATATATATATATATTAGCCCCCTGATTTATATATATGATTATGCATATATGCAATATATATATTAAACTAATATAACATTAATGTATAATCAGTAACTCGCCAGTAACTTTTTTTTAAATGTACGTCCCTGTTCGTAAATAATTGGAAATCCGGCGAGCGCAAGAATCAAACCCATGGGAACAACTGTGATTGGAACCTAAGTTCACAGGACTGTGTTCACTGGAATCCTTTCAAGCGGTGGACTTCTATATTCCGATTGCTTGCTGCCAAATCACTACCATAAAGTTGACTTGATTTGAACTATCCTCGACGCCCACACTGGCAAAGACAAGCTGCTCAGCTCCTTGTTGCTTATCGCTGCGGTCTTCCATTAAAAAAATGAATGACTTCCTGCTACTTTGACGCTCTCGCCGATTTTGGTGTGAACGCACAGTTGGTGTTAGATCATTAACCCTTTATCAGGCAAAGAATATATGGCTACTTCATTGACACTGGTTACAGTGTCTCAAATTCTAAAACTTTAATGGTCCTGTGATAACCCCCAGTGGCACTCCAGGAAGTTTTTTCACTGAGCATTTCAATGAGTGCCCTGTAAAGGGTTAAGGTGTCAATTAAAGAAAATGTGAGTATTACATTAAACAGCCAGGTGCAGAAATGGCCCTTCCAGTGCTTTAATTTCAGTAATATCAATATTTTGGAGGAACACTTGTAGTACAATGACAAATTATAAAAACCAAAAATGGAATTGTAATTTTGGTAACACTAAATTCATGTTGTCGAAGTGTTACCAAAATAAAAACATTAGAAATACCGGTATTTAATACCAAAATATGAATCTTAAGAAATTAAAACGTATTATACTGTAGATCGTCAACATATTAAATACAGGGAAGTCTACAGTGAAGGGAAGAAGGGAAATGGTTGTTCTTGTGCTTTAAAGTAATTTCGACAATATTCATTTTCTTTTCGGCTTAGTCTCTTTATTAATCTGGGTTTGCAACTGCGGAATGAACCGCCAACTTATCCAGCATATGTTTTATGCAGCGAATGCCCTTCCAGCTGCAACCCATCACTGGGAAACAACCATACACACTCATTCACTACGGGCAATTTAGCTTAACCAAACACCTTTAGCGCATGTCTTTGGACTTGTGGAGGAAACCAGAGCACCTGGAGGAAACCCAAGTGAACACGAAAGAACATGCCAATGCCACACAGAAACGCCAACTGACCCAGCCGGGACTTGAACCTTGCTGTGAGGCAATCGTGCTATCCACTGCGCTACAATGACACCCATTTCGACAACATTTCAATATATTTAATTAGTTAAGTAGACGGGTATCAAATACAGGAATTAAGTCATCTATTTAAAGTATTAAATTACAAATATAGTAAATAAAAAGGTAGGTATGAAACGTGTCTTTCTAGGACTTTCGAAAAACATTACAATATCTCAAAATAGGAATCAAATAAAGTGAATTTTTGTAGTACAACAAGGGGCTATTTACACAACAACCTTTTTTAGCCAAAAATGGGAAACATATTATACGTTTTACCTGTTCGTTTACATGGCAATAGTGCTTTTGGGACTAAAGATGCAAACCGTTTCAAAGTGGATGGATTTGAAAATGCCGTTGTAGTTGTGTCTGTGTAAACACCTGAAAACTAAAGTGAAATTTAAAAGCGATGACATCATGCATGTGCATGCTATGTGTTTGGGGGAACATAGATTAAATTCAAGAGCAAATAAACACACGATGGCGGAGTACGTAGTAGTTTTGCTGCTCAAGTGTTTCCAAATGTTTAATTTGCTAAATTTGGATTTATTCCACATTACAACCAAAAACGGAGACACAGGTGTGTCCGAAATCGTATAATTTCCTACTATATAGTATGGTAAATGTATGCAGAGTATTCGTAGCATTTGAAAAACAGTAGGTGAGAAGTACCTGGATGACCCACTACTTCTGGTGAGATTCTCAATGGATTTACTATCCCATAAGGCTGCGCAAGAGAATTTAAGAAGGAGAGTGGCACAACTGACGTGGGTAAGTCTTGTGATAATGATATAGCGGATGTAGAAGTTTCAAATTACATTCATACTATTTAGAACAAACTTTTCCAATGATTGTGAAGTAAGTTTAAGTTTAAATGTAGTACCTACTCGAGTAGTAGTATTTGCAATTTCGGACGTAGCTATAGACACAAGCCGCCAACTGCACATTTCTACAGGTACGGTTTACTAACAAGGTGACAGTGGTAAATACTGGACTGGCATACATAATACATGTATTTTAGCCATTTTTGTGGATATGTGTAAATGTGGGACATTTTGAAAACAGTCGCATTTAAAAATATTTGAAATTTCTTTTCGAAACGCAAGAGTAAAATTGTTCCATTTTCAACTAGATTTTTGTCGTCGAACCATGGCCAGGTACAAAAATTTTTCCTTAAGACTTATGTAAACAAATTGAAAGTCAGAAAGTTATTAAATAATAAATACAGTGTTTCCTTGCTGTTTTTGCTAACATTTGTAAACATATATCATTTTAAAAACTTGTCGTCTAAATGTGAAACTTTTAAAATACTTAAGGAAGAACTTTTATCATTGTCATGTAAGCAGAGCCAGTTACAACGAATTGTCCTAAACAATTAAGTTATGCAAGCAAACTGAAAGTGCGAAAGCTATTAAATACAATAAACAGTCTGAATTCTTTTAATACCCGTCGACTTAACTATATTATTAAATTACAACATTGTGATGTAGATCCTTAAGCTGTCACATATAGGAAACTCTTGTAGTACAATGAGTCGGAATGTACGAATATATTTCATTAGCACATTACAATAACTTTCAATAGAAATCAAATACAGAAATTAAATGTAATCACAATGAAAGGGAATGTTAAAATATGGTACTTTTAACGCTTTTAAGCAATTTCCGCAACACTTTACAGTATGTCTAAACTGTAATTATTCACTTTAAATATGTAACAAGTACAGGACATTCCTGTACTACAGTAAACAAGACTGTATGAAAATGGACTTTCTAGTTCTTTAAAGTGAATTTGGTAACATTAGGTTTAATTTTGTTAACATCGGCTAAGTAAACCGTCAACGAATCCAGTATTTTACACCAATCTACTTATCTAATATTAAAGATTTTAACAGCATACTGTAAAGCAGATCAAGGTAAATTCTTGGAGTGCAATAAAACACGCAAGTGCGAAAATGGTTCTTTTGGTTGCAATAAATAATATTTTAACAGCATTTATTAACCTCGGCTATACTCAATTACTACATTTCTGTAAAGTTAGACATTATTACCATACATTAAATTAAACAATCAGGAATTAAAACTATATATAAATGAATATTAACCTAGTTTAACAAATGCTGTTAAATTTAAATATTAGTTACACCAAACTTATGTTAACAAATTGAAAACTGATTAAACTAGCATGTAAATAAAAAAACAAGCATTACTGCAATTTCATTTAAAGAAAGTAAAGTTGAATAAATATAATAAAATAAAAGTGCAAATATTTTTGACAATCAAAGAACAGCGTCGTCATTAGTAGCATATTCACAAGATGCTATACAATCGAAAATAAAAAAGGCATAAATTACTACCATTCCTCACGACTATCGACTAAAATACAGAATAAAGAAAACAAATGTAAATATAAAAATAAATCCAAACACTTCCCGCCCAACGCTTCCCGCTCTCACCAAGCTGCCTTTTCTTAAATATCAGTTTGACATCATTTTGCTTGTATGACTGTAAGTGAACTATTTATATATACACGTTTTATATATAGTGTATGGAATTTATATTGTATGTTGACATGAAGATACAGCTAAATAAGACTTGTATGAGGCTACATTCCTCCAAGTGTACGATAAAACTAAGTTAAACATCACGCGCACACACAAACACCACAAAACAGGGTAAAAGTGGCCAAACACGTCCTTTTTTTAGCGTTTTGTACGTTTTCTTTGTATAAATGCATACCTCAGACACACACAACAAACTGTCTCTACAGCATCCCGTCAAGGTTTTTCTCTGCCGTCTCTTTTTCGCTGTCGGCGCTGCTCTCCTTCGGGCTGTAGGTGTTGTGATAGTCCTGCAGGATTGTTACCACATCGTGATGGCCAAAATGAATGGCTTCATCCATCGGAGTGTTTCCCCACCTGTTTGAGGAAAACATATGACGTTTAAATGCACAGCACCTGGGGTTAACTTTTGTAATTCTTTTAACACACTGATAGCATATTTTTAACATGCTCACATGAATTACAACTTATATTGTAACATGTGTAACACATTACTGATACATTTTAGCATCTTGCTAACATGTTTTAACATTTCTAGCATGTTCCCATGTGAATTAGCACATTGATGATGTGATAAAACATGTTGCTAGCATGTTTCTAATATGATTTAACAGATTACTGACCCATTTTAGCATGCTGCTAACATGATTTAACATTTCTAGCATGTTTCTATGTGAATTAGCACATTGATTATGTTATAAAACATGGTGCTAGCATGATTCTAATATGATTTAACACATTACTGGCACATTTTAGCATGCTGCTAGCATTATGTAACATTTCTATCATGTTTCCATGTGAACTAGCACATTGACAATGTGATAAAACATGTTGCTAGCATGATTCTAACATGATTTAACATTACTGACACATTTCTAGCATGTTTCCTTGTAAAGTAAAACATTGACGATGTGATAAAGCATGTTGCTAGCATGAATCTAACATGATTTAACCATATTGACACATTTTAGCATGTTGCTAGCATGATTTAACATTGCTAGCATGTTTCTATATGAATTAACACATTGATGAGTTGATATAACATGTTGGTAGCATGTTTCTAACATCCTATAACTCTTTCCTAGCATGATTTGACACAATTTAATTTTAGCATGGACTGCTAGTTTGTTTTAACAAGTGCAACACATTCGTTAGCATTATTTTTTATTTCTTTCATGATCTAAGAAACTGCTTTTTGTACTTACATTAACAGCTTACATATTTCGAAGATTCTTCTAACACAAATTAAACACACCGCGTATGCTTTGACACATGTTTGAAGCGTGTTTTAACCCATTGTTAGCATGTTTCTATGAGGATTAGTACATCGATAATGTAATTTAACATGGTGCTACCATGCTTCAAAAATAATTTCATTCTTTGCAAGCATATTTTAGCATTTTCTTGCACACTAGTTAACAAATTCAAAAACTTTGTAGCATCATTAACAGCCCTGTACGTTTTAACACATTGCTAGCCTGCCTTTATGTAAATTACCACATTAATAATGTGGAATAATATGTTGCAAGCATGTTTGAAACATGTTTTGGTAGCTACTCTTTGGTAGCATGTTTATTTAACATTATTTAACACACAAATTAACATGTTGCTGTTACGTTATAATTTAATTACTGCTAATGTAACGTATAACTCATTGCTAACACATTTTAGCATATTGTTAACTATATGTAACACTTTGCTAACATGTTACTATGATATTTCTGAATGAATGAACACACTGCAAACATTTAAGCACATGATTTAACACTGCTTGCATGTTTTTTGTGTCCTAATGTGAATTAGCACATCGATAATGTGATGTATCATGTTGCTAGCATTATTTCCCTTTGCAAGTTTTATCATTTTCTAACTAAACACACCGATTAATACATTTTAACATGTTGCTGGTATATTGTAGCATAGCATGTTTAAACATTTACATTTAAACATTCACACTGTGAGCATAATTTAACACTTTGCTAGCATGTGACTAAGATGTTTCTAACATAGCAGATGTTTTAACAAGATTGCAGCATGATGTAACACTGCTTGCATGTTTTAACACATTGCTAGCATGTTTCTTTGTGAATGAGCACATCATTAAGGTGATATAACCGATTCCTAGTATGTTTCTAACATGTTTTATCCCTTTGCCTGCTTGTTTTGTAACATTATTTAACATGGTTTGACACCATTTTTTTACATGTTGTTGAAACGTTTTAGCAATAACTACAGCTAACAAGTTTTAACATTTATAACGCATTGTTAGCATGTTTGTTACATGATTTAGGAACTGTTAATGTTTTAACAAGTAATTATATGTGAATTAGCACATAGATAATGTTTCTGTTTTACCTCTAACAAGTTTCTAACATGTTTTCAGCCATTATTTTACACACTGATAAACAGTTTTAATTGCTGGTATGTTTTAGCATGAACTGCTAACATGTTTTAACATGTATAACACATCATAAACATGTTTCTGTCATGATTTAAGAAATTGCTATTGCTTTAGCATGAATAAACACATTGTCACCATGATTTAAAGTGTTTAAACATGCTTACTGTCATGTTCTTTGCTGGCTGGCTACTCAAATTTTTTAAAGTCTGATCATTAGAACCATTGCTGCAAAGGTTATATAAAATTCTGACCCACTATCCACACTTTGGTAAAAGCAGGCATGCAGCAAAACACAAAGATCTGCATTGTTGCAGTATTTGACATTCATACCTGTCCTTGGGCACTGGATTCACTTTACAGGCTTCTAGCAGAAAACGCACAACCTCAGCATGGCCTGAAACCCAAAGAAATAGCACATTAGCATGATTGCCAAACAGCGCACAGAGAAACGAGGTCAGTCACAGGAAACAAACAGAAATTCTTGGGGTTTAAAAAAACATGATAAAATCAAAAGATAGAGGAGTTCCTCATCATTTAACCTTCAGCAGCAGCTACATGAAGAGCAGTTCTCGAGTCATAATCTCTCTGCTCCATATCCATCGATGACAAGGCAAACCTTCACACAAAGACAAAAACAAAACACGCTCAAAACTGGGGGTTTAATGAAAAAATTGTACAGAAAATTCAAGGAAGTGACTCTATCGTTACCTTCTCAAAGCAGACACGTCCCCTGTGTAGGCCGCAAACAGCAAGTTGATGACAGACTTGACCTGAAAAAAACAGAGGTTTCATTTGTGGAACGTTCATGGGATAGCATAAAGACATCCATATGCAGCAAACTTCGCCAAAGGATCCAAAAAGCCTGTTGGAATAAAATTAGGCTGTGGAAAAAAATGACATTAAAGTTGAATTTCAAAACAAATGGACACTAACAAATGAAACAGATCAGAAGTATAAAATGACACCCCAGGATAAACAAAACTGAAAAAACAAACAAACAAACAAACAAACAAACAAAACAGGCCAATAACGAAACTAATAGAGTTAAACAGGTGAAACAAAGGAAACTGAACAAAATGAGACAAAAATCAAACCAGCGAAACAGGCCAATAACTAAACTAAAAGAAACTGGACAAAATGAGACAAAAAAATAAACAAACAAACAAACAAACGAAACGGACCAATAACGAAAGCAATAAAATAAAACAGGCAAAACAAATGAAACTTAAAAAATAGGTAAAAAACAAACAAATAAAACAGGCTAATAACAAAAGTAATAAAATAAAGCAGGCAAAACGAATGAAACTACATAATGGGACAAAACCAAACAAACAACTGAAACAGGCCATGAACAAAACTAATAAAACAAACAAAACAAAAATGACAAAATTAACTAAACAAAATGTTAAAAAAAGATAAAAACAAAACAATGAAGCAGGCCACAAACAAAACTAACAAAACAAAGAAAACTGGCGAAATATAAAGCTAAAAACACGACAATAAAACAAACAAATAACCCAAAATGAAATGGGCCACAATTAAAACTAGTAAAACTTAAAAAATAAACTAAACAGGACACAATTGTAACTAACAAAATAGGACACTGAAAAAGCAAACCAAGTTAAACAAAACAAGAAACAAAAAAAAAAGAAACAACAAGAACCAAGACAAGCAAAACTAACAAACAAACAAACAAACTAACAAATAGGACACGACAAACGTTACTGATAGAATGAAAGAAATGAAACAAGAAAGACAACAAAACAGGACAAAAGAAACTCACAAAACAAATGAAACCGGATACAAGCAAAACTAACACAACAAACAAAAAGGGACAAGTAGGGTAGAAAAAAAACAAACAAAACTAATAAAACTACCAAAACAGGACACAAAATAAAGTAACAGCAATTAAACAGGACAGAAATTAAACTAACAAAACAATCAAACACGACCAAAATTAAAACAAATGAAACACAGTTGATATGTTTTAATAATTAGTCATATACAACCAACAGACACATTAAGTTTTTTATTAATCATTTATTAAAACAGTAAACCACAGTGACACAAAAATAAATAAAAGTCAACCTAAATTAAAGAATGTGTTTGAAAAAAACAAGTTATACATTTATTTTGCAGAAAAAATTCATAAGGCCAGTGAAAATGTGCTAAGTTTTTAATAAATGCCAAACCAGTCGCTTGCAAGACATTCTTAAGAAAATAATAATAATAATAAATTCAAGTTGTCAGTTGATGGTAGAAAAAACAACATCCAAAAAAGCACTTTTAGTTACATTCCTGAATCTTAAGAGGCACAGTTAAAGTTTCAGAAATGATTTCCTTAATGGACAATGTAATGAAAACCTTTCAGGTATCAGTAAACAGCTACAGTAGATATTTAATCCAAGAGAACACTGGATAACAGACGTTTTAAAAGCAGTTTTGGCATGAAGATAAACCATTAGTTACACAATCTCTCCTCTTTGCTCACAGTAAACCATCTGCACTAGAATTGACATTAACTACTCATTTGGTTTGAGCAATATCCATTCATTTTCTTATGTATGATTTTTTTTTTTTTTGTGCAAAGTAAACAATTAGACTGATTTATAAAGTTACACTTTATACAGACTACGACTTTACCTGTTCACATTTAACAATTCTGTCATAAAACACTGCATTTAACACCAAATACTGCCTGAAATAAGTTAACAGAACATACATTTACCAGACATTTGAACATCACAAACAGAATATACATATAAAACAGTAAATAAAAGAAACAGTAACTGTTCAGAACAATTTTCCGAAGGTCTTTGTGGTTTTCAATAAATTATTTAATATCTTATAACATCTGTAATTCAACTGACTGTTTTCAAACAGGTTTCCTGAACACTCAAGCAGCCCCACCAAAACACTGTTTTACTGTCAGGTTTGGGTTCAAATTGTTTACTTTCAAACTACATATTTATTCAAATTAATCTAAGAGTACAAAAAAGTAATTTAGTATTGGGGAAAACTAAATAAAACTAAATATACCACCTCTGTCTTACAATATTTCACAGTTTTTACTCAATACAGTATTACTGTATTGATACCCAGATACTGATATTTCATATCACTATTTGGTCCTTGATGATTTCCCTACTTTTAACATCAAATAAGATTGCACAATTGTAGCTTTAAAGGGTCTTAGGCAGATAGTGTACATTTTAGGCAAAAACCGACAAAGCCTCTTAAAAACAAACATAAAATAAGTAAATAAAATTCAGCAAAAATACACACTAGAGATGCACTAAAATTTCAACATTAAAGTAATAAATATTATTTTGATAACTTAATTTAAGTGTTGATTATGACCAAATTTGAGTAATTATTTGATTATTAAATAAACAAACAACAAAAAAGACAGTTTCAGCATTTAGGTCAAATTAATTAAATCCATAAAAAACACAAATGTAAAAAAAAAAAAAAAAAAAAAAAAAAAACAAGTCAATGATAAACAAAACTAAAAACAACCCCACACCCCCATCCAAAAAAAAAAACAACAACCAAAAGAAATGAAAGCTAAAAAACAAAACAAACAAAACAGCAAAAAAAAAAAAAAAAAAACCTCTATAAAACTTGGGCAAGTGCATCTCGAATTAAAAATTTCAGCTCAGATTTTTCTTTTATTTTTGGTGCATCACTAAACAAAGCTAAAAAACAAAAAAAAAAGAAGCAAAAACAAATGAAAACAAAGTAAAATAAAACCCATAGCAAGTCAAAACATGCTAACAAACCAATTTTATATAAAAACACAAAGTAAAAAAAAAAAAACTAAAAACTAAACAAACTAATGATAAACAAAACTAAACTAAAAACAAAAAAAAACAAAAGACACCCCCCCACACACACAAAAAAACAAACAAAAAAGCAAACAAAACACTCTATAAGTTGGCCAAGTGCATCTCGATTGGATTAATCACTAAACAAAGCCTGAAAACAAATTGAAAAAACAAACAACAAAAAAAACCCACAAAGCAAACAAACAACAATAAAAATATAAGCAAAAACAAATAAAACCAAAGTAAAAATAAAACACAAAGCAAATCAAAACATGCTAACAAGACAAATTTATATAAAAAGTAGTAAACAAAACAAAGTAAACAAAACTAAAAAGCTAAAAAAAATAAAAAATAAAACAAAACAAGAAACAAGAACACCCCGAAACAAAATATAAACAAAAACAAAAACAAAACAAACAAAAAAGCAAACGAAAAACACCTCTTCAAACCCAAAGATGGGTGAAAGAAAAAGAGCAGACACTGTTGACTCTTCTAGTTCCTCTCCATCCTATAGACTACAGTGGTGGAAGTGTCCGCATCCGTTTCGGGACAAACTTTTTTCCACACTTTGTCAGTGAGCGCTAGTTCCTGCTGGAGGCTCGCATAGTCCAGCGGTTCGAGACTCTGCTGCTGCTGCGGTTCAACCAATATGGACATGGACAGATTATCAGATTAGATCATGTCATCATGGCATTTCCTGCTTGGATTAGTACAGAAGGCGAAGAAAGAAGAAAAAAGGGAAAAGCTGGAAACTTAAGCAAGCCAGCCAATCAGAACAGAGCCGTTTAGGTGTTATTTGGTAGTAAAGAAGCAGAACAATCATATTCAACCCAAATCAAGGCACACTGGTGGTAGATTAATGTGTTTAAAAGCAGAAAGGATGCTGGTCTTCCAGAAGAGGGCAGATAATGAAGAATGCAGGAATGTGAAAATGCTGCGAGAAGTGAAAAAGACTGCAGGACAGTTTGTCAGCACACATATATTAGTAGGTACACACACGTGCTTGGACAATATGTCAATTTACAGGATCATTTGCATCTATCAAAATCTATTTTCATATTGTTTTAATAAAATTTCAGCTATTTTTTCATTTTGTTTAAAACATTTTTTTTAAATTCATTTATTTAAAATGGGTACAAAATTTAAATATAATTTGAAAAACTATTTTATGTGTGGACTACATTTTTACTGAGCCTTTTGGGAGAGTAAACCTAAAAGCTATAAATATATATGCATTCTTTCTATACAATATAAGTGCTCAACATAGAAGAGTACACTCTATTTTGAAAAGGAATATTTTTATCTATTTTTCAGTTAATATAAGTCATATGTTTTGGTGCATTTAAACAAAACAGACAAAAAAAATAGTACATATTCAAGGGCTGTTGCAATAATGAATGGACATTCAATTACAGTACATTAAAATTAGAGAACCAATATCGAAGTCACTCGTTATAATCCTATTTAAAAAGTTCTTAATATTGAGGAATAGAATACAAAAAAAGCATATTCATTAGTAACTTATTCTTATATACATTCAAAGCAAGAGCCTGTACTTTTCCAAGTAGTTTTTTTTTTTGTGTTTCTTGCTTCAACAAATCACTGCTGTTCTCTAATTTTTATCAATGTGGCATTAATTTGTGTGTGTGTGTGTGTGTGTGTGTGCACGTGTGTGTGTGTGTGTGTGTGTACAAAAACATTAGATGCATTTGTGGCAGTTGCATTAAAGCTGGTTTATACTTCTGCATCGAGTGATTGCCGTGACCCACAGCGCATGCCTTGCACACAGCTGTGCATTTATACTCCTGCAAGCTGTTTGTGTTGCTCTGCAATAACATTTCCAAAACACTACCTGGCAGTATGTTTTTATTTTTCTCTGTGTCGAATTTCTTCACGGGTGTTTGGTATTTTCTAAATGCTACCTTAATGTACAAGTAGATTAAACTCGATCATTCAAAGGGCATGGAACCGTCAGACGTGCAACAACTTTACTCATGAGGTAAACACAAAACAAAAGTTCCATCTGGAACTTTTTCAAAGGACTCGAAGCTTGTGAACACTCGCTCCAAAGGGCTCGCAGCTCTCCCACGCACCACCCACACTCGCCATCACTACCAAACCAACAAATCACACAGCTTGCGCTATGCGTCGTTGCGACATGTAGTTAAATCTTTTCAGATGTGCACGTCAGCCACGACGAAAGGTACTGTACGTGACCACGCAAAGGCTGCACTGGACCATATGTGTGTGCTTGATGCAGAAGTATAAATCAGCCTTAAGTTTGCATTAGCTGCATGTTGTCTGATGAAAGAATGAATCTGTCACTCACCCGTTGGTCTCCGCCCTCTCTGCGTGGATCCAGTTTCTTGGCAAAGTGCCGCAAATTGTCATAGTTGTGGAAATTAAACAGTTGGACCAGATCCTGACAAAGAAACGAACAAAAGACTCAATGTAGTAAAAGCGCAACCAAATACTTTCGACATAACTACAAAACAACAAAATAAACAACAATGTACAAATGCATTATGCTGTTGTTAATTTAAAAACCAATTAAATAAATCACTAATATAAACTTTAAAGGGGACCTATTATGCAAAACTCACTTTTATAAGGGGTTTGAACAGTTGTGTGGTAACAGTGAATATAGCCAGCCTTTATTTTCAAGCATTTATTAATGTTATTTGGTCTGCAGAAACACTTTGATTGACATTCTCCCTTTGTATGATGTCATCAGAGGGGGAATGCCCTACCCATTATTGACAATCTCTCGCTCATTAGCATAGCATAATCTTTTTTTATGAATCTGCCACTATGTTGACACATTTGTAGCTCCACCCTCTTTTGAAAAAGAGCACAATCTCATTTGAATTTAAAGTGACACTCACCAAAATGGCACAATTAGAGTCAAAGCCTAAAAGGGGCTGATTCATAGAGTTATAAAGAAGTATTTGTGGGGTATTTTGATCTGAAACTTCACATAAACAATCAAGTGATAAAAAATAATTATCTTGTAAAAAAAGGGGCATATTAAGTCCCCTTTGAAGTGTTTTAAAATTGAAATTTTTTTATAATATAAACATTTTTACCATAACACAGATTAACAGATTAATACCGTGCAAAACTGGATTCCCCTCACGCTGTTGCCCAGTTTGTCAAGAGGTGGAGACCAGCACATGATTCCCATCACGTTGGGCACGACCAGCAGGATGCCTCCAGAAACACCTGATTTAGCCGGCAGACCAACCTACCAACAATAAAACAACTTTTTGTTTCAAACTGCAGACGTGTTTGCTTTCCTTTTAAGGTAAATGCATTAAATAGTTTCATAGGTGCGTGCAAAACGTACATGGAAAGCGAACTGTCCAGAGAAGTCGTACATGCCGCAGGAGTGCATGAGGCTCAGAGTGTTTCGCACAGCCTCGGGGTTGACCACTCGCTCGCCTGTGATTGGACAGAAGCCGCCGTTCGCCAGAGTTGCTGCCATAACACTGGCACTTTCACAGGTCACCTCAATGGAACACAGCTAAACAGACAAAAACAACCATTTTGAATGTTGCATTCAAATATCAAATTTTGCAAAACAAAGCACCAAAACAAAGATGTACATAACCCAACAGGACAACGCCCCTTTTTGATTTCTGAGCTATCCTTACTAGACACGCCCCTTTAATGCTGATTGAATGCACATTTAATTTGTAAGTATTTTACACAAAAAAACGCTGTCAGCTTCACATGTAAAAAAATAACCATTAATGAATCTTTGGTGTTTTCCACTTCTTAATGTCTAGTCACATTTTAAGGCCCTGTCCACATGAACACGGGTAATTTCAAAATCAAATTTTTTTCTATGCAGTTTTGCTGTTTGTCCACACAGCATCCAGGGATTGAAACTGAAACTTTTAGAAAACTGAGTGTAGATTTTCTGAAACTACAGTGTGTTCGTATAGACACTACAAATGGAGTTTTCGATTCATGACATCAGCACGTTTTCTCCTTTCTGATTGGCCAACACAGCTAGGATCACAACAAACGAGGAAGACACAAATTCGCACATTTGTGGCAAGCATGACGCATATTCTGTATTGTTTGTACCGTGATTTGCACCTTTGTTCTCATGCTTGTGGTCTTGTATGCAATGTGCTTGAGAAAATATTTGGTGTGAACTCTGCATTAAAGGCTTTTATCGCCACCTGTTGCTTCAGTATACCCTTAACAATGCATTTTTATGTCAACGGAGATTTTTTTTAATTAAAGCAAGGAATACTCAGTTTATAAAATAATCCGTGTTCATGTGAACTAAAGACTGTATTATACTTCTGCATCGAGAATTTAACGTGACCCACAGGCATGCCTTGCGCATACGTAGACCATACGTGTATGCTTAACGCAGAAATATAAAGCTGCCTTAAGTGTTTTGTAAATGCAGCCTTAATCTAACTTCTGACTTCATTAAGTGACTTTTAATGACATTTTTAGAGGTATTATTTATTTATATTTATATTAGCATATATTTTAGACATTTTGTTTTTTAGAAATGATACATCGCCTGTGTTAGTCATGTAAATTACGATACAAAAACCAGATAATTAGCTGTTAGTATTTTTCCTGTTGGTTAACAGATTTATTTCTCCATGCACTATTTCTTAAACAATATATTAATTCGAACAGCTAGCAATAACGAAATACCACTTTGCTACTCAACATCAAAATGCGGGAAAAAATGCAGTTCAATGAAATGTTCATTAACAAGCATTTCTTATGTTTAAAGTAGTTGTTCATTGTTATTAATTATTCATATTGTATTATTATTATTATTGCAATTTATAAATGGTCTCATTAAAAAAATAACAAGATTTATATTTCCAACAAGTGTGAAAAAAATGGTTGTTTCTTTAATTATTACTAACCTGAAAGTAAAGGTCCAGGATGGAGATCATATCGGTGCCCTCTGGGAAACACTGCAAGCATGTAGAAAAGGATGTGTTAGTGTTAGGAAATGTTTTAGTAGAGTTTCAATAAACTTTGATTGGTATAAAATGTTTAAACATGTACCTTCTTCTCCTTCAAGTAGTATCCAATGGCAAAGTTTCTGTCTCCTGACAATCGCTCTGACTGAAAACTACAAAGAACAAAAAGAATTCAGGACAATTCGGTTTCAAATGTGTTTTCAGTATAAGAATGTCTAAAATTTAAGTTAAAATTAGGTTAAAATTAGTTTTAAATCGTGTGTCCCCTCGTGTGTTCAATTTAAGTTAATTGTTCTATTAATTGCAGTTTGTTGCTAATCGTACACTTAAATAGGCTTTAAACAAGTTTAAATAATTAAGAAATTACTTCTGTCATCGTAGTATCAAGATTTAAATAGAAAAACAACATAAAAACTTACGTAGCATTGCTGAAACCAACATATTCATTTCCTGCCAACTTCTTCATGAAATTCAACACCTAAAGCAAAACACTTGATTAAACGTTGAACATTTACAGAGAATATCTTGACAGAAATACATTTTAATATACTTACATAGTCAAACTTCTCTGCGTTGCTTACACCTTGCTGAAAGTCAAAAATAAGTTGCATGAATGTCTTGTTGTATTGTGACGATTAAATATTTTCAGTTGTACATAAGTTTCTTTATGCATTGCCATTTAATAAAAAAAATCATTAACCTTTTAAAAAATTTAGATACACATTGTAGTCACAGAAATTCTATCAATTAGATTGTAGGAAAATCAGTTCTTACTTTAGAGGCATTTCAAATGAAGAATGGAAAAATTAAATGAGGATTCTGGCTTAACTAGATTTGAGTAAATTAATTCAAAGCAATGAAGGCAAACTGTATTATCGTTGGGGAAATCACAGATATAAGCTGTTAAAGGGGGTGTGAAAATAAATCAGACACAACTAAAAGACTACAGAAATAGTCAAGTCATTTGAACTGTGTGCTGTCTGTAAGTTTGTTTTAGTAGATTTCTAGAGAAACTACAGTGAGACATTGTTCATCTCATGTGATGCATTGATTTGACTCTCAAAAATATTTTTTTCCACATTGAAGAAATGTTTACAAAGCATTGTATCTTATTAAATAATTGAATTGTTACATTAAAAAACAAAAGACAATCACATAAAACAAAATAAAAATTGATCCTGTTCCCACAGTAATTAAGCAGAATGGCATTAGATTTTCTGTCAAAGCAGATGAGTTGTGCTAATGTAGCTTAGCATTAGCGGCGTTTGAAATTTGTTCAATGAGGAAAAACGAATAAATGAAAGGGAAATTACCAACGTCATTGACCTGTTGGGAGGGTCAAAATTTCCCACAGTTCCTAATGCTGTAAAATACGCAACAACAATAAAACCACAAAAAATCCTTCACACAGACATCACACATCACCACCCTGACAGGCCTGAGCAAGGTGAGCATCATGCAGTGGATTTATCTCAATCCCAAAAGTCTAATTATAAAAGCTTTTCTTTTTATAAATATGCTTAAACATGTATTTATACTTTGTCATAGTAGAAAGGTAAACAAAGCCCTGTGCAAATAACATAATGGTTAGGTTTTAGCAAGCATGCTAACTACAGATTGTGAAATAATGTCAACAATGTGCAGCTAACATTTTTAACACGTTTTATCAAGAATGCCAAGTACAGACTGTACAAATGAAAAATATGTAAGGTAAATAAATCACTGAGAGGCAAATAGTCTAATTTAAGTTTTTAGCAAGTATGCTAACTACAGATTGACAAAATCATAACATTGTGAGGTAAAGAAAGCCCTGTGCAGCTAATATTTTGACATATGTTTAGGGAAGAATGCTAACTGTAGATTGTGAAAATGAAAACAATGCAAGGTAAAGAACGCTCTGCGGTCTAATAGTTTTGACAAAAGTAACATAGTATAGTTTTGAACTAAAGCTAGTGAAGCTGACACAAGATGCTAATTACAGATTGCAACAAAATGTGATGTAAAGAAACCTGTATGGCTAGCATAATACATTTTTAACACTGATGCTACCTACAAAAATTATGTAAACAAAGCTAAAGTTAACACAGCTAAAGCTATGAAGCTAAAGCTAACACAGATGCTAGCTACAGATCATAAAAGTACAACAATGTGATGTAAAGAAGCATTGAATAGCTAGCATATCTAAGTTTTAACATGAATGCCAACTACAGAAATGTTTTTAAAAATGTGAGGTAAACCAGTGAAGCGAATGTTTTTTGATATACGTTAACACAGATTCTAACTACAGATTATAGAAATTACAATGAGATGTAAAGATAAGCCTGTACATTTTTAAGTTAACACAAATGCTAACTATAGCCTCTCGAAATCGATAATGCCAGTTAAACAAAGCCTCGTGAAGCCAATTCTTTTGTGAAGCTAAAATGTTTTAACATGGATGCAAGTGTTGCAAAGAACAATGCAACAAAGGCGTATACAGTTAGGATTTAATGTATGCTTTAATGAGGATGCTAACTACAGTTTGTCAAAATAATTAAGTAAGTGAAGACCTGTGCAACTAATATTTCAGTACGCATTTTAGAACATATGGAAACTACAGATTATATAAAGAGATGAAGATAGCCCTGTGGTGCTAGCATTTTTAAAGTAAGATTAAACAAAGATGCTGTTATTAGGTAAACAAAGACTGTGGAAACGACAACAATGTCATGTAAAAAGAGCGCTGTGCAGCTAGCATATTTAATGTCAGTTTTAGTGAGGGTGCTAAGTACAGGTGTTTAAAATTGTAACAAAGTGAGATAAATAAAGCCCTGTGCTGCTAACATTTTTACATACATTTAGCAAATACAGATCATTAAGATTATAAGTTAAACAAAGCCTTGTAAAGCTGCTATGTTTTAACATGGATGCTACCCAGGTAGCAAAGTATTCTTGCCCAGATTTGGTATAAGGCTGGCACAGCAGGCATTCATCCGGCACTGGCATACAGCATGTGAGCTATACATTGCCAGGGTTTGGCAGAGGTGGTACCGTCTTTAAAGCAGCACACAATACTTGGTCCAGATTTCAAATGTAGCATTTGGACCAGATGGTAAAAATGTATGTGTGGGCTATGTAAGTTTGGCCTATCTTGACCCACTTTTAAAATGCATTTGAATTATTTTTGAGTAAGTAAAATATTCTACCAATCGGGTCGCTTCGAGAAAAAGCGTGGTTTATCAAATTTACTTCTGTCATGAAAGACCAACATATCTGGCCCAGTTCAGGCCCAGTTAATGGTTATTCACTTGGCTGAGACTTGGCCCTGATTTGGTCCATGATTGGCCCATGTATGGAAGCCAGACTTGGTCCAATCGTGTACTGTAAATCACTGCAGCACGTGGCCAAGCAAAAGCTGAATGTGTGGCCCAGAGAAATTTTGCTTTGTGGGTAGCCTTGCAAATAACAATACAACACAAAGGTGAATGCAGTTCACATTTAATGTATGCTTTAACAAGGATGCTAACTACAGTTGTCAAAATCATAAAGTAGGTTAGGCCCAATGCAACTAATATTTTAATAAGCGTTTTAGCACAAACGGAAACCACAGTTTGTGGAAAGTGATAAAAAAAGCCCTGTGCAGCTAGCATTTCTAATGCAAGATTTAGCATTTCTAATGCAAGATTTTTATAAAGTGATGTAAATAAAGCCCTGTGAAACTAACATTTTTACACACATTTTAATATGCTACAAATTGTAGAACCACAACAATGTCATGTAAAAAGAGCCCTGTGTAGCTAGAATATTTAATGTCAGTTTTAGTCAGGGTGCTATAGGTACAGCTGTTTAAAATTGTAACAAAGTGAGATAAATGAAGCACTGTGCTAACATTTTTGCATACATTTTAGCATAGATGCTAACTACAGATTGTGGAAATGACAAAAACGCCAGGTTAAAAAGCCCTGTGCAGCTCGCATTTTCATTTGCTAAATACAGGTCATTAAGATTATAACAAACCGAGGTTAACTAAGCCTTGTGCAGCTAACTATTTTTGAAATATATTTTAGCACAATAGATTGTGGAAATTACTATGCGAGATAAAGCTCTATGTAGCTAGCATTTTTTTATTTACATTAAAGCATAGATGCTAACTTTAGATTGTCAAAATAATAACAAAGTGAGGTAAACAAAGCCATTTGCAGCTAACATTGACACATTAGCAGACATGCTAACAACAGAGTTGAGACACAAAAAGCTTTTTGAACATTAACTTGTTTTAGCCTTGATGCTAAACTACCCTAAACTCTTTTTCTCTCATGTTTCTGCCCCATCCCACTTCCGTTTCCCTCTTCAATATAATCCTTTCAACGTGATTATTCATAACCTTAATCTGACGAGAGAGGGAAAGTAATCAGATTAAACCCATTCGTCCTTGTGATCCGTTCTCACGTCAAATATCCACAAGCACATCAAGCCAAAAACACTTGGTAAGGCACTTTTCGGTTTTTGTCTTAAACTTAGCACACTGTGTAGGAAGCACAGCTAACGTCACAGTTTTAATCACAAATAAAAATGGACTAAAATAATGCGATTTACCTTGAGTAGGGAGGTACAAACTATAGCGCCAGCGTTTACCATGGGATTGTGGGGTTTATCTGGGAAAAACAGAAGAATCAATCAATTAACAAAGATGATTCTGTGTGAATGAAGCTCAGACATTTGCAATATACATTTAGGAAACATCCATCAAATCAATCCTCACCATCTTCATTAAGGAAGAGTTTGTTGAAACGAAGACCGCTGGGTTCCTTTCCTATAAAGCGGTGCACGTATTCGGTGCCGTGATCGTGAACCGCAATTGCGTATTTTAGCGGTTTCACGCACGACTGCAGACAAAATGGAACTTTAGTGTCGCCTGCAGTGTATCTGAAACACAAAAATTAAACTAGCACATAAATCAAGTTATGCTTACCTACAGCAGAAAAAAAAGTTAGTTTGGTTTTGAAGCAATTAAAGATTAGCAGTCTTTCAATGTTTTAAAAAAAAAATTTTCCATCCAAAGATGCGAATTAAACTTTACAATCAGAATCAGTTATATTGCCAAGTGTGCTTCGCACGCACGCACACACACACACACACACAAACACACACACAAACACACACACAAGGGATTTGTTTTGGCTACAGAAGCTTCCAGTGTACATAAAGTGACAAGTGAAAACACAAAATAAATATGAAAAAAAGACGATAAACATTAAACAGAGATGCAGTTAGTCAAAAAGATCTAGATGTTGAATTGTGTGTACAGTTTGTTATAAATATAAAGGTAATAAGGTGCTGTGTACAAATGTGAATGAAGAAAGTATTGCATTGTATATTGTTATAAGGTGCTGTGTAGAAGAGCGTATGAGAAGGTACCGCACATGTTTATTGCACAGTAGGGTTACATTTAACTTATGCGCAAAACTGGAATATCGCATAAAACATTAGCGAATAAACCATCCAGTGAGTCAAAGAGAACAAAATCATCACTTCCTAATAAAGTGGAGCCAAATATCAACAAGAAAAATGCTATTTGCTATGGGGGGTAATGCCGATGTGGGCTTACTTGTACGTTTTTAATTCATATTAGCATTTTCATTAAGCATTTCTCATTTGATGTGCATTAAAATAGGTGGATGGAAACATAGCTAGTGGCATTAAAATCTATTTTATACTATATTAACATGACAAAGACAAGTCTCACCTTTGACCGTCTACAGTGCAGAGAGAAACAGCCCAGAGGTTAGGGCTAAATTTCGCTAGCTGAGGAATGTAATCTGCTACCTACAAATAAAACAACACATAAGAAGATTTGTAAACAAACTGCATTAAATATTTGTATTGTTTTTGTTTTATAGTTTTAAAAGCATATACCTGGCCACCTGACAGTGATTTAGCACTCTCATAAATCTGATCAATATGAGAGGTAAACGACTGAAAGTCAGGAATGACAAACTTCTTCCGGAAAGCCTGAGTTAGCAGCACGATGTTACTTTGCACACACCTGTAAAAAGAGAAAATACAACACAAAACCCTTTTAGGTAAACAGTAATGATGGAGATTTATGCAAATCTCATGAGTGCTCTCGAACTGTTCTGCAAACCCAGAATTAGACACTGTTTAACAAATGTATTATTTATAATATTTTGGTCTAATGACTACTATATAAATGCCAGACTAATAGTAATAATAAAACACTAATGTAAACTATATTTTAATATTAATAATTACAAATCATTCTATGATATATTTTTATGAAAATACTGATTTTTTTAAATTAAATTATTCAATATTTAAAATATCTATTTCTAATTATAATAATGTAAATAATGAAAGATCTATGTATAATTATAACTTACAGTTAAATGTCTGCCATGTCTCAAAACTCACTTATCCAAGTTGGCTTTTAAAACTTATTTGTATCTGCACTAGTTGTGTATACTTTTATGTTACTCTTCTTGTTGTTGTTTTATTGCTATTGTTTTTATCGTACGGTGTCCTTGAGTTGCCAGAAACGTGCCTTTAAATAAAATGTATTACTATTAATATTATTTAATGAAACTAATTATATAACAAAAAAGACATAAAAGTAAAAATAAAGACCGAACCAGTGTAATAAAGAGTCGAATTAATGAATTATATATTATTTTTCTGCATTTCTGAGTGAAAGTAAATAATTTATCTACTGCCGGACCTTCAATAATAGCGAAGCAAAAAAAAAAAAAAAACTGCTGTGTCCTTGGAAAACAGCTGATCTGTAAAAACACATGGCTGAAGTTACAGCTCTGGGTGTTATAAATCTTACAATGACTTTGGAGTGTTATATATGATCAAACCCCCATGTAAAACCTTCATAATAGAGATATGAATAAAAGTGTGCAGTTTTCATCTGTAAAGTTGAGATTAAAACCCTAATTATGAGAAACTGCCTTAAAGTCCTGCAAAGTAAATAAAAAATACAGATGCAAATTGATAAAGTGCAAAAAAGAAACACTTAGTGCTATTTTGAATATTTACTTTACATTAGACAGAGTTTTTGCCTCTAATGTCTCACCTTAAGCTAAACAAATATATTAAATAATTAGCCCCCCTGTATGTTTTCCCCAATTTCCCCAAGGAGAGAAGATTTTAGTAACTCATTTCTAGTAGCTCATTTCTTTTATAAATAGTTTTTTAAAAATTAAAAACCGAAATGTATTATTTATTTGTTGCCACATCAGCAACTTATGGCTATTTCATGGCAAGATAGATATACATAAAATATTACATGATAAAAACTAATTAGTATTACAATAAAAAGTTACTTAGATAAATATTTAAAATATAAATCAATAAAATTCACACACAAATATATTCAAAGTTTAATAGGATTTTTCAGTTCAATGTTTGATAAATAATTTAAGATTCTTCCTGGTCGACCTTTTTCAAAATGTCCATCAAAGTACATTCCTCATAAAAATTGTGTCTAATTTTATTATAACTTGTACATTCCAACAGAATATGTTGGATAGTAAGAGCAGCCTGGCAGTAATTACATTTAGGTAACAATTTTCTTACTCTGTTAAACATCATTTGGGAAAGATAAAAAAATAATAATAATAATTCAAAGGGGGGCTAATAATTCTGACTTCAACTGTAGTCAGAATTATTAGCCCCCTTTTGATTTTTTTATGCTTAGAAATGTGCTGAAACAATCTTCCCTCCAATAAACAGAAATTGGGGAAAAAAATAAACAGGGGGGCTAATAATTCTGACTTCAACTGTAAATATATTTACTTTTTAAAGAGATGTCGATCCAGAGCACCGTCTGAAGTGGTTTTCAGGGTGATCTTTAACATCTCCATACATTCCTTAAGACGAGGGTCTCCAGTTCGCAGACCTGTGGCTTTCAGCGCCTGAAAACAACAACATTATGAGAGAAACTCTATTCTAGACACCACTATCTGAAAACCAAGATATGTGCTATCTACAGTTACAGCTTGAAAAGATATGCTAGAGACAGCCTTGCTAGCCTGGGTGACAGCTGGTGTTTTATTTTACCGTGGTAAACTTGTGAGCTGGAATTTTCTCCTGGCCTTCTGCGATAGTGTAAAACAGTAGATCTTCCAGGCTGGGCAAAATGCCTGCCTTCCTTCTCCTGTGACATGAAGAGATGCACAAAGAAAGTAAGACAGACAGATAAAAAAGGCGATAAACTGAAGGGAAAGGGTTTGTCGGCAGCAGGAGAGAGAGGGAGCGCACTGAGATTGCAGAGAGTGCAGAATTACTCTCAAAATGTCAGACAGGGGATTTTTTACAGTTGATGAAGCTTATTTTTAATATCTTTAATTTAGCATGTCTTTGCACTTTATTATTAGTTAGACATTGACAGTTGTTCTAGAACAAGTGAAGTTGAAGAGAGAGACAAAAAAGGATGGTATCAAAAAAGGTCCACGAGTTTGGATTTGAAATCGGGACGTCCGAATTCGAAGTTAAGGCGATAAAGCTGTTTTTTTTTTTTTTTTTAAATATTTCATTGATAAATCTGTTTTATACTTCAAAAATCCTTATTTACAAAAATTGACAAACCTATTCTTTTGTTTTATTTTGTTTGATCTCTTTGTAATCATCAAATTAAATTTTCATTTTCCTCTATCAAAAACACTTCTTGGTCATTTACAAATGTAAAGAAATGAAGAAATTAATCTGTTAAATACCATTAGCAAATTTTCTAATTTCTTTCTGCAAAACCTTTGCATAATTTGTTTACCTTGTAATTATTTATTTATTTTTTTTACAAAAATGTTGCATTTAGTCAAATAGTCTTCTTTGTTATTTGCTAATTTATATAAAAGATACAATTAAATTAGTCAAATACTCTTCTTTAAATGTTATTTTACAATATTTTTATTTTTACGTTATTTTTTTATATTAAAAAAAAATTACGTTATTTTCAAAAACAAAAATGTGTTAATTTCATCGAAAATTCTTCTTCGTAATGTTTTTTTTTTTTAAATAAGCAATTTAATTTTGTCAGATACTCTTTGTCATTTGTAAATTTACAAAAATGTATAAACATCTCCAAAGATTTACAAACTACAAATTTTTAATTTGTCCAATTTTCATCTTCGTCATGTCAGATTAACATGGGAAATATCATATTTAAGTTTGTTCGTTAGATAGTTACATTGATGAACTGTTCATGAGAATGTTTCATTCACTGTAAAAAAAATGCAGGGTTCCACACAAGTCCTTTATATTGTCCCAACACAAATCGATTACAGTAACTTCACCGAGTTTACAAATTTAAGTGAATTGAACATAAAACAATCAAATTGTGTAAAAAAAAACCCTCAAGAATTGTGTCGTTTCAGCTTATTTTAAATAAGCAGTCTGAACAAGCACAAAAATCACTTTTTTAGTGTTTTTTAAATCAATGTCTGACATCGTGAGGTCATCTGACACATTTTTTCTAAGGGAAGAGGTTGGTCTGTTAAAAAAAAAAGCTAGGCTTGTATTATAATTGGCCATTCTAAAGACTGCCTCTCCTTGTTTAATAAGGTGCAGTG